ATAGTAGCTTGACGGCAAGAGTTCCGCGTGCCGTTGTGGATACGCCATCGGCGCTGCCATCCGAGTGCGTGGCTGGTCCCGTGTATTTCCTGCGCCATAGCAGAGGAGATACTCCATCCATCACAGTCATATCTCAGCAGTATTTACTGACCTCCAAGGTCTAGTAAAGTGTTCAAAATCCTCCTCCTTTTCCTCCTCAATAAGATCTATTTCTCGAGCGTTTTTAGCATAGCTGTTTGTTGATTCAACGATTCTATCGATAATAGCAGGCGTGAGGAGTTTTTGGAATGTATCAAGCTGCGAGAGACTTTGTAGAAGAGATTTTGAACGCTCAAATCGTAATTTCAATGGCAGTTCGTACGCAGGGAGGTCAGGGAGTCGATCAACGTCAAATTCGAGCGTATCAGGAAGAGGTCCAATAGCAACAGGTTTGAGCGCCGTTTTCTGCTCCGTTCGGTCAGTTCTCTTGGTGATTGTGGGGTCTTTAGCTGCAGAAGGAGCACCCTTTTCTTCCCATATAGTTCTAGGCTTTGGCTGGCGGTGAGACCTGCGCAATTCCATGTAGAAGTTAGCATTGATGGCGCTGATCTTCTAAAAACGGAAAAAAAGTCGTGCCAAGACCCAAATTTCTTGGCGCGCTAAAAGGGTGCAAATTCACCACCGGCGCGTGGGATAACTAGCTACCGCAAGTACACTTTACGCCCTACTACAGTCTTTTGTTACTAAAGAATCATGGCACACAGAACAAGGAAATACACCTCGCAGACCTGTTCTGAATGATGGAGGAGATGTAGGAGTTCACGTCCTGGAGCCTTGAGTTCCCACAGCATAACCACGTGCAATACCACTTCGCCCTTCTTGTATGGCACTGCCCTCGGTGTCCTCTTGTTCATATCCGATCTCGAAATCACTACCAAGACCCTGCCATGTTCTTCTTGACTGGAGGAATTGTGCTGCTGGGGAAGCGACGCCGTTGACGGCAACAACATCGCCATTGGCACGCCTTGTGAGCGCGGATGAGTGAGGCGAGTCATTGCTTTTAGATGACTCAGTAGTAACCCTCGACGCAGCCTGCATTGGCCGTGTCTGCGAAACATATCTGCCTGTTCGCAGATCAAACTCAGGAGGGGCTGATTCTTGCTCCGAGTCGTAATCACCGTCCGATCCATCGGACTCATCGAACGGCTTCTCACTAGCTCGATCAACCTTGGCTGAACGAGCATCGAGAATGCGTTGAAAGTCGGCACTCCACTCTCCATTCCAGACCCTATCCTCATCTCGTCTTAGAGCAAGCTCAAGCTCGAAAGGTGTAAGCACAGGCTTGTAGAAATCCTTGCTGTCCACCAAAGAGCTTTCCCAGCATCCGATCACAACCCATCCACCAATCTCACTGAAGTTTGCTAACTTGGCAGCATTCAACTTCCCAACCACAAACATGTAGCTTTTCTTTCCGGCTGCCGCAATCTGAGATTTGACAAGGTCGAGGATATGAAGGTAGTTTTTCACGCTCAGGGTGTTGATCAGGATGCCCCAAATGGAGACCGTTGCCAAGGAAGTGACCAGCGCATAACGTCGACGGAGAAGAAGTGAATTGTTTACAGCAGGTGACATTGTCATTGACTGGTTGCGGGTCTTGCTTCCTTTGGGGTAAATACGTATTTCAGCGAGTCTAGAAGCCAGTGTAAGCAAAAGCGACGTTGGCGGCTCAGAAATGTGGAACAATCGCCAGTCCTTTAATTTCTCTGGGTTTTCGCGGACCTCCTGTGGCACTGTGCGATTTGGTATAGGAGAAGCTGGAGCGTGTATGATCTCAGCCGCAAATACTCCTTCGTACCCCTCTTCGATAATTTTCTGGTAGATGACTTGAACATGATGATCGTAGGGCATATCAGCAGTCAGCACGATCTTCATTCGTTTGTCTGAAAATGCATCTTTGAAAGAATTCACAACCTGCTCACAATCCAGGCTTTGACGAGTAAATATATGCGTCACTGGAAGTCGAGCAATAGGTGACAGACAAGCTCTGCCATAATGTACGACAGTATCAGCATCGACATGCTCAGCAGCAATTTCATCGACACAACAAGAGCCATAAGACGTGTCGGCCAGGATGCTCAGCTTTACTGGAATCTCCGCGTCATCAAGTTCCAGCTGAGAAGTGTGGTTAGACAGTTGTTCGCAAGGAGTGATCGTCTCTTCTCGCTTGTCATGGGACTCCTCGCTACCGCGTGGGAATCCACGAATGCCACGTGTCAAGAGCTCAAAGACTCGAGCCGAGTCAACGAGCATCTCATCTGGAAACTGAAGGGCCACTTTGCGCCACGAATGATTTCGGATCTCCTCTAAAGTCCGCTGAATCTCATATCTTGTGTAGAGGTCCCCATCTGAGACTCGTGTGTCGGCAGGGCCGGTGACAGGCACCGTCTCGTTCAAGATATGGGTATCTGGTGTGGACAGGACAGGCGGAGCCCCAAGACCATTCAAAGCCATTCTATCGAGCTGACCGTGTGCTTGTCTCCCGTTGTTAGCAATTCGGCAAGGAGACAATCTGTCAGACAAAAGCTACTTCACGGTCCTCTGAGGGCCGCGGTCCTTTTGGTCCAACACAATCTCATGGAAGTCACATCCAGAAAAGGTTCAGGATTGAGCTAGACCTATTATGTCGCGTCTTGGCAGAGCATAACTACTTAGCAGGAAGAGGCCCTCTTAAAATAATGCTAGGGGAGCCATCAAAGTGCGCTTAGATTAAGCCTAACCGTGATATTACTTAGAGAGTATAAGGATATGCAGCTTAGTCGTTTATGATCTAATAAAATCTTTCTATCTACAACGTATTTTACTAAAAATATGGTTATAGTATGGTCAAAATATGCTTCTTTTATCATACTAGTATGGTGGTCATTTGACGGAAGGACTGTCATTTCTACTAATGGCACTTAGCGCAAATCTTTAGCTACCCCTTCTCCTGGTAAGTAGTTGCAATCCAAGCTCATTAATCATGGAACGCTTCTCTGCTCTCGTGCTCTCATCGTCTCTTCTAGCCATTCCTTTTTCGACATCCCAATACCATCGACCCTGCAAACTACCGGGTTGCTCCGGAGCCTGGAACATTCAAATTCTCTCCCTATGTAGTAAATGCCATATTGTTATCTGTCGAACGTTGCTGACTAATCAGGAGAATAGAATCTGAATAGCAAGTTGTTCTATCTAATTGACCGCGCAAGGAGAGCCTATTTATACATACCAAATTGCTATATCAAACTGCCAATCCATGCGAAATAGCGCGAAACGTCAATACTAAAAATACATGTTAATTCGAGGCGAAACGCGTAACAGATCTCCCCCCACCCGCCCCCCCTCAGCCGCCCCCGCCGCCACCGTTTGATAACCAGCAAATTCATCGAAGACGCGCAGAATCCAGTAGCGTTTGTTGCAGCGCTATATATCACGTGACATCCGGTCCACATTATCCCATGACGCTCCTCGATTCAATTTGCTATGTTACGATCTATGGCTATGAGATCGTCCGCAAAGGCCCAGTATAGCGTGATCTGGGCATGTGCGAGACAGTGGATTTGTAAGTAGTCCCTGCTCACAATGGCCTGAAAGGGATACTTACCGCATCAGGAACACACCTTGCGTGAGCCCTGATCGACAAGCCGGCTAAGATATCATCCTATCCGATCAAGCTCTGGGGGGAAGCAATTGGACAACAACTGGATTCAATCCATTCTTCACGTCGAAAGCAATGCATATAATTTCTTTGGTACCTCCTCACTCCCGTCAAGATTGAACATCATAGTCCTTCTCTTCCTTTCCATCTATTGTGAGAAATTTATTCCAGCTCGTTCTTCTGCACCATGAATGCCTTCGAGTACAATGCCAACCCCGGCAGGGTCATCTTTGGCTCTGGCAGCATCAAAAAGCTACCTGATGAGATCAGGAGACTCAAACTCTCTTCACCTTTGCTACTAACCACACCACGCCAAGCCAACTTGATCGACCTGTTAGAAAGTGTCCTTAACTCCTCCTCCCCTTCCATCAAACCAGCCGGCACCTTCACCAAAGCCACCATGCACACCCCCTACCACATCACCCAAAAAGCCCTCTCCTACGTCCAAACCATCACCGCCGACTGCATCATCTCCATCGGCGGCGGCAGTACCACCGGCCTGGGCAAAGCCATCTCCTTCAACACCGGCCTCCCACACATCAGCATCCCAACCACCTACGCCGGCAGCGAAATGACCGCAACCCTCGGCGAAACCAAAGATGGCCACAAAACCACAAGGCACGACCGCAGAATCCTCCCTGGGACCGTCATCTACGACGTCGACCTCACCACATCCCTGCCCGCAACCATATCCGCCACATCCGGCATAAACGCCATAGCGCACGCCGTCGAAGCGCTCTACGCGCCCAACGGCAACCCGATCACCAACCTGCTGGCCCTAGAGGGGATCAAAGCGCTCGCAGAATCTCTGCCCGAGATCGTCCAGGACCCGACATCCCAGCCCGCGCGGGAGAGAGCGCAATATGGCGCCTGGCTCTGCGGCACCTGTCTCGGCACCGTAAAGATGTCCCTACACCACAAAATTTCCCACGTCCTCGGCGGCTCCTTTGATCTGCCTCACTCGGAAACACACACCATTGTCCTCCCTCACGCCCTCTCTTACAGTGCACCTGCGATCCCGGGAGCGATGGCTAAGCTTGCCTCGGTGCTGCCGGGTAGCGATGGCGACGCGATCAAAGGGCTGAACGCGCTGTTGGAGAAATTACGGGTCAAAAAGGGGTTGAAGGAGTTTGGGATGAGGGAGGAGGATGTGCAGAGGGCGGCGGAGATCGCGGTGGAGAATCCGTACGCGAATCCGAGGCAGGTGGAGTTGGAACTTGTGAAGGAGTTGATACGGAGGTGTTGGGCTGGGGAGGAGGCACGGGCGGATTTCTAGGCTTGCGTTTCACCTCCTGAGTTCCTAAATCGAGATTATTTATGCTTAGCACATTATGATGGCCTTCTTCTCGTGCCGTAGAGAATGTGTAGTATGTCACGAAAGCGCTAATTTGAGCGAAATGGTTTTCTTAACCTGGACCAAGCTGTTGTCTGTGCATGAAATGTGCAGGGTATCTTACTGTTGAATGGCTTCGAATGCCAGTAGGGAGACGCTTCAATCGAGGTCAAAGGCCATGGTTTGTTGCCCTCCCGACTTATCTTTCCCCTTGCCTCGTTTCCGCTTCTTCCTTTTCGACTTGGGTTTCTCGTCTGCACTGCTGTCCTCTTCTCCTCCATCACTGTCCTCCTCACTATCACTGCCGACGACTCTCTTTCCACCGTTGAGGCTGACACTCTTTTTCAGCTCTGGCGCCTCCCGCCATACCTTAACCACCTGTCCTCCACCGCTGACCATCCTCCCCGCAACATCAAACCCCAGCGCTACAACGCCCTCAATATCGTCATGCTTGACATCCATATCTTGCACGACTCTGTTTGGTCCAACGCGTACAAACCTCACCCTGCCATCCGCTAATCCCACCGCTACCAGTTTTTGCTGGCCCTGAAGTGCTAAGCCACCCACACCCTCAGGGACCTTGGCCAGACAGTCCACTGACTCCCCGAGCTTGTCAACCACAATCCTTTCGTCTTGATCATCCCACACGCCCTTCTCCCAAAGAGTGATGACACCTCCTGCACCTCCGACAAGGACTTTCTCACCCTGGCTCGTCCCACCAGCTTTCAGACCTGATACGAAGAGCGAGGAGGTCAATTCGTCCTCTTGGTCTTCAGACCTTGACACAACGCCTTTTCGGAGATCTGTGACGGCGATTGTAGTGCCGCCAGCGGTGAGAAATTGTTTCGGAAGGCCGGAGGTGGAGGTGCTGGAAGGCGGGAGTGGTGTGATGGATGAGATGTAGTCATCATGTGGACGGTGTGTCTGTGTAGGTTTCAAGGCTGCGGTGACTGGTTTGGAGTCACGGAGATCGTAGAGATAGAGGGCTGAGGAGTCGGTCCCTAGGAGCAGGGTCTGCGGGGTTAGAATGTGAAGGCTGGTAGGGGCATCGGGTTTGCTATAGACGCCGTTAACCAATACAATCCTCTTCGATGTCGGAAACAGACGAACCCGTCGACCTCAGGTATGGCAAACTTTCCAATCACTCTCCCATCCTCTGATCGTGCGGCTTTCACAAGCTCATCTGTCCCTGCACTGTATAATATCTCCCCATCAAGACTGTAAGCCAAGCATCTGCAGCTACCCTTATGCCGCCTTGTGCGCCATGCAGTCTCTACCTCTCCAAGTCCGTTTTCTGATGCTGTCGAGGATCGCCGCCGCCCAAAGGGCTGTACTGGAGCTTCATCTGGGCGTGGTGAACTTTCGGCGGAGGTAGGGGCTGGAGGTAGCTTGAAACTCTGGACGTGACCGGAGGCCAAGCCGACAGCGACGATTGGTTCGGACGGGTTGATTGCTTGGGCGAAGAGATCCGAGGTCAACGGTAGAGAGCAGATTGTGTCAAACATTGCACCCTATGTCCCAGTCGAATCCTACTTGCGCTCCTGGAGGTAGCTTGACCTGACAAAGCGGCCGAGATTCTGCCGAGAGCGGGCGATTGAACGAAGCGGAAAACAAGGACTGAGTATTATTTACTAGGTATTGCGCTTCTACACATCTATAAGATTTCTCTGTAGAAAAAGTGCTAACGCTCGTCATGCTTATTCCTCTGCATCGTCTTCTTCAGATCCATTCAGAGTCGCTGTGCTCACCCTTGCAGCCAGATCCGGTTTGTAAGCCTCTTCATCTCCCGCCTTTCTCTTCTTCCTCCTGTTGATCTTCACTTCTTGCATCTCTTCACCCTCCCCCGTTTCTGGTATATATGAGATGTCCTGAATGACTCTTCGGCGTCTTCTGACTCTATGAGATGGACGAGGCCAGTCGTCATCACTTCTGGTTCTATAAATTGTCTGTGCCTTTCCACCCCCTGGCGATCTGGATCGTGTTCGACTCTTCTGACGGCTATGGCTGGGGTCTGTGTTTGTGATCTGTTCTGATTCAAGTGGATCACTGTTGCACAGTGGCAGATTTTGTACCCTGTTGAAACTGGTATGAATGTTGCTGATCAGATTGTCCCCTTCTATCTCATAACATGCGCCGGCTCCTTTTGCTATCAAGCCATGACGCATCTCACCCGTATTCCCGATAGGGTCTGTGTATGACCAGAAGTGAAAGGAGGGCAGCTCATTCCTGAGGAGCTGGATATAGTAAAGGTTGTCAAGCGATTTGTGCTCTTCACGGACATCATCACGTTCCATGTCTTCTTGCGGAGATGCTGTTGAGTAATTATATTCTCTCCATGAGCCTCTCAATTGCATAGTTGCTGTCTTCGGGTCGATATTGACCCACTCGGCCAAAAGTCTAGCCGGGACCACGGTCGCATACGCAAACCAATGGGAGAACGGCTCTATCCTACGCCGAGCCTCTTGCATCAACATGCTTGATGGCTCACGGGGTGGCATACCCATGATCGGTAGGCGCAAACCAAAGGTAACACCTGACAAGATCCAACGAGTAACTATTAGATGCAATGGTAGCTCGAGGAGCCCATCCCAACTGCGATAGTTAGGGCTCTTACGTTTCCAGATGCCAATGCCTCTGGGAGGGGAATTGACAGGGTCGCGGCCATAATGAGGCCCACCGTACACGATTTGTATACCGCTACTCGCAACCGTTTTGACAGAGCCCCAGTTGACCTCACTCCGGTATGTCGGGTCATTGTCAGGATGATCAGTGACGTCGGGACAAGTGGTCGGGTCAGGGTGTATTGGCGGCTGAGACATAACGACTTTTGAGTGAACAACTTTTGAGTGGGCAACTGCTTAGAGAGCATGTACTGTGTACTGATAGAGTCGAGATTACCAAAAGAAACAACAAACTCACAGGGATTAAATCTAAGGCCAGATTAAGATCGAAGCACTCCTTTTGTCTTGATTAGCGTTTCCGGGAGAATAACCATTATTGCTTCGTTCCGCATGCGGTCTCCTCCTTTCAGGACAACGAGTCCATGTGAACGAACTTTGAAAATAGAGAAATTCATCCAGAGAATCGCAACTCTTGTGAACTCAATTTCATCCTAATGCAGACGGTTTTTTTCAAGAGGCACTTCAATAATACGAAAGAGCAGGGTACTATTTGCTGAAACCTGCTAACATTCCAGCCATATGGATGGCAATGCTGTCTATCTAGCTACCTATCAAGATGAATCATTCTCAAAATAAATGTTTTAAGTCAGACGCCATTGTAAAGACACCCTTCGGCATACCTGCGGAACAATTGGTATCAGCGCTCCGGGTAGGTGGTTGCCTGATACCGGAGGTTGGACTGCGGCGGTGTGAACGTGCTTCAACTGCATGATGATCTTCCAGACCTGTGAGTCAGACAAATGTAAGAGTGAAAATAGAGACCGGAGAGCAGAGCAACTACATGTGAAGAAGAGAAGTGTGTCAGATAGATTACCACTTCTGCATTCGGCAGAACTTTAGCGACTCTATGCCAAGAGCTTGACACTAATCTCGGCTAATACCTCCAGGGTCTTGGACTACTAATGCGCTTCCTCATTGACGCCGGCTTCCTAACTGAGTTGCGCTCAGCGACCTCCTTGGACATATCAATCGCTGCAAAGCATTGCTCTTTCCATGTCAGTAGCTCCTGCTCGAGTTTTCAACACGCACTGGCTGTGACATGGCCACCAAATTAGGACACTGTCCTACATCAAAGATGATTGTGTCTCTTGAACACCTTCCTCCCTCCAAGGGCTGCAAACGCGATCGCGCTGGGTACCCTTGGATATGGCATCGCTAAGGTTCTTCAATATGTGATCACCTCTGATCTCATATTGTTATTACGTTATCGCCGCTGAAGACTTGCTACCAACGTTATCAGATCAAGCAAAAGCGCGTTTGCCATATCCGACAGATGCCTTGCCTGGCGCCAGAGACGTTTCGTCTCCTACAGAAGTATTAGAGTCTACGAATGGGGTCCAGAATCCGGTCCGAAGGTGCTCTTTGTGCATGGTATTAGCACTCCCTGCGTTGCGTTGGGTGATGTTGCACAAGGTCTTGTTGAAAAAGGCTGCCGAGTAATGCTATTCAACCTATCCACTACTCTGTCATAAAAATGACGATATTTATCATTGGCCCAGATTCCGCAGCCAAGGCATTTCACGTGACTATCCAGCAACGAATAATCCTTAAAGGTTGCGCCTGCAGTGTACCTCGCGTCTGTGGCGGATGTTTGAGCCAATGATAAATACCGTCATTTTATGACAGAGTGGTGGATATAAAGCTCCCTTCCAATCACTTGAAGTCATTAGACATTTAGCTTGTTGGGCACTAAACTTGTAATCACTGACCTTTGTGATAGATTCGGTAGAGGCTTTCCCGACAACCCGCATGACCTTTCCCAGCACCCTCGTCTCTTTTGCTCCCAGATCCTGACATGCCTGGCCTCTTCTTCTCTTTCGCGGACGGGGAGCTCGTCCGGAAGGTTTGCATTGATTGGTTATCCCCTTGGTGGTGGCATCGCAACGTCTTTCACTGCTCATTTTCCTGGTCTAGTTTCGTCTCTCATTCTGATCACTCCTGCAGGCCTTCATCGGCCAAATCGAGTCCGGTTGAGGCGGAAGTGCCAGAGGATGAGTTGAAGTCCGCCGCTATGTTGCCAGAAAAGCATCCAGAGCTCGCCCCAGCAAACATCATCCACTTTCAAATTCAGCATTATCAGGCTTTCGTGCAAGCTATATATCTAGTATGAGACATAGGCCAATCATGAAGGGGCATACAATATGGAATTGTACCGGCAAGAGGTTGAGCACATAGAAGACCCCTGAAGAAGAGACTTCTCCTAATGATGGACCCATTCATGGCAAAGTGCGCATCATCTGTGCAAATGAGGATACCAGTATTGTCAGCAGCGATCTGGTGGCAGACGTGACAGACGTGTTTGAAGGTATCGTTCAGTTCCGACATCCGGCCGCTGGGCATGATCTACCCATCTCGAAGAGCAGAGAGGTCGTTGCTGTCATCTAAGAGTTCTGGACTGGCTTCGCTGTACTCTCACCCTACGAACATTGAACAAGGAATAGGGTTAGAGACAGTACGGCACAGCATGCACAGAATCCATCTCTGGCGCCATCGCCGATCAAGCAAGGTAGATAGAGGATAGTACACGTCTGATCGGGTCTGTGCGTTGGTGTGTCAGCTCTAGGAATGTCGGAACATCATGGAACCTCATATCAGCTTGTGCCGCATGATAACTATACTTTCCGATTCAGGTACCCAGCAGTGTGATGGTGGGCGCAAACTATGTGCCTCGAGAGTGATCACTGCTTCACCGCTGATGCGCGAGTTTCGGGGTTATCATGGTGCTTGTAAGCAACATACCGGAAAGTGCGATTGGTACTGCATCTGTCGATCTCCAGCGATTTCCCAGCGGCTTCTTCATGCACCTCGCCATCGTTCAGATCAGCTTCGTCGATTGCCATTCTATATCGCGCTAAGTCGCCAAGGCATTCGATCCAAGTTTCCTCAAAGCTAGGTACAGTTTCCATAAGCAACGCCATCATTGAATAAGCTAGGTAGACAAACGATAACATATGATCCAGTGAGTCTGGCAGTCGGTGTCTAAGCAGCTCGAGGAGACTATGTATACCATGGCGCCACATACAGCCGGCATAGCATACTTGGTCGCTAATCTTTTCAGGGCAGGTGATGAAGAAGGATGCTGGCTTGCTAAGAAGAAGTCATGGTGTTAGTGGAGCAGCGTTCGGTGAAGAGCGATCAATGCTTGCCATTGCTCGTCGGTGAGTTTGTTGGCCGTTGCGGCTTGTTACTGATTGATCCCCACGCATTTCTTTCCCACCATGACCAAGCCAACATAGGCTTCCAGGAAGGGAGTGACCTTGGTCAACATCAGCGAGGGACCCATTGCACAAGAGATTGGTCACGAGAATGTGTAATATCGTTGGGTATCTTCGAATTGACATGATCTAATATCTCGCTATTGCTTTGCCTATACCGGCACCGAGGCTGTCTACATTCAGATCTGAAAAACTACCAACAGAACCACCATCACCTGTCGATCGACGCAAGAGTCTTTGTCAGAAGCACATGCCTGCTGACTACATTCACTTCCTCCCCCAGTGTGTGTTCGAGGTGCCGCTTGCCATAGAGTTCCTCGCATCGTCGACGATGTTCTTGTCAGTATTTTGTTGCATGAAATTATTGAGATCGTGAAGAGTCGTGTTCCCACCACCAGCCCTATCATCAGCTGCGAATCGAACGCCGCGGCTTTGGTCCGATGCGAGATACTCCCGAAGCGGGGAGCTTGACGGCACCTTGTCAAGATTGGTGGATTTCAGAGAGGTCTTATTCTGCCCATTGCTGGAAAAGAAGATGTGAGCCATTGGCAGAGTTTGAGAATACAAGACCATACTTCCCATTCCCACTCGCTTGCAACGACATGTTCTCAACGATATGCGGGCCTTTGTTTGAAAGGTAGATTTGATGGGAGGAAGGTTTAACGTGAGTAATTGAAATCGGTGACAGATTTGCTGGTTTTAATCTGCCAGACTAGGGTCACAGGCGACAGGAGAGAATGATGCTACGAAGACCAGATTGTCGTGAAGAGACTTGCAAATGGAGAAATCAGAAAGTCCTCGAAAACTCGGGATGACTCTTCTGATTTTGTACCCGCTGACGCTCAAACAAATGCAGATTGTTGCAGTAGTGTAACTACCAGGTTTTGAAGGGCAGGATATTATTCTGCCATCAGACCGGGTATTACGGGCTCTGGGTGTGTCCAGGATGCGCAGACGATGGACTAGCCTCTCCGAGTGGGCGAAAGAATGCTCGAGATGCCCACAGGCTCAGGCTAGGAAATGAGCAGGCGTCTGACCTGTCATGCGGTCCGTTCCAGCACGATACGCACAGCAATCGCTTGCCGTTGATGGAACGTCATCATCTAGAGGATACATATCATTGAGTGATGTGGCATGTGGCACACGGGTTGTTGTGGTAAAGCTCAAACAAGACCGCCAGACCATTTGAGATCCAGAACCCTTTTGGAAATAGAGTCGTTGTTACACAATTCATGTTGTCATCCCCAGTGGCGTCTTTAGTACTCGAGAACCTCGTCGGGTCAGGTCCGATGCATCGGTAGCTATGCAGTGTGGATAGCTGTGTAATGTGGATAATGTGGGTGGCGGCGGTAGCGTGTTTCCCAATTGTGTCGCCTAGCTGGTAAGTATCAGACCTTGCAAGGCGGAATGGAATGTTTCTTGCCAAACAAACTTCCGCAAACAATAAGCACAGCCCATCCACTGCGGCAAGGTGCCACAATTGCTAGTGTTTCAGTCTATTTCTGTGCATCACTACCTTCGAAACATATTTTCTCTTCACAAAAGCATGTAGCTAGGAATCTAAAATACAAAGTTCGGAGAAGATAGCTCCACAGGCGCCAAGGCCCCAGAACATGAATTAAGATCCCTGTACAGCTGTAATGTGTGTTATTTTGTGTGGCCATCCCATGCAACCTATCTGCCGACCTTCAGACTCCAAGAGAAATAATTTAGCTCCTTGATAGACTTAAGCCCGCACCAGGTGCTTAACTCCTCAGGCTTTGGAGCAAGATTGACAAGCAGGTGATAGACTTACTGCTGATTTAGGATTTGTTCACCTGTTCATGAATATAGCTTGTCTTCTGTTGAAACATGTCCAATCCATCCTTTGACATTGCCAATTTTATAACACCCACACGGCCGGTTCGGGTCCGGCACATCAACTGTCTTGCATGGCGTGCTGCCAATCTAGCTCGGAACATGCAATGAAAACGGGGCGTTGGGGGCGGTGGAGCTGTTTCATCCGAACTTTGTATTTACCACGCTGATTTCTAGTCATAAGAACCACCATTGAACTGATGCTTAGAGCTGATAGCATTCCACAGCGTTCGTTACAACACAGCCAGTGAGACAGCAACAGAACTGGACCAGTAACGCAACAGTACCCGAATTGCAACAGTTTCCACCCCAAAAGAATGAAAGCATTTTGGACATGCTGCATCAGCCTCAAACCTTTACAGATTTTGATACCTCTTTCACACATTTATAAAATTCTTTCATTGGAATTAGGGCTTAGTTGGTAGCTTTCAGGGTTTTGCCCAAGGAGTCAGTGAGGTGTACATCAATTAAGTGTAGTTCGAAACCCACTGGCGCTGTCCTTTTGGCGGAGTGATTGATGTGTCCCTTTTCTCATTGGTCACAGTGTTGCATTTCCGCTGCAGTTGCATTACTGGTCCACTTAGGTGGGTGACAAACTACCATAAGTAGGATGTGACCAGCTAAAGGGTAAATAGGGGCTCATGGCAAGCTAAATATGACCTTCTGTGATGCAAGTTTGTCCATTTGGCGGAGTGGCTGATCCATCCTTGTTCTGCAGGGCCATCATCGATGAAAGCATCATCTGATACTCTCTGTATGGATAACCGACAATCGGCTTCACCGCCCGATCTTTATTTGACTTTCGCTAAGGAAACAAGGGCCTCAGCCTGGCCGCTCAAATACTTGGATCCTTCCTTAGGGGTTACATGTCCATAGATGTATTCCATATCTTCTACACATTGACCAACATCAGTGTATGGATTATCTTTAGTGGCTCAACTCAACAGCCAACTTATATTTTGTTTCGTCTGAATGAGAAGACGGAGTTGTTATACGACCAATGAGGTCAATACTGGTAAACATGACATACTGTGGTCTTCCCGAGATGATCTCGTGTACATTTGCTTTGCATATGACGGGAAGCGGGGTGGGTGGCAACACTAGTGTGGGTGAATCCAAGACTTGCTTAAGGTTTCGAAAATATATGATTACCATCCCGTTTTGTTGTTCAGCCCGCCAGCCACCTGCACGTACCCGCCAGGGCGTCGGCTAAGACTTATACTAGGAAAATGCCGTACACTAGAAATGCATAGAACGAGTGAAAGAACACGTAGCCGCCAGGGCGTCGGCTAAGACTTCTACTAAGAAAAGGCTGTACACTAGAAATGCACACATAGTAGAACGAGTGAAAGAACACGTCAGCCTCTCCACCAATAGGACAGCGCTGATGGGTTGAATCAATAATCCGATCTCGCTTGTTTTCGCAGGCTAAGCACAAGTTTTTTTCGATTTCACCATGCGTTAGCACGACGTTAGTACTTTTGCTCAGAACGGACTCTTGACGTTACTTGAAGCTTATTCGGCTCGGCTTCGTCGCACTTGGTAATTCTCTCCACGGTTCCGGTGGCTGTTTTGCGTCTCCACCTCACCTCGACTCCATTCCTTGCTGCCACCTACGGTGATGCGCCATAATCTTCTTCTGCCGGCCGATCCAGATCAAACTCGCCGCTCGTTACTAAAGACCAGATGCTAGTTAGTATACAAGCCTAGGTAAGTACTCCGTACACGAAATTGCATTCGAAGGGTTCCAGAGAACGAATCTGCAACACTCTTTGTGGGCAAAGAAGTTGGGTTGGCACGTCCATACTCACTGGCTTTTCTCTCTCGAACACGGTTCAGTAAGACAGCAAAGCGGCTCTGATTTAGACCACCTTTTTGGTTCAATTTGCTAGATACTAAGTTACCAATCCGGTGAATGTTATTATCATTTCATCATCCCCACCTCTTTCCATTGACACGTCATCAATCCTTCAGTCCCGAATACGCGGTAACTCACCGAACCACCTTAACCATCCACCCGTCCTAAACCCATGAACCCATCCCGCGATCATCAACTCGTTCTTCCTACTACGTAATTATGGACTCGTTCCCAATCTCTATTCATCAATCTGTCATTCAATCAGCGCTCCACCTTGCCACCATTGACAGATCTTTCGGCCATATATGCTTCATCTTTCATCGTTGTCACTGACCGCTAGCTGCCTACCCCTCCCAATCCAATTTCCAACCTTTTCCCACCCCCAATCCACAACCTTCATTGTCAACTGCAGCCCGAAATCAAGAGAATAAGATAACTCTTGCTTCCGCCGAAGAGGCATTTATTACCGCATAGAACAAGGGCCAGTCCAGCAGCTCTGTCTGGACGAGTTAATGCATTTGAAACGGATAGGGACATTCTTGGAGTTAGCGGCACCACCACTCAGTATTTCCTCGACTGACTGAGGACCTAGACAAGCACAGACTAGGCTTCGAAGCGACCGTACCAGGTAACATTGGAGATAGAGGAAGGAGAGAACCCGGATTGACATATAAGAATGGTGGTGGAATGTCCCAAGCTTTGGAGCTGCCACACGCATACTAAAAGTTACTGTTTGCGACTTGGTCAGAACCTGTCACTCTTAACGGCAGGACGCGGAAGATCTACGTAGTAGTAAGCTGTCTGATCCGCCGGCGATGCGCTGGAACCGGTTCTACCCTGCCACCACCCTAAGTCAGTAGGGATAACGTACTAGTACATCAATTACGTAGCAAGTGTGGTTCGAAACCCACAAGCGCTGTCCTTTTGGTGGAGTGTCCCTCTTCCACCCCATTACGCACAGTGGCTTCGTTTTAGAGCCGTTTTGACCTGCGACTTACTGGCTTTAGCTACGAGTATACGGAGTATTAATTCTGCATTGTGACTAGCGTATCCAGTAATCTATGCTGCTTGGTAATGAATCTTACTCGGGATGGTAAGGTACTAGGTATTGTCGAAGAATGCGCTGAAGTGAGTAGAGAGTATACACTGCTATTTATTCTACCAAGGAATTGTGCACACAATACAGAATCCTTTGCGAAAATGTAGTCACGCTCGACCAATCTCACCACGGCGAGTAGCAAGGGTTGGGCAAATGAGAATTGATCTAATGTGTCAATCAAAAGTTACATCTCTCTCAAGCTCCAACTCACTACTCCGTACAAGCTGGCGATCAATGCTGGCCGGAGACTCCACGCCAGCTGACATTCACAACGATCTCGTAGATCAATCACGCCTTCTCATCGTAAAGCGCGGTTCATCCCGCTGGACCCTCGAGCAACAAGAAGAATGCTCGTGCACACTATCCGAGAGTTTCGATACCATAACCAATAAATAAATGAATCATCATTGTGTAAAAGCTTACACGAATTCGACAACGACCTAACACACTCTTCGAAACCCCTCTCATTCAATGAGGCCCATATGCCTACTGCTGTGGACTGCTCCGCAACCTTCTTCCCATCCCGGATCCTGGTCCAATGCTTTGAGCCAGAACGCTGTTCTCTCTACCTTTGCGCGGTAATCTGCTTTCTGTTGTAGCGTGCCTCTTGAGCGGCGGCTGCTGCTGTGCATGGTTTAGGGACTTGGCGAAGGATGTCGAGGGTTGCCCATGTAAATCACCTGCCGACGAAGCTTGCGCCAGTACGTTCATATCCACTTCTTTCAGCCCTCCCTTGATTTCTTCGGCAGGGTCACTCGCCTTCCAAGTCGTAGGTGCGACTTGAACAGTAGCGGCTGCTGAATCATCGTGGAAGATTCTGGTCTTGGTCGGACTCGGCAGCTTACTAGGTGAGGAGAACCCTTTTCTGGGTGAGGCAGTTTTTCTTGGTGATGCAATTTTCCTCGCTGATCGGGCGACAGCAGGCTTCGCATCTGTCAAGCCTCTGATCTGCGCAAGGAGCGAATCGTGGCTCCTCGTACAAGGGAGATGTGTGGGGTACGTCCAATCCTTCTTCTGTGGTGTTTCACCTGTTGCCACATAGTCGATCAGAGGATTTGATTCAAGATTGGCTTGAAGCTCCGCCAATGGGGTTTGAATGCTTTTAGAAAGCGACGAGGTACTGTCTTGGAGAGAGTCAATGTTAATCCTGCAAGCTGCACCATGATTATGCATGCGTGCGGAAGTCGCTTGGAGAGTATCATTCACGTTTGCAAAGGTCTGCCGAACATTGTTTGACAGATCTTTGAGGCTTTCATGCTGCAAATGGTGATGTTGGCCGTTCTGTTCTCGAGCACGAGTCACGAACTCATCTAGTGCTGCCATCTGGATAGCCATGTCATTCAGTTGAGCATCAACGATCCGAACAGTTTCGTTGTGCACGGCTTTTGTGGTGTTTTGAATAGCTGTGTTGCGACTGTTGATGTCCTAGAATGGCTCTGTCAGTAATCATGGCCTCCTTCATGTTATAAATAGCATACCGTCCAGTCCTTCTTCATCTTGTTCTTCAAAGAATCCTTCGATTTCACAACCTCGCCCACAAACGATCTCTCTTTTTCAGACCACTGGCCCATGCCCTGCGCATAGACTTTGCTCGCTCGCTCAAATTCGCTTCGGGACGAGATTAGCTGGGATCGAGTGGAGTCCACGTTCGAGGATAAGCGTAACTCCTGTTTCTTTGCCGATTCGTCCATCAAAGCCTTGACCTGGGAGAGAAGCTGATCGCGATCATGCTGTGAGGCTTGACGCTCCTCAGTGAGGCACTTCTCGAGAGATGAAGATGCCGCTGCATTTGAAGCGACGATCTTTTCGTTGGCCTCTTGCAATTGGTTTCGGAGCTCATCAGCCTCCTCACGTTGGCTGTTGGCATGTTTGACGACATCGTCGAACATTGCCTTGAACTCGCGGCCAAGGGCACTGTAGGAAAGGTGGAGCTGAGTATGGAAGTGCTCCAACTCACAAATAACTTCTGCAGATATCCTGGCAGCAGCAGCAGAGAGCCCGTTCAATCCTTCACCTACTTTGCCCTTGACTTCCTCACGAAGCACTTTGATCTCTTCCAGCACCTGATTCATTTCGTCATGCGCTCCGGAAGTCTGCTGCCTAAGCTGACTCTCTGCTCTTTCATGGTCAGCATCCCGAGCGCTGAGAAATGCTTGGTTAGAGGCGATCTTATCTATCTCCGCGTTCAGAAACTGCTCCACTTTCTCGGACATTTCTGTAAGCCGGGTTGATTGCTCGACTTGGAAGTGCTCCATTTCCTTATCAACGATTTTTGTGACTTCACCTATCCGAGCGGTAGATGATTCCCAGGTCTGGCGGTTCAACAGATGCAGATCCGATCTTCGGCGAAGCTTCGAATGTAAGCTACCAAGGTCCTGTACTGATTCGTCTAGCTTCGTCATCAAACCAGTCCCAAGACCATGTAATTCTTCTTCGGTGGCCTGATGTGCCTTCCGGAGTTTGATCTCCTCATTTAGCAGCTGCTCAGTATCGCGCAGGACGATTTCCGTCTTCAGCAGAACATCTTTCGTGTTTTCGAGGGCTAATCTGGTCGTTTCGTTGTCGCGCTTGAGGCTGTTGAAGCTGTTGGTCAGTGAAAACAGATCCTGAACTTTGTTACGGAGACTGGTTTCCAAGGTCTCGATTCTTGCACTTTGCTCTTCGCTTAGTATCCTTCTCGACTCGCTCTCCACTGTGATCTCTTCAAATTGCTCATTCGATAGATAGACACCATTCCTTTGTCTTGTCGCAATTAGTTCGCTTTTGAGCTTCTCTATTTCAGTAGTAAACTCTCTCAGCAAAGTCTTCTTTGAGATCATAGAGTTGATCTGTGGCTTGTTTCGAATGTTCTTGGCTCGAAAGGCATAGTCAAGCGTAGAAATGGTCTCTTCGAGATTGCTTCTTGCTGGGGAAACAGTTGCAATAATGCAAGTCTTCGTTCGCCCACCCAACGAGTCTTGCAGCAAGCGAGTGAGCTTAGACTCCCGGTACGGAATATGTGAGCTCTTGTCGACAAGAGCGTTGATAACACGTCCAAGGGTCAGCAAGCTTTTGTTGATCAAGCCTGCTTCCGCTGCCCGTTTGTTTTCCGCTCCGCTTCGCTGGATGTTCTCGCTCCCAGCTAAGTCGACTAAATTCAGTTTTCCGGCACAAATGAAGTCCTCTCCAGTCTCGCCCGGCTTCTTGATATATGTGGTGATAGTAAAAACGGTATGGCTTCTTGAGCTCAGGTCATTGCATTTAGTGGCTGCTACTTGACGTTTGTGGCTTCCCGCTTGCAGCAACTTGATGCCCGCACTGGCAGACTTGATATGAGACTCCTCCATGCCTTGAACTAGCGTTGCGCTGTACCCCTTTTTGTTATTGTCATCGTAGATCTTTAGCTTCGTACCATCGTCGGCGGATAGGAGATCGCGTAGCTCTTCATTGTAAAGTTCGATGAAGGAGCATTTTACGGAGCATTCGACCTCATCGGATTCAAGCTTCTGAAAGAGTGTGTAGAGAACTCGAGGTATGATACCGGCTGCGTCTGACAGAAGCCCCAACGTATCTGTCATATCCCCAGACATGGTGTATGTCTTACCAGTCCCTGTCTGCCCGTACGCAAATATGGTACAGTTATATCCGGTGAGCATTTCGCCAAGTATGGGTTTAACAACCTCATCAAATATGATGGCTTGATCAGCCGCTGGGGAGAAGACTTTGTCAAAATGGTAGGTCTTGTTGCTCAAGGCGCTCGGTCCCATTGAAAGCTCGACACTTCTGCCTTTGAGCCCGTTGACTGAAACCACAACACCACTGTTTTCTTTGACTTCTCTGTCGCTTCTGCCCCGGCACCGGACTACCACGTTGATGTTTGTCTCCTCGCCTGCATCCTGGTCAAAATCGCGTTCCTTTCTCTTCAGTCCCGCACTCGGTGGAGCACTTGGGGATCGAGCTCGTGTTGTGCTTCCAGAAGACATTGAATCTGCTGGTGACTCTGATCGTCCAATGGTCGATGTTGACGCATTCGGTCTCGCTGGTGGGCGCATTGAGCCACGCTTTGCGGGCTGTGGGCGAGGAGGGATCACCATAATGCGTTGTATGTTTTCACTAACGAAAATTCTTCAATACAGTCTCCGCAGCAGAGATAGAATTTCTAGCGCATTCGAAGTAAGGACGTGAAAGGTGACGGCAAGGTTCTTGCTGCCAAGAGAATGAACCTTTCCGGGTTAGAAGTAAACAATGTCATTTGCCTCAATAAGGACTAGCCTCAGCCGTTGGGCAGATGACAACCAGTGTGCCTGGACATTGAGCACAAGGGGTTTGCTTTACAGAACACATGATGCTCTCTGAAAGTCTTCTAAGTTTCATGATGCTCAAGTCTTAAGGATGTCCTCTTTACTTACTCAGTGCTCTGAAGATCGGAGGTTGTCATGGCCAGCCAACATGGGCATACACAGATCTATCCCGGCAGAGGCCTCGGCTTCTTGAGCAAGTATTTCCACCCTTTCTTTAGAATCAGGTACTAATCTCTCGCAGCATTAGGAGCGTCTCTTCACAACATCCTGACCCGCCTCAAAGCTCAGCCGCAAAGCTACCCTTCCATTGATCTATCTTATTCCTCGAACGAACCTGTCCTTCACCCTGTTATCCTAGACCTTGCTAGCAGCGGAATCCGTCTCCAATTTGATGGCCCAGATCAGCGTCTACGGCTGATCGAAGTGCTCGACTTCTCCAAAGCGTCACTGACATACAAAGGCACTGAGCTACTTCGACGATCTAAAAGTACAAGTGATGGACTCAATGAGCAAGATCCAAAGCAAAAAGGGCCAGCTTTTCGACACGTGTACAATCGACTCTTCGGCCCTTCCTACCCTGGCGAATATATTCCTCCGACGTCTCGGAGCGTCTCGGATCGCGGTACATATGTGCTGTCGTATCCTGGGGTAGCCTTCTGCTTCCCCTTATTGCAAAGCTCATGGTCGGAACGCGCTGACTTTGTCTCCCTGCTGTCCTCTACCGCATCCTTGCCGGCCATATCAATGGCTATTTTCCAAGGTTCTTCCTGGTCCGAAGCAAGAGCAACTCTTTTCACAAAGCAACCACAGTTTCCAAGGTCGATAGCCCTATCTGGCAAAGACAAAGATCTGGCTCCGGATGAGGTGGAAGAGGCTCGAATTTATGGACAGGGGCAGATTGAGTTTGTACGACGTTTCATGCCTTCATTTTGGGTACATTTGAGTGAGACGACTCCTCAAGATTTGATAGCCGAATTTGGACCACCTGATGCGATCTATCGGAAGAATGACAATCGTATTTCAATACACGGAAATGATGTCGAATATCGCATTCCTGGGCTTGAGAGCACATCTCCTGTAGGTCGAGCCACATCCGTGGATACCGATCACTCATCGACCCAGAGCTACAGCGAGGGATCTGATCGTGAACAGCCTTCAAATTCCGCGGACAAAGATGTGGTCAATCCGGAGTGTTTTTTCAACTACTTTCATCATGGCTTTGACGCCTTCGTATCGTTTCCAACCTCAAAGTCGCCTCCTTTTCCAGGCACTGAGGCAAGACATGGAACACCACTCTTTGGACCAGAATTGAGAGTAACCAAGATCTTGTTCCATGCAAACGTGCCAGGATCCTATCCATTCAATCGCCATCGAAGAAGCAGGTGGTCAATTCAGACTGGCCCAACTGGGGTTGGAGTAGAATTGTTGTCGTCAGAGATGCCCTTTGAAGACGTCTCGGATGTACTTAAGCGTATGTGGCATGGCTCGTATCGTTCTGAAGATGAGGAAAGGTCTATGCAACGAGGTATGGTCCTGAATCGGGGTTGGGGTGAAAGTCCTGAATCTTCTGTGGAGTTATTGGGTGGATGGGAGGACAATGCTTCCCCACATGGGACAGGTGGACTGGAGTCCTCAGATGGAGTTCAAGGCCTCGGCAACACGGAGTTGTTCGGATTCCCAGGCCTTTTGTTTGAGGTGGTCAAGAATGGAACTGTGAGCTGTTTGACTGTCTACTGACGGACAACGTACTTAGACCTGCTTTTTGCTACATTTAGCAAGCGTGGGAATGAGCATTGGGAGATCATCTAAACGGACAATTGTTGGGACCGCGAGGCAAAGATGACATACTGGTATCAATCTTACCCACAACAATATAATAAGACTCTCTAATGTACCATTTCTAAGTGTGCTCATTACAATAATAATAATACGTCCTTGTAACGTGAATTAGGAGGCACCTCGTTTAGTGGAAATCTGAATCGTAGTTAGAATCCGTAAGGACCAGTTTTTACCAAGACATCATTCTCCCATTGTGCCGAGCAGCTACGCAGACAGAAGTATGCTCAAACTGTAGCATGACTACAGCTGCCAAACAAGCTGTCAAGTCATGGTCATCTACGCTTCTGCTACCAAAATCCTCGTTTCCGGCGCGTCCTTCTGCCAAAGACACAGCGCGATATATCCAACGATGTGCCGATGACCTGTATTCGTGGCAGCGCCGAGAAAGGTCTGCCGACAATACTTTTACGCTCCACGATGGTCCTCCGTACGCGAACGGCACTCTGCATATCGGGCATGCGTTGAATAAGATTTTGAAGGACATTGTGTGCAGAACCCAGCTTGCACAGGGCAAACGAGTAAGCTATGTTCCAGGATGGGATTGTCACGGTCTTCCAATTGAGCTCAAAGCGCTTGAACGCCATGACTGGAAGAAAGGCGGCGACCATGATGCCCTTGCTGTGCGGAAGGCTGCGAGGGCTTTTGCAGAGGCAGCAGTCCAAGAACAAATGAGTGGCTTCAAATCATGGGGAGTAATGGGTGATTGGGCAGGGCACTGGAAAACAATGGACAAGGACTTCGAGCTTCGGCAGCTGTCTGTATTTAAGGAGCTGGCCCGCAAAGGATTGATCTATCGCCGACTCAAGCCCGTATATTGGTCTCCTTCGTCTGAGACTGCACTTGCAGAAGCAGAGCTGGAATATAAAGATGATCATGTATCTACAGCCGCCCTTGTCAAGTTCCCACTTGTTCGGCATCCATTCAGTCATGATGAACAGCTCGTTAGTGCCGTCATCTGGACTACGACACCATGGACCATCCCTGCCAATCAAGCAATTGCGGTCCGCAAGGATCTGGAGTACGTCGTCGTCCGCTCGAAAGCCCATGGCAATCTTCTGCTTGCGCAATCGCGTCTAGACTTTGTTAGCGCGCTCATTAATGAGGAACTACAAGATGTGCAACACACAATTTCTGGGTCTGGGCTCCTGGACGCTCAACCAAACTATAGATCACTATTCAATATCCACGATTCTGATCGGCCCCTGTTCCATGCAGACTTCGTAAAGTCAGATGCTGGTACTGGTCTGGTTCACTGTGCTCCTGGTCATGGGATGGATGACTATCACGCACTATGGCCGCTCATTCAAGCGAAGGAGATTTCCATCCTTGCCCCTGTTGATTCCAAAGGATGCTTCACTGGCGATGCGGTGCCAAACGATGGGTCTCTGCTGGAGGGTCAAAAAGTCCTAAGCGATGGTAACAAGACTGTCCTCAATCTGCTGAAGGAACAACAAAGTCTGCTCGTCTCCTATAATTACGTGCACTCGAGCCCATATGATTGGCGAACGAAAGAGCCTGTTATTGTTCGGGCTACTGCTCAATGGTTTGCTGATGTAAGCAGTGTCCGAAACGAGGCGATTGCGTCTCTCGAGGATGTAGACTTTTTTCCCGCTGGCGGCAAAGTGCGATTGACGAGTTTCCTGCAGAATAGGAGCGAGTGGTGCATCTCACGTCAAAGGGCCTGGGGCGTACCTATTCCAGCCCTGTATAGGGTTGACAATGAAGAGGCGGTGCTTACAGCGGAAAGCATTGACCACATCATCAGTGTCGTGGAAGAGAGAGGCGTTGATGCATGGTGGTCTGATGCTGCCAACGACCCTTCTTGGATTTCGCCCCAAATTCTCCAACATGCGAGAGTCGAGGATTTTCGTCGCGGGACTGACACAATGGATGTATGGTTCGACAGTGGTACAAGTTGGACACAGTTGCCTGGAGGCATTCCAAGCAACAGAAGACCACTGGCAGATGTTTACTTGGAGGGCACTGATCAGCATCGAGGCTGGTTTCAGTCCAGTGTTCTAACAAGAATCGCTTATCAGCAGTCAACACGGAATCTTGTTGTTCCTACAGCACCTTTCGGATCCCTTATCACACATGGCTTCACTTTGGATGAGAAAGGCAAAAAAATGAGTAAATCTGAAGGAAATGTGATTGCGCCGGATGAGATCATTCATGGTGCAGCGTATCCTCCAGACTCATTGAAGAAAGACCGAGGAAAAGGCAAAGCTGGGTCTTTCACGGCTTCTCCAGGGCCTGACGCGTTGCGCTTGTGGGTTGCCAGTAGCGACTTCACAAAAGACGTCATCGTCAGCGATACAGTGATCAAGAATGTGCACTCAGCTTTGCACAAGTACAGGGTGACGATCAAGCTTCTGCTTGGTGCGCTAAAAGACTTTAATCCCACAGACCTTATGCCCTACCATGAACTCAGTCAGATGGATCAGATTGCATTGCTTCAGTTGTTCCAGGTCAAGCAGGTAGTAAGAGTTGCCTATGAAGAAAAAGAGTTCTATAAAGCCATCAGTGCTATTAACAGATGGATTAATACTGACTTTTCGGGTCTTTACGTGGAGGCCATCAAGGACTCTCTCTACTGTGATGATTTCCGAAGCCGAACACGAAGAGCGATACAGACAACACTCTACCGAATTTTGACTGAATTGCAGGCAATGCTTGCTCCAGTCACACCTTTGCTAATCGAAGAGTCGTGGGAGCATGCCCCTGAGGGCATTAAGGCCTCAGACGTGCACCCACTGCACCGATCATGGACGCCAGCGCCAAAAGAATGGAACAATGTTGATATCGACACCATCCTTCCTGTGCTTCTAGCCACCAACACGGCGGTGAAAAGTGCGCAAGAAAAAGCAAGATCGGCCAAACTGATGGGCTCTTCGCTGGAGTCATTCGTCACCTTGCTGGCGCCAAACAATCCATCGGGCAAGCAAGCTCTTGTTGCCTGGCAGGGTTCTGCGATGCGGCAGATGCTTGTGGTTTCGGACCTTTGCATTGCTTTGGGCGGCGATGAAAGAGTATCCGAGCTGGAGCATGAATTGTCTACCCGCGAGGAGATACAGACGTGGATGTACAATGAGCCGATTGAGTTTCCTGATGGCTCAAAGGGATGGGCACTAGTGCAGAAGCCCAAGTCATCCAAGTGTGCGAGGTGTTGGCGCTACAGGGCCGACGGACAGGCTTACAATGAGGACCTGAAAGTCTCCAATGCCGGTATCACTGACACGCCTGTAGCAGCGAATGATACCAAAACAGAGCAGCTTTGTGCTCGGTGCAGAGCTGTGGTCCTGGATTTGCAAAAGGCGACAGGATGAACAAACTGCTTCGCACAGGGCATTTTGACAAGGCAAGCTCGAGGCTGCGAGCTTCCTCTAGGACCGCCGTGAACACTGGAATCCTCCTGTATAATTATGCTTCTAGAGGTATATTTAGTTCTAAATTCATCCATTTCTCCCGACAATTTGTACGAACAAGACCGAAGCACCTTGTTCTGTCTCAGCACAGCTTCTCGTATCTACATCGGCGGCGACGATAGCTTATCCTGCTCCTTCATTTCGTTCCCATCTCCTGTAGCTGGCACTAGCAACTCTACTCCGTAAATTAGTTCTGACAGAGCACACGAGGCTCTTAGCCTTGAACGCTGTTTCTCTAACATGCTAAGTGTGCTAGGCACCGCAGATACTCGACATCAGATTCTGAGAAATGGTACTTCGCTGACCAATTTTGCGGATGGATAGGATGAGGTGGTCTGGCTACTCAGTTGTCTCGATCGCTGAGTTTGATGTTTAAGGATAAGTCGAGATCTCAGACCATTGCAGGGCGGTAGTGTGAACTATATTGACTCGGGAAGGAGGAGCTTGTCCTTGCCAGAAATTACCAGCCACCTTGAAACTACGTAGTATGGTCTGGACAGTGTTAGTTCCAGCTTGCGGGGTAGACCATTGATGCATTAATTGTCTCATCCGCGGCGTCACCACATGCACTATGCCTTCACTACAGCACTACTGAAATTGTCGTGAGATCACATGGAAATCTTAGAAAAAGCGATGCAGCTGGGGTGTCAAGGACAGCGCACTACACACCGCAGGCAAAGCTCGCAACACTTGCAGCTTGTCACTTCATTGGGGTGAGCAACATAAAGTAGCTAACGGCTTCGCTTGACTCCAGACCAGGAACAGATAGAAAGGAGGTAGAGGCTACATCATGACTTGGCCCAGAAACAGCGTAGAATTAGCGGCATGAGAAAGTCTCCAGTACAATGATTTGAGGTGTAATCGCCCGAAGCCAGAAGCACAAGCAAGCGTTCTGATGATGCACATGATCCAACCCTTCTAGGCGTAAAGCACAGTTCCCATTGGCTGCAACGCACCTTCGAAGACACGGGTGCTGCGCTCTGGCTGGAGATTGGGTGGTATGACGCCGTTATGCAGGTCGGCTGTGGAGAAGTGGTTAAGTAAATTGCTGAGGGGAGGAGCTTGGATGCGCGAAGCTTGCTTGTGCTCCCACCCCCACAGCCAAAATAAGCTAAGCTGGACTATAGGCACAGAACCGGGAAAGAGCTCCAACCCACCGAGCTAGCTAGTCAGCCGAGCTGCCTACCACTTCTCCTCAAATCTGCTGCGCCTTTCTCCATCTCTAGCTACACTTCTCTTCTCTTCCACCCATCCATCCATCCATCCATCACACTCAGTACACATCTCTCTTCTGCCGTGTAGTATCATCTACACCCATCCATCAGTCAAGCACATCTTACATCTGTTACATTTTACTGCTAGCCGTCAAGATGATCGTGGATCCAACAGCTCTCGTCAAGGCCTCGTCCTCGGTGGCTCCCATTCCTACTGTCATTCCCGGCCCGGAAAACGTCTATCAGAAAGCCGGTGATGTTGGCAATCGTACACTATGGTACTGTTTGGCTACAGCTCCTCATTGGTTCCATCTTCAACTAACATCAACAGGGTTGTCTGCGTGATCATGGCCTTGTCTTCGATCGCCTTTTACGCGATGGCCTTCAGGGTCCCAGTTGTGAGTGAAAACCCTCAAAGATGCTCGGTCACACAAGCTAAATCTTTCCAGCAAAAACGCCTCTTCCATATCCTCACCGCCTTCATCACTACCTTTGCTTTCCTCTCATACTTCGCAATGGCAACAGGAGATGGCATTGCTTACAACCAAGTCAAGGTTGTTGAGCAAAACAAGCATGTACCAGACATTGTCCACTACGTCTATCGCCAGGTCTACTATGCCCGCTACATCGACTGGAGTCTCACTACCCCACTCCTGCTGCTCGATCTTGCCCTCTTGGCCGGTCTTAGTGGCGCCAACATCCTCGTTGCCATTATTGCTGATATTATCATGATCTTGACCGGTATGTTCGCTGCTTTTGGCAGCCACGATGGCCAGAAGTGGGGCTGGTATGCCTTCGGCTGCATTGCCTACCTTGTCGTTGTTTACCAGCTTGCATTCAATGGTCGTGCCGCCGCCGCCGGTAAGGATGGCAAGACCAAGGCCTTCTTTGGTGCAATTGCCGGTTTCACCCTTATCCTCTGGACCATCTACCCAATGTAAGTTGTCACTGTCCCTCGGCCTTTCTGTTCGCTAATACATTACAGCATCTGGGGTGTTGCCGATGGTGCCCGTGTCGCCAGTGTCGATGCTGAGATTATCTCCTATGCCGTTCTTGACGTTCTTGCCAAACCGGTCTTCGGCTTCTGGCTCCTCTTCACCCATGACAGCATGGCTAGCACGTAAGTTTTCAGTTTCCAGATCACTATCATCTCATTAATACTGACTTTGCTTGACAGATCCCCATCTGTTGAGGGCTTTTGGGCTCATGGCTTCGGTGGTGAAGGCCAGGGCACCATCCGAGTTGGTGATGACGACGAAGGTGCCTAAACGATTGGCTAATCTAGTGTTCCAGGTCGGTGAGGATTAAATTCAGATCGACTGATAGCCTCCCTCCTTACTTGACAATTGTAAAGGGGAATGGGTAACGAACAGGGGATGTTACACCAACGCAAGCGTCATGTTGGTGTTGATGGTGGAGGGAGCATTAATGATGGTCGAACTGAGCAGACAAAGGATGCGAACATGATCACGAATCATGCAAAAGCTCTAATTTCCTCTCTGGAGTGTATCCTTGGGTCAGAAAATCTCAGTGGTCACTGTGCGTCTCTATTCTTTTCTTCCAATCGTCGACTGGGTGCTGGCTGGCAATATGCAAATGTACGATACAGACAATCCGCCTAGCTTGTCGCTTAAAACAAAATTGCGTCACCAGTGTACATTTGTATGTTTTGTCTTTTGATATCGGTGTTCGAACGAATTGGTCCTCTATACGGAGTATTTCGTCTGGATATCTAATATTTCTCCAACTTCTATCGCGGTGCGTACTAACGCGAGATCCATCTTAAGTATCCTCTTGTGCTCCATGCATGTGGTGTGTGTTCAGACTGCTTCCACAGTCGCCGCGCTGTCGCACACTTCGAGGCCGCCCCAGGCTCCCCAGTTAACCTTGTTAGCCTAATACGTACAGAGACAGCGATTTGCGAGGTAGTTTCTGCCTTGTGATGGAAGGACAGATGTCTACAACGTCAGCATAAGCCTCCTGATTCGGTGTTATTCGTAATTATTCGTATCATGCATGCTTTGTTGCTCTTCATTTGCAGTGTTTTATATCAGTAGTGCTTTTCGTGGACTTTTGTGCCAAGCTCGGGACGCTGGAGCGGATTAGTCCACCGGCTTCCCCTTTTTAGGCTTCTGTGATTGACTTCGTTGCAAGTCCTCGCTACAGTTCCAGAAAAGAGCAGACAACGCAGCGGCCCGTCTTGTGAGGCTTGAAATAGCTGCGGCAGAGAGGTGACGCAATCCCCCGGCTTGTGCATATCTAACAATGAATCAAGGTAGGTGGCCCTTACTATTGGCCAAGGGTCCCTGTGTGAAGGTATCACAAGCTGTACGCTCGGAGGAAAAGGCTGTCGATCAGCGATTACCTCTAACCCGGCCAGAAGAACGATGAAGAACCGGTTCACTAGCCGTCCGATATCTGAATCAATGGTGCAATCTTGAAAGACAGCGCTTGTGGTCATATGGTGAGTGATCATAACTAGTAGCATATCTAGCGAAGATGTTTACATGAGAATGTGAATGTTTGGTTGGGGCTCTTTTGTTTTGACACTCTGGCACTGAGACACAGCAGCATCGGTACGTTTCATCGTCAAGCAGGGGTGAAAGAAGGCGAGGCTGAGCAAGAGGCTTCGCCATCTAGATGAGCAGATAAACATAATCTCAGGCCAGCAGGTACTCTTTGCAAATGCTCCCACAAGTATCTCCGTTCTTCACACCATCGGCCTCGATTCTTCACATAACGCGATCGTTGTTGTTGACATGGCTGCGTTATTGAAGTCTGCATCTTATAGCTTGGTGCATGATCATATTTCTCGCTCACCGCACGAATCCACCACTGTTGAACCCAAGTCTTGCCTGCATGCTCTCAAGGACAGTTCCAAAGCAGAAGGACTGAAAAAGGCTCGCAGCAGGCTTGGGAGATTGTGGACCTGGATCGCAACCGACTCCTGGACTCTTGAGTATGCTGCTTTGACGATAGCCGTGGCTTCTTTGGCGAGTATTGGGATCTTGCTCGGAATCTACGGCGAGCGTCCTACATCGGCTTGGACGTACACAATCACCCTGAATTCTGTTCTTTCCACGTTAGCCACGGTCATGAAAGGGTCAACGTTGTTACCTGTTGGCGCTTGCCTGAGTCAACTAAAATGGACATGGTACCATCACGAGAAGAGATCCTTGCTGCACTTCCAGCTGTTCGACGCAGCTTCCAGAGGTCCGTTGGGCGCGGCTTCGCTCCTCTACCAAATCCATTCCTGGCACCTCGCTTCTATTGGCGCCATTGTGACATTGATAGCTCTGGTCTCGGACGCTTTTATTCAACAGTCGGTACTGTATCCCTCAAGAACCATCAATGAGACTGCATCTGTACCGTTCAGTCAGTCCTACGGCCTAGTGAGTACTTACCGGGGACGAAGCCAAGGCTATGCCTATGAAGTTGAACAATCTATGAAAGCTGCAATTTACAATGGGATATTTTATCATAACGCATCTGTCACCGGTACTGGTGTCTCGGCAAATTGTCCTACTGGAAATTGCACATTCCCAGAGTATGCATCCCTGGCTATGTGCTCGCGATGTCGGGGCGTTACTTCTTCTATCAAGGATGTATGCGTACCCGTAGACACCACGAGAATCGGGGACAACGTTCCCAACAACTGCACTATGCAAGCCACACTTCCGAACGGACTGACGATGCGCAACATATACTCTGAAGCACGAAAGAACTATTCTACATACAACAACTACATGAACACAAGCACTAATGAATCACTAAATGAGAAAACTTCGACAGGCTTCTGGAACCTCGTCAATCTAACGATTTTGATCGCTAACTTAAATACTCAATCGTCGGACAGTAGCGATTATGATTTGATGTATAGAAATCCAACTGCATTCGACTGTGGTTTCTACTTTTGCGTACAGAAATACTGGGGTAAAGTTTCGAATGGTGTCTTCTCCGAATATATCTTAGCCAATTTCACAGGCGGTGAGACCAGTTACCACAGACGCAAAGGGGGAGGGGGCGAGAATTGGATTGTCAATGTTTCCAAAGGACATTTACCCTCTGCGTCCAATTTAACATTCTCGGTGGATGATGAGTCGGCAAATGCTTTGTTGTTCTACTTAGGTAATTTATTCAAGGGCAACGGATCCACAAATTGCGACAGCGGAGTTCCGAGCTTCAGCAGCGATGTCATGGAAGTCATCTTTCTCAAAGGTCCATCCAATGTGCCTCAAATAATGGCCAACGTCGCAACCGCCATGACGAACAATTTGCGCCTGAAGTCCGAAACGGTTGCAATCGGGACCGCCATTGTTCTAGAGACTTACATTCATGTGCGATGGCTTTGGCTGCTGTTGCCATTGATTATGGTCTCACTCGCAACAATCCTCCTTGCACTCACTGTTTGGCAAAGTCGCAGATGGGACATACCCAATTGGAGGAGTAGTGCACTTGCGGCCATGATGCATGGTGTTCAAGAGGACGAAGAGGGCGCGTTGAACATGCGTGCTCTTGCCCTGTTGGGTAAGGAGAGGATAAGTGAGCTCAAGAGGTGGAGTGAGGTAGTTCAGGTACGGCTCAGGCGCAGGGGTCCTAGTGGTGAAGATTATGGCCTTATTCCTGCTGATGAGTAATTCGTTGAATGCCCTGAACTGATACCGGCGATGGGCCTTCAATCTCACTCTGTTAGACGGGACCAAAATCAGCTCAGAGGACTGATGTCGTTCGGTACTCGTCGCCACATCTTCTAGATTTTGTGGTCGGACTATGCAGCTGGACTCGAGCTCGTCCTCAACGGCAGCATTGTATGAGGAATTGATCTTTTGACATTCAGCATTTTCGGGAAGACAACGCCTGATAAGCCAGCAGTGGTGAAAGAGGTATGGTAGCACTAACATAGAGAGGGAGCAACATGAGCGAGCTCATGCGGATCTTGTATTGGAAAGGCAGACGGTAGGGGAATAATGATACTCGAGGTACGGGGTTGTTGTATTCAGTGGCACAGCTTCATATAGACCGTGCGCCGTAAACTTACCTATTGCCAACGTCATTATCTAACCGGTAACTTTCATTTTCATAGAAGCCACAAAGCGAACAATGTCTTTTTCTTCAACAAGATACACTGACTGAGCTTGTGCAACCTTCAGGTCGTAACCTATTCCCAGACCATACGGTCAACCCGGTATTTACGACGCCAACGCCGTTGTTGTCAGTTTCCTGTGGTTCCTATGAGGATCCCATAACCGCTTAGATACTTAGTGTCTGCTCAGCAGCAAGACCAGCCGCCATGCTGCCAATAAATCTGTGTATGCTCCATGATGGCGCGCTGACTGTTTTTCTTCCGCAGGTGAACAGATAGGGGGAGTATCGGTTGACTGACGGCAATTGCGCGGTGAAGGTGCTAGTTAAGCTCTGGGGCCGGCTGTGTTGTTCTGTCCATGACCCCAGGTGTGGGAAAAGCATTCCATGTCTACTGGCATTATCTTTTTCCCATCACGAAACTAGCTCGAGGATGTTCCGACCGTTCTCAGCTATACAAGCGGAGAAGTCGTATTTAGGGAAGGGGTAAGATTGATGGCGATATTTATGGAACAGGCGCATGAAAGCAGTTTATGAAAGTTTATGGAAATAATAATTGCTATGGCTGTCTTCCACCAATTCCCATTTACACCGCGGACGCCTAATAGATATTAGATCTTGACTTGAGTGGTCATCCCTTTTTGCACCGAGATTCTCTATGCAGAAATACAAGGGGCACTTCCCGCTCCAGACAAGGACAAGTAGTTGGACTTGGCTTGTTCTTAGTCAAGACGTGAAAGGCAAACGAAATATGTAGAACAAAATGCAACCCAGAGACCAGATACCTGACATCAATTACCCATGCAAGACTGTAACCAGCAAGTCAAAACCCATCACAGAACAAAAGCCAAGATACCACAGAGTCCGGCAACAGTAGAAAGGAGACCAGCAGCGACGGGTAGTCTCGAAGCGGCACCAGGGAACGGTGTGGGACTGGCAGATGATCCAACGCGGTTGTCACTGCCACTACCGGCACCTTTCGACATGGACGGCGAGGTTGTGTTGCTGGGGTACTTGGAGCCACCAGCAGCCCCTGAAGGTGAAGCAGAGCCTGCACCAGAGCCCATGCCAGGCATCGAAGAACCTGGAGTCCCGGCGCCAGCGGCAGATCCACCTGGGGCAGCGCCGGCACCCGATCCACCTGGAGCGGCACCAGAACCAGGTGTAGACGATCCTGAGCCGGTACCTGGGGCAGCTGAAGCGCCAGGAGTACTAGCGCCAGCAGGAGACCCGCCCGGGGCAGCAGGAGAGTCGGGGCCAGCAGAGCCAGGAGTACCGGCACCTGGTGCGGAAGAGCCACCGCTGCCAGTGCCGGGTGGTGTAGTATCACCAGTAGCCGCTGGGATCGGAGTGTGGAGTGTGGCAGTCACCGGAGTGCCTCCCATACCGCATGTCTCGCAGACAGCAACAGTAGTCATCATGCCCGGTCCAACACCCCCAGGTGCAACCTCATGGCATGGGCAGGTGGCAGTGATTGTGTGTGTGGTCGGTCCTAGACCTCCAGTGCAAGATGGTCCACCAGTACAGAAACCAGGGCAAACAGTAACATAGGTGGTGACATCACCATCAGAGCCAGGTCGTGGAGCACCAGTGTAGGTCGAAGTGTGGGGATTGGTGATGGTCGTAATGCTGGCCGTGGAGGAAGGGCAGGTCGAGAAGGTCACTGTGGTGACCGCCGTGTCGGATGGGTTGAGGACGACAGAGCTTGTGCTCATCTGGGCATTAGCACCAGCTGCCAGAAGTGCTGCCAACGGCAGATTTTTGCTGATACGAGGCATGGTGTAGTAAGGGACTAGAGGAGCTGCGGTCGAGAGAAACCGATAATGGATTCTAATGTAGACGATCCTGGCTGAAGTATGCCAGGCAGCTTGCAAGAGGCAGACGCACCAAAAAAAGGTCTGCTGAACCCGAAAAACGAATGACTTGATGACATACAAGGAGTGAGCGTAACAAATAAAGAGAGAATGGTCGAGCGAAGCTGAAGAAGAAGGAAAGAAAGCGATGGCCGGGTTGTGGTATGTACTTTAAGTATGGCTGAAAACAGAGCTCAGATCACCTACCTTTCCGCGGAATGCTGAACGTGCATCGCGCAAACAACAAAACAGCTCTGTATGGTAACGGTCAGAGCACCAGAATGCAAGCGACCAACATTGTGTGTCTGGAATGTTGTCAAATTTGACCAATGCAGCCCTCCAATGTGACTGGTGGATGCTCCATCGAGGCTGATGAAAGCTGGCCTGACAACCAAGTGCGAAAGGATCGATAGGTCTTGATACATGTCATAAAGGAATAATGTAACAGCAGCCTTGACTAGATGAATCAATTCAAGGACGGCCATGGCAGCACCATGGATAGGGCTGATAGCACTAGATACAGTCCGAAGGGTTCTGCACTTTTTGCAGCAAATCATGAACGAACTCTAGAGGAATAACAACAGCTTATAGCTAGCGGCGCAACCAATCCTCCTGCTTGTTTCCCATCATCGACATTCCAATCTCATCGCCCTCACCTAAGAGGACCCGAAAGACGAGAGAGAAACTTCCTTCAGGGATATATTTTGGTCTCCAGAGCCACTAAGCCCGGTGTTCCAGGCTTATGGCAACACATCGCAGTAGAGGTAGATTGAACGATGGTCGTGGCTGGCTCTGTTCACTTTTTGATGAAGAAAAGAAAAAATCAATATTAGGTTTGTGTGCAACGAAGGTTTTGAATGGTCAGCTCAAGCAATCCACGTGATCACTTTCGTCTTGGCAGCGACTCCAATGTCCAACTTGAACTTGAAGACCTTCGCTTTCTTCTACCATCTCAAACGTTTCCATAGCACACAGGTTGGGATTCTCAGCTCTAGATCTGCACATATATTGAACGCAAAGATTTGCCCGGTGAAGGACTCTAGATTGTATGAATGTCTAGTCTAACAAGGCCAATGCATCGTAGTCTAGGCTATGATCACAGAACCGCCAGCCATCATAACTCCAGCACCACACAGAAAGCCCTCATGTCACTCATGAATGCTTGACCTTGCCATTGGCCTCAACCTTAGGCATCCTCAACTTTGTATCAGCACGTTTCACGTATATCCTTCTTTCAAGAAACTTCAATGCTTCGTCAATGAAAATGACAGGCGCGGACATAAGCAAAACAGCTTGCCATTCAGACCAGTTGAGAGGAACTATGCTGAAGAGCCCTTGAAGGAATGGTGTGTATAGAATAGCAAAATGCAAGACCATCGATAGCGTGATGGCGTAGATTAATTTCATGTTCTTCCAAAGCGGCATGGTAAGGAGGGATTCAGCGGATGAAAGAGCATTCATGGCATTGAACATCTCAATGACCACAAGGATGGAGAGGGACACTGTCGATGCGGTTTGCGACTCGGTACCAGTAAAAATCCTACATCCAATCTCCGGGAACTGCGAGGAACACTTATGAAAATGACGCTGGCGATAGTTAGCAGAGTATTTGGGAAGATGGTGGTGGAAGATGGGCGTACAAGTTGCCAAAACGATATCTGTGGACCATGCTCGTAGAACATGAACCACCAGGCGTACCCTCCTACAGTGGCGGCTCCAACATACGTTCCAACCACCATATATCGGAAGAAAAGCCAACCGGTCACGAGCGCTTCGTCTCGCTTCCGTGGCTGCCGTCTCATCACATCATGATCTGGCGGGTTGAAAGAGAGGGCCGTGGCAGGAAGTCCGTCTGTCACCAGATTGACCCACAACAGCTGTACTGGAATAAGAGCCTCTGGCATACCCAACGCAGCGGTCAAGAAGATCGACACCACCTCTCCGATATTAGAAGAGATGAGGTACCGGATAAATTGCTGCGTATTGCTGTAGATCGATCGGCCCTCTTCGACCGCAATTTCAATGGTAGCAAAGTTATCGTCCGCGAGGACCATGTCTGCTGCCAGCTTGGCAACATCCGTACCTGTGCCCATGGCCACACCGATATCGGACTTCTTCAGAGCAGGAGCGTCGTTGACCCCATCGCCCGTCATTGCCACAACCTCTCCGACAGACTGTAAAAGTTCAACCAGTCTAAGTTTGTGCGTCGGTTCAACTCTCGAAAAGAGAGACGCAGTCTTGGCTGCTTGCAGCTGTCCGCTCTCGGTCAACGCGTCAAACTCTCTGCCAGTATAGCTTTTACCTTCGAGCACTTCATGTTGACCGAAGACCCCGATCTGACGGCAGATCGTTTCAGCGGTGTTCTGATTGTCACCAGTAATGACAATGACGCGGATGCCAGCATCCTGGCATTTCCGTACTGAAGCGGCTACCTCTGTTCGAGGAGGGTCGAGCATGCCAACCAAGCCAATCAAGGTCATATCTTGTTCAAGCTGAGCATATTCTTTTGTGGTCTTGGCTGTTTGGAAAAGTGGATCCGTGCCGGCATTCTCAATGTTGGCGACAGCTATGACGCGCAGACCAAGGTTGCCATATTCGACAACCTCATCAGATATGAGAGCTCGATGCTTCTTCGTCAAAGGGACTCGCTTGGCATTTGCTCCAAGGAGAGTATGCGAGCAACGGTCAAGAATCGTCTCCGGGGCTCCCTTGACCAGCAGTTTCTGGCTTGAGCTGTGACCCGCCAATACCGACATGCTCTTCCGATCTCGGGAGAATTCATAAATCGCTTGGAGAGGCAAGCGGTTTTCGTAATACTTGCTTGCAAAGTGTAATCGATCCGAGACAGGTACAGCGCGGCGCTGCTGATTTATTGCTGCATCCTCAGTCCCAATCTTCTCAACGAGGACTCGTAGGGCGCCTTCCGTTGGTTCGCCAATGCTGCTATACGTCCCATTTTTGGCGTCATACGAGAGCTGTGCTTCATTGCAAAGCGCCAGAACCTCAGTCATTTGCAGGATTGTGGCAGAGGAGGCAGCAACGTTCTCGATTTTTTTGCCGTGGCGTGAAAGGTTGCCTTCTGGAGCAAAGGTGGTGCCATCAACTTCAATCTCCTCCAGATCGTTGCCAGCCTCGTTGAAATACACAATCTTTTCCACACTCATCTGGTTAGTGGTCAGAGTACCAGTCTTGTCGGAGCAGATGACGCTGCAGCTGCCAAGGGTTTCGACTGATGGTAGACTTCGGACAATAGCGTTCTTAGCCGCCATTTTCCGTGTACCCAATGCCAGACATGTTGTTATAACTACAGCTAAGCCTTCGGGAATGGCAGCGACGCCGAGCGAGACGGCAATTTTGAGGTAATAGATAGCTCCCTTTGCCCAGCTGTTTCCATGGGAGGGATCGTTAAAATGTTGAATATTGATGAGCCACACCAGGACGCAAATGACCGTGATCACCTTGGCAAGCATATCCCCAAAATCATTGAGCTTTTGCTTCAACGGCGTCGGCTCAGATATTTGAGATGTTATGCTATCATGGATATCCCCGATCGCGGTTGAAGGTCCGGTCAGGACAACGATAGCCGTAGCGTGACCTGTAACCACCGTAGTACCGGAGAAGAGCATGTTGATCTGATCCTGCTTGACCGCCTGAGGATCCTCGATAGCCTTGCAGTCCTTGCTTACGCTTTCGCTTTCACCGGTCAGGATCGCTTGATCAACGCCGAAAGCGTTGCTTTGGATCGAGAGCAAGCGGCAATCTGCTGGAATGCGATCACCCACTGCAATACTGACAATGTCACCAGGTACCAACTCCTCGGCTTTAACCTTCTGCATATGCCCATCTCTTATGACTTTCGCCTCGTTCGCGGAATACTCCTGCAAAGCAGCAATGGCTTTCTCTGCGCTACTCTCTTGCGTGACGCCAACCACTGCATTCAAGATCAAGATCGTGAGAATCTGTATAGGTATTCGATTAGACATCAGCAGCTGTTTCAGGCTGAAGTAGAGACTTACGACTGCTGGATCCACGAAAGCTGTCCAATCATCACCCCCCTCAAAGAGTGCCAGGACGAATGATATGGCGGCAGAGGCTAGCAGTATTATGACCAGCTGATCCTTGAACTGTTCCAATACAAGCTGCCAAAGGGGAGTCGGTGGCTCTTCAGGAAGGGCTGTATGCAGGGTTAGAAGAGAACATATCCTCAACGGGACTATTCATTACCATTTCTACCATACTTCTCCCGTGAAGCTAAAATCTGTCTAGATGATAGACCCTCGTCCTCGGCGACTTGAAAATGCTTCAGAACCTGGGAAGGAGAGGAGAGGAATGCTTGTTCCATGATGCGCCTGCGCAACGTATTCTAGTGTTTGGTAGAGGAGGGAAATACATAAAAATTCGATCCGGTTCAAGTATGATATGAAGCGAGAACACAGAGCAGGAGGTGACTCGTATCAAAAGAATGTACGGATGACTTGTAAGCAAGATGTAAACCCCACTACTTCCTGGGAGAGATCACCATGACTTTTGCTCCACGGTGTCTTTTTTTATTTTTGTCCACATGAGGCTTAGAGCAGGGGTAACCTGGCCAATCAGATCATTTACGGAACGGCTGAATTCCGTTGCATGCGGATGCGCCAACTGTCCTCTATGGGCCTATGGGGGTGTTCTGTTATCCAATGCAGTACTTTGTCACCCACAAACTCGGTATACAAGGACCTTTGAGGACGAGATCTGATTAGAAGGTCTACTACCTAGAGTCAGATCCCCTATTGGCTACTCCGTATTCTAGCCAAGAATCAGGTCTGATCCATCGTGTAGATTAGTATGTGAGTACTACTAGTAGTCCTAACCAAAGCTACAAAGTGGAAGGAATATGTTGATGAAAGCTCGTGCCGGAGAGCTGTGACCAATACCCTTACTGAGGTCGAGAAGGAGAAGAGCTTCTGTCCACACACTTTGAACTCTGGATGCTTGACAACAGATGGAGACTGTCTGTATCCTTGACTGACTGGGTCTGATCACATTGCGACCTATCCATTAGAGAACGTGCCTGCCAACCTTGCTATGATCGTAGACGCTGTGAAAGTCACACTCCGATCAAATAGTATTCGACTCGTAGGACTTGTAGGCCAAGGGAAAAACGCAGCTTGCATAGTCGATATGTGAAGATTGGAACCACAGAAAGACATCTGTAATCATTTCAGCATTGAGCCTTACCACTAGTGTGGCACGGTGACCAGCTCCGAGGGAAATGAAGAAGGGTATCAGTACCAGGATGGTGGAGAGACATGAAACCACCCGAGGCAGCAATCACGTGACCACAGACATGGGGGCCTTCTCCAGAAGCGAGGTACTATGTAATAGTAGAGGCAGGCTGAGGGTAGATTCCCATAAAAAGGCCCGTGTCAACAGTGCTGCTCTAAACTAATCGGTGTGGAGTGGGCTCCCAGACTCACATCAAAAGAGGGTTTCTTTCCATTGATACTAGACCCGCGTGTTCATCGCTACTGGCCCATCACTCCTTGTGCACAAGTCTGACCTGTGGTTTGTTGTGCCAGCTGATTGTCACCTGTCACGACCGTCCCAAACAAAAAAGTGGCACAACAAATTAGCAGTAGCCACCACCCAGCGTTTAACTAATATAGTGCCAAGCGAAGCGCTCTGACACTGCACTCTGACACCCATCCACGAACATCAATCAATCCTTTTCCCATACAACCTGCATCAGGCGTTCACCATTCTCAAATCCATTCACAACATTCTCAACTTCTTCAACAAAGCCACCCTTCTCTGTTCGGCAGCATCTACAGGATGGCAAGTGAGGTAAGCAACCCTCCCAGCTCCCAGCAAAACAAGCCGCGCAAACAGTTGAGGATGCCTCAAACATCTCTCATCATTTCCCTATCACGCCATCGATAAGACCTCATGCTGACTCAAGCTCTTTATCGCAGCGTGAGAGGTACGAGACAGATGGCGCAAGCATGCTGTTCACCTTCGATCTGACTGTAATGCAGCAAGACCTTCCTGGCGAGGCTCTGTGAGCAGGCCGAGCGCTATGATGAAATGGTCACATACATGAAAGAGGTCGCCAACGTACGTGGAGCTTACACAGACTGGCGCAATGCTACACCTGAATTCATTTTCTGACAAACAACAGCTTGGTGGAGAGCTCACCGTAGACGAGCGAAACCTTCTCTCTGTTGCCTACAAGAACGTCGTCGGAACCAGACGTGCTTCTTGGCGCATCATCTCATCCATTGAGCAGAAGGAGGAATCAAAGGGTTCTGATAAGCACGTTGGCACCATCCGTGACTATCGTCAGAAGATCGAGACCGAGCTCGAGAAAGTCTGTCAAGATGTCCTTGATGTCCTGGATCAGTCCCTCATCCCAAAGGCCGAGTCTGGCGAGTCCAAGGTCTTCTATCATAAGATGTATGCTCAATTTGGTTGCAGACAATCATGGACATCCATGGAGGTCTATATCACTGTTCAATGATACTAATCTACGATTCTCTTCACAGGAAGGGAGACTACCACCGTTACCTTGCCGAGTTTGCATCTGGTGAGAAGCGCAAAGTTGCTGCGACAGCGGCACACGAGGCTTACAAGGTGTGTTTGCCCTTCGATAGGATCACTTAGATCTCACGCTAATGACCATTTCCATAGAACGCAACCGATGTCGCCCAGACCGAGCTCACTCCCACCCATCCAATCCGCCTTGGTCTCGCCCTCAACTTCTCAGTCTTCTACTACGAGATCCTCAACTCGCCCGACCGTGCCTGCCACCTTGCCAAACAGGCTTTCGACGACGCCATTGCCGAGCTTGACTCGTTGTCCGAGGAATCTTACCGTGACAGCACCTTGATAATGCAGCTCCTGCGCGACAACCTAACCCTCTGGACATCATCAGATGGTGGAGAGGCTGAGCCTGCTGCTGCCGCTGGGGGCGCCGAGGCATCGAAGGATGAGAAGACGGCTGAGTCAAAGGCTGATGCTGCGACAGAGAGCAAGGATGAAAAGACAGAAGATGCACCTGCAGCGTCTTAGTTTGTCATCTCTCATACATCCCAGACCGAGACAGAGGTGCCCAGCAGTCCATCATTTCTGATTCTCGGGTCTATTAGTACACACACAAGTTGGAAGTGGGTCTGGCTGTCTTTCTGCATCTTGATCACAGCTGCATGCACTAGCTAGCTGCCAGCAGCAAATGTTTCTCTCCCCTTGGCGGAAGAAAGGGACGGAGTTTGCAAATGGATTAAGTATTTCAGATCCTTACTGGTCTTGTCCACAGATAGGGGACTCAGTCAATAGGAATTGTTCTCTTCATCTCTTCTTTTTTTGGGGGGTATTTTCTCATCCCTCAATGCTCCCTCCCCGTGCTTACTACATTACCGCCTATGAAGCCGAGGCTTTCCGTTATCTTCCTAATCCTGGTCCTTTCAACAAGAGAGGATCGGAAAGATACTATTGATAACATGCGACCGCATTGGGACGGGTGGAGCACCGCCCACTTCTCATCAACATCTCCCTACTCCACGACGACTTGTTCTATACGACACACCGCTTCCGCCAAAGCAGACGATACATTTACCAGTCCCCTCCACCCGTGGATACTAAGCAGTATTAGATTGATCTGACTTTGGCACAGATTGTATGTATCGGCTCCAAGCCATCTCACAGCTAGCCATCTGCGCTTCATGCTTCATTCCGATCGTTTCCTCCCCTTTCTTTCATTGAGTACGTCCCTTCTTTCATGGCCTAGATAGCTCCATGTGCCCTTCCCCCTTTTCGAGAAGCTTCTCCACCAATCTAAATAATCAATCACACAAAGGCCTTCTAGAACTTTGGCTTACCCTTCTCCCTCCAGTTGGTGCTATCTAGCAGACACGCTCGGCCCAGGAGTGGGGGAGCAACTCAGAGCACGCAAGGAGGAGGCGAGATCTCCATCATGTAGCCAGCGCTATGGTACGTACTGTTTCTGAGGCCTAGTGTTGTTCAAGCGGCGGCCTTCCTGCTATTTATGGGTACTAGTAATATTGTTGTTGTTGATTCACACCCGTCGTCTCGAAAGGTAAAGGCAATCTGACTGGCCTAGTACCACGACTAGGGTGCCGGATGCTTGGTGGGGGTGTTTCGTACTGCTTCGAGATTCAAATTGGTGAGAGTCTTGAATGCATTGGGGGTAGCTGTGGGTTCTGCTGTGTTGGACAGCATGTGTATATGTATGTGTGTATGTGCGCGCGTATGTGTATCAAGTCTGTTACCACATAAGGATGGATGATGGTCGGCATGAAGGTCGCGCTCACATGCAAGATGCATTGTTACAGTTACTGAGTCCTACCATATCATACTACAAGCCCTAAATAGACAGGGAGAATGAAGAAGTGAGACATCTTTACTCCGGATATGAGATCTCAATGCCACTCATTCATCGCACCGGCTAGACATTCTTCGAACGAGTCTGAAATTTGCCGAACCCTTGAGATAACAAGATACTGGTAAGTAGTACTTAAGATGATCCGAAAAGTGGATCTCATGGCCACCTAGCGCGTTGGCGTTCGCTCCCTCGGACTCTCCTTGACATACCGATCATTCACTGCATCATATACAAATACCTGTGGGCTTTCTACTCCATCATCCCCTGTCGTCCACTCTTCGTTCCCGCTAGGCCTGCCATAATCCTGTAGCGGTATCGCATCCCTATCACCACTTTCACCAATTCCCCCCACTCCTGTTCGCTGCCGCTGCTGCTCCTGTGTTCGGCCCTGTATATCTAAACTCTTCTTCGACCTCGGCATCGGCATTGCCAGACTCGGCGTTTTCATATGATGCTGTCTTAGAGACTCCACTCCCTCCTGCGGTATCGATGGCAGTGGTGGTGGTGGCTGCATCTCCAGCTGCGGTGGTGCCGGTGGTGGAGGAGGAAGTGGAAAGTATTGATCATGGAGGTTGGAGACTTTTTGTTGGTTTGGCCCAGGGCCGATTTGGCTGGTGTCGATTGAGGGACGAGCAGGAGAGGGGTTCTGGTGGGCGTAGTCGGCTGGGGAGTAGGATTTGTACATGGGGAATTGGGGCTGCTGAAAGGGTGGTAGGGGTGAGGTTGGTCCTTGTGGTTGGACGTAGGGATTCTCTTTTTGGTCGGAGATGGGTGAATAGTAAACTGGTTCGGGCACTGGAGCGGATTCAAACCCTTGTGGGCTTTGGGCCTGCATCTCATTCTGATGATAGTGCTGGTGATGGGGTGGGAATGTGGGAGAGTGTTTATCTTGGATCCTTCTCATGCCGTTCCGCTCGGCCATGATACGACGGCGGTGTCGGGCTGAGTAGAAACAGCAGGCAACAATGCTGCCAAGGATGAGAACACCAAAAACAACAGGAAGGGAGATCATGAGAGCAAGATTTGCGGGTTTGCTCGGACCTGGGACAGCAGTTGAGCTAGGAGTCGGTGTAGCAATAGGGGTCGAATTGAAGATCGTGTTTGCGGCCACAGGAAACGGTTGAGAAGGCCGAGGCGGCTGTAAGCAGGCTATATGGAGGACTTGGAGGACTGAAGGAATCCTGTTAGCTATGTGATTTGGAGCAGAGTATCTAAGTAGAGGGGTGGACTGACAGTTTGCCATGAAAGCCTCGCCGTTCATTCGGCCATAGCATTCTGCGCATCGGTTGATGCCCGCCGTATTCTTAAAGCTAGGGATATTGCAGTAGGATAGGTCTTCAACCGTGGCATTTGTCTCGAGGTTGTGACTGATGGCCGCTCCAAGAGGGTCGCATGTGACCTGGCAGGGTGTGCTGATTGACTCCTTCTCTACGGGGACTCCAAATACACAAGTTGAGAGGGCAAATCGCAGGTTATCTATGCTGATGTAAGTGCAAGCAGACATTACACCGTAGCGCTACAAACACAGTCCCCAAGTTACGTCTGTAGCCCCATTCGACGGATCTACCGCAGTGCTTCCAAGCTCACACTCAACACAATCCTGAAAACGTGTGCCGTTGGTTGTAGCGGCGAAGTCTTTGTCGGAGCAGACGAAGTCGTCCGCGGTTGTGCGAAGCGACGAAGCTGTGCATACTGACCGACAAGGTGAAGAGGGTGTAACGTGGATGGAGGAGGACAGCGAGCTCAGAGAGACGAGGAGGAGGAGGAGGAGGTGGAAAAGCGACAACCTTGAGGAGCGATAGTCCACCATTGCTCAAAGCACAATTGACACCTGTCGACGAGGAAGTCATCCAGCAACGCTCTGCTTGTCTGGTGTGCAGTAGAAGGCGAAGCCAGGTACGAGCCGCTGCCCCATCTTCTATCTGTTCCTGGGATGACCCTGGAGGTCAGTAGCCAGAAGATCAGTTGTGTGGGGAAGCGTTGCAATTGGTAGAGAAAGACATGGCCTTCATGCACTGGCTTCCAATGCTAGATCCGAAAGGGGACACGGCTGGGCTCATCACCAGCGGCACTGGAAGAGCACACCTTGACCGCCATGCAGCTAAAGGGTGACAGCACGAGTTAGTCGACGGTTGTTGGACCATTTGGAGTCCGCGAAGAAAGATGCTCCCACGCAGAGCATGAACTCAGTTTCGGTACTGCTGCCTTCAGCCTGCTTCTGGTTCCACATGCACTACTAACTAGTAATCAGTAATCACACGCTTCTTGTCTGCACATGCATGCCAGCGTCTCCAACCTATGGGCTGCAAGTCTAGTCCCTTATGACTGCGAACTGCTGGGGCTGTCCGCACCTAGAAGCAAGTCTAAAATTCAAGGCGCTTAGAGGTGGCTTTTTATTGAATTAAGCGACAAATGTGGTCTTACTATGTACAAATATCCTTCAATACATCATTCGGCTTGCAATCATTGCTGTATAAGTGCCTTGGGTGTTTGAATGTATGCCGTGGGTCCTCAATCATCGAGGGTAGTGCTCTCCTAGCCATCAGAGTCTCATGCCCTGGTCAGGATCAACTGACAAAGCGTTGAGGATGTGGGAGCTTGGGAGTTTCATCTCTGGACTTTTAACAGGAGGCCGCTGCTCATCCAGAAGGCTGGTAATCACTTAGGCAAGTTGCCTCTATGCGAAGTTCCGGTGGCGCTTCGATCATCCGTCAGCAGGGAGGTGCAGCCTGTGCAGTAGTCTGTCAAGGGCGGGTGCCAAATGCTGAACCTACAGCCTCAATCTCTACTCTCCACCAAATCCTGAAGTCCGGTGATTGGTATGGTTGTTCGATTCAGCTCGTGGTCGCGCGGAGGTCTCTCCTCTATCCGGATTCCTCCCCTGCTACTCTTGCCCCTTCTTATCTCGTCACTAGGTATAGGGGACAGATATAAGCTCCATTCACTGTACTGGGAGGATGCTGGAAAATCTGTGCGGAGAGGGTCATGGATGACCGCTTCAGCCATCGGCTATATTGGATCTCCGGCAGTGTAGTTTAAATGATGAGTTGGCTGCGACGTGCTTTGCCATGGGTGGGAGTATCGTAGAATCTGTTGGATATAACATATGGGACACCAACCCGATCATGCGCCGCCGAACGACAATGTGAGACCAGTCACAAATCATGTAGCGGTTAGGCCTTTATAGAGTGGCGGCGGCACCCATACACCTTCGAACCTCAATTGCTCGGTACGTTAAGTGTCGTACAATCCCTTCAAGCAGTATGCTCAGGTTTGATCTAGCACTTTTGTCGGTTGCATATCAGGTGGAACCTTAGTGTCCTCGTCTCCCTCCATTCTAGGTTCGAGGTGGGGATCAGTGTGCGATATCTACGCCTAAGTTAGTGGAGCTCGTGTAGCGCAGTGTTGATGGATATTCACCTTGTCAGTCGAGCTTAGCCCACGGTCAACCGCAAGCTTCAACGCAGCTTCCCGCTTCTTCGCCTGTTCAGACTGCTCATCAATCCTTGCTTGTTCTTCCTCTTTCTGTAACTCTGCCAATGACAGGACCGGCGGAGCAATGATCTGTTCCAGATCTTGGGGGCTCTTGATTGAGCTCACCCGACCAGCGCCATTTGAGTTCTTGGTCGACAAGGAGGACAACGTTCGTGTTGATGTCCTCGACGTCCGGGGCTGTTTGCTGGTGCGAGACCTCCCACTGCTGTGATCCTCTGATGGTACACCAGTGTTTCGTCTTGCCAGGGCCATCGCAAATTCATCATCCAATGGCACAGCATCAGCCTCTTCATCGCTAGGTATCAGATCCCCTCTGGAGCTCAATGAATTTGTGGTCGATCGGGAAGTTACCGTGGCGCTTCGTTGTCTGCCTTGAGTAAGTAGTATATCTTGGTCACTCTCCTCGTTGGCATCGAGAAGTGGCTCTTCGTCCAAATGATTCCCTTTGAGCCGACCAGGGTGTTCTTGTAGATCTGCTGCGGACGGCTTGTAGCGTAGTGGGCCACCAAATCTGAATGGCAATCGTTCGAGGAACCCCAGATATGAAGAACTTGGGATGATTGTCGGATCCTCTTCGCTGTTCTTGTGTGCAGGGCTCCTCTTCATCCTCCCACGAGAACCATAACTCATTGCGCGCTGCCTTCGTGGTTGCCCGCCTCGCCGTTCCTGGCGACTGCTCCCAGCTAGTAGACTGTCCAACTCATCATTGCCCCAGCCCAACAGATTGTTTCCGGTTCCATCATCCTCGTCCCAGTCATCATAAAAATCGAAATCGAGCTCTGGCCGTCCTCTCGAGCGCCCTCGTTTCCGACGCAGGTGCTCCTCACGCCCAGGGAAGCATGGCGCTGTGCAGTCCTTCAAGCACCCTCTGATACCTGACAAGCAAGGATCGATGTATAGCTGGGTGAAGGTGTAAATGTTTTCCTGTGCGGTCTCATTTGCAGATTCGAGGTTGCGCGAAATGGTATGCAAGGTCTGGCGAAGCTCAGGATTCATGATCTTAGCCATCTCACTAGGGCAGTGGCTGTCTCTTGTGCGGTGCCCGGAAGCTGGAGGCTAAGGTCTATGATGCTTCGTCGGGTTGTTCGATCTATACATTGACTTCGCACAGAGTACTCCAAAATCCACAGCTCATGGAGAAGTTCTTCATCAGATGTCGGAGGAACAAGGTCAACAAACTGCGCTTGAGAATGGAAGAGCGTGTAAATGACATCTCTGACCACTAAAGGCTTCGTGGAAAATAGCCCAGGCACTGTTATTGGTAGCGCGCTCTACGGAGCACTCCGAACAAATTCAAGAATGGGCCCCCACAGTTTCCTTACATAACTACGCGTGCATAAGTACGGCCCGGAGGCCCGAGGCCTAGAGCAGCAGTGGATCTTAATAACGACCTTGGAACCACATCCTGCAAGCTCGACTGCAGAGCTGAACCCCCTACTCCGTACAAGTCCATCGTACCTCCAACCTTCTTTTCCGCTAGGTCAGTTTTCAGCATTGATATCTGTAGATCGTCTCAACCCGATTGCCACGCTGACGGTGCTGTGCCTGTGTTTTCTTGCTGATGAAAAAACTAATATCCCGACTCCAGGCCACGCTTGCTCGCTGCAGGTTAAAGCACATTGTGGAAATCTAGTGGGCCACATGCTCCTCCTTTGTTGGGCCCGCCTGGTGACTGCAATATTCATCCAAGGACGATCCTCAGTCAATAAGATCGACCTCTATGCTTATCACATAAAGAAGATAAACTGCCTCACCCATCATGGTCCATTATATCCGATTTCTGAAGACTCCCCGAGTAGAGTATCGGTCGTCCAAATCCATTTCTGTGATGGCTCTAATTACAATTACAAACGATCTAGGCGACAGCTTTCTGCTCTCTGATGCCAAGTTGACCTCATGTCTGCTAACAGCCGACAGAGCTGGTAAGGTCCTTTTCAAGCAAGAGGTGCGTTGGCACAAAGGTTCTAGAGAGCTATCCATTGGCCTCACTGCACATATCAGCCAAAGCACTCCTTTGCTTCGGTTGCATGTATTTCATGATAAAGCCAGTGGTCTGATTCCGTCCATTCTGAGTGCGCTGAGTGCTCCGTTCAAGCCCGTCCATCAAACACGTGCGGCGGCCTTGGTCGAGCGAGAGCTCTCCTTGCCTGATCTATCAAGTCTCAAAATATGGGAAGAGACGGGCGAAAGTATTGCAAAGCATATCTGGTACCGTTTGGCCTATATCCGAACCTCATTGCTTGTTGACTTCGGCAGGGACGCTTCGCTGGGATGCGTATTGTGTTTTCAAGATATTTGCTCGGCAAAATCACGAATGCCTCTCCTAAAAGAAGTACTGCAAGGGGAGGCTTCAGGCCAGATCAATGTCCTGGAGCTCGGTGCAGGGTGTGGCATTGTCGGCATAGCTCTCGCCCATTACTTCCCCGACTGTATGGTGCATCTCACTGATTTGGTCGAAGCGCAAGACATTCTCTTGAAGAATCTGGATGAAGCAACACCAGCTGCCAATTCCTCTTTATGGTTCCAAATTCTTGATTGGAATGTTGATTCTGGTGGAACGAGCTTAGAGCGTGATGTTGATTTGGTCATCATCTCAGATTGCATCTACAATTCAGACACATGCTCCGATCTGGTGAGAACTTTGTGTCAAGTATCTTTAATTTCGCCTCAGTGCAGAATATTGGTAGCCGCGAAGAGACGTCACGACAGCGAGGACGTTTTCTTCGATCTTATGCGACACTCGCAGATGCGAATACTGGAAAAGGATACAATCGTTCTACCTCATGAAACATCTGATCTTGGGGTTCAGCCGCCAGAGGTTGAACTTTACTTGTATGGCTTGGCTGAGACTGGCTAGTGTTTCCGTGTCCCCAAGTATGCAGCAATGCACACTCCTATGGCATTTGCATAACACGAAATCTGGCAAGCAAAATGTGATCTTCTGGAGGGGTTTAGGTTCCTGCGTTTGAAATGCATACCACAAATAAACTGTACTCAACCAGTTGGCCCGTCAGGCACATCACGTCACGAACTGCGGGGATTGGCAAGGGTTGGCGTTATCTTTGGAGGGGCGCACCGATGAGCTAGGGATTTTTCTTTACCGAACAAACAACAGGTATAAAATCTTCTACCACGTCTACTACAAAACGTCCCCTGTACCTGCACTCTCTTCCGCCTGTTCCTTAAGCGCCATCGGCTACTGCCCACATTCGCACCTTTCGTCTATGCTGCCCTTCGCGGCTTCTTGAGTTTCTATTGCCTTCAATTTGCCGAAGCCCTAATCACCACGGCGTCGTTAGAAAACTGCCGCCTCATACCCACTCAGATTGTATTCACTCAGCGACACCATCACCTTCTCGACTATTGCCTGCTCCTGCTGAAATCATCTTGTAGCCTCTTTTTTTCCAGCTCGACCGTCAACTTGTCGCCGCTTGAATCAGAACCATTCCAGCTGCCGCATAGGACCACAGTCGAGGTTCTTCCTCTTCCGGAGGAAGAGGCCTGCGGCAAGGGTCCCCATTACATAGGGTTGGAGTCACTCAGACCTCCCTAACCCGAATCTCATATTCGAACAAAATTCTCTGCTTGCATTTCTACATGGTTATGGCACCATCAGCCATCACTACCTATGAAGAGATTTACGACTTGGAACATTATTCCAACACTCTGAAGTTAGTTACCGAAAACAATGGCGGGAAATACAACAAAATTGAAAGCTTGACCTCAAAGGAATCTGTTCTCGATGTATTCAAAAAGAGGATTGCAGAGATCAATGTGGACTCTTGCCAACCGGGTGAGGAGGATGCCTTCTACGTGGCGGATCTGGGAGAAGTCTACCGACAGCATCTCCGCTGGAAGATGAATCTGGCAAGGGTCAAGCCTTTCTATGGTACATTCTTCTTCGTATTTAACTGGAAAATCTACTGATCTCAATCTAGCTGTCAAATGCAACCCTGATGACGAAGTTCTCCGCTTGCTTGCCAAGCTGGGTACAGGTTTTGACTGCGCCTCTCAGGCCGAAATCGAGCAGGTACTCAAACTGGGTGTCGATCCCGCGCGTATAATCTACGCCCAACCTTGCAAGACCAAATCATACATTCGTTACGCTGCCAAAGTGGGCGTCAAACAGATGACATTCGACAACGCGGACGAATTGCTCAAGATCAAACAGTTCTTCCCGGATGCAGAGCTCGTCTTGCGTATCCTGACCGACGATTCTGCGAGCCTGTGCCGGTTGAGTGCAAAGTTTGGAGCCAGTCTTGATAAAACACAAGAGCTTTTGGACCTAGCCAAGAACTTGGGTCTCAACGTGACTGGTGTCAGTTTTCATGTTGGTTCAGGGGCCAGTGATCCCGCATCTTTCACGAAGGCTGTGCAGGATGCTCGTGTTGTCTTTGATCAGGCCACGTCTGCTGGCTTCAACTTGCAGATGCTCGACGTTGGTGGCGGATTTGTGGACGGAAGTTTCGAAACCTTTGCCAGCGCTCTCACAGGAGCTCTAGAGGAGCATTTCCCGCCTCACATTCGGGTCATCGCTGAGCCTGGAAGATACTATGTGGCAAATGCTTTCACCATGGCAGCCAACGTCATTGCCCGCCGAGATGTCCAAGATGGGTTGACTGGAGAGCGGGCTTACATGCTCTATCTCAATGATGGAGTTTACGGAAATTTCTCCAACATCATTTTCGATCATCAACATCCGTCAGCCCAAATCTTGGATTGCCGTGATCCATACCAGATTCCAACCGACTACTCCATCTGGGGGCCTACTTGCGATGGCATCGATGTCATCACAGAACGCTGCACACTGCCGGGCGTTCTGAATGTTGGTGACTGGCTGTTCTTCGACGAGATGGGCGCCTACACCAGATGCTCTGCCACTCGCTTCAATGGCTTCACAAACAAGCACAAGGTCATTTATGTGTCCAGTGAGCCTGGAGCCGTTGCCCTTCTCAGATCGTATGAATGTCAACCATGATTGTCAATCCACATGCGTGGCACTATTCATTTAACGTTGTCAATTTCGGGATTTTTAGATGGGGTTTTCATGCAGCTTAATAAGTACGATAGAAGAGTGTCTTGGATATAACAATCTGCTTTCCAGATCCGTAGCTGAGTATCTTTATAGAGCCTTACGAACCATGTGTCTCTTGGCCTGAGAGGAAGGAATGAAATCATGGCTTGACTGCAAATTAAACTTCCAACAATGTCAGGTTATTGTACGTGTGAAGAGGTTATTGAAAGGAGTGATAGTAGTACTACTATTAGTAGTAGCACTTGAAAGAGTCCGCCAAGGCCAGCTTTATCGTCTTCCTATTACGGTCTACTGGTATTTGACACTTGCTTCCTTGAGCTCTACCCATCCACCAAGAATCCTACGATCATACCTTTGTCCTTAATGGAATCTATAAAAGCCCTCCCCACCCCAGTGACGGTAATAACCGGCTTTTTAGGAAGTGGTAAGACGACTTTGATTTTGAATCTGCTTCCCCAACTACCAAAAACATACAAGGTAGTAGACTTCTCTTTGCCAGATACGCACGGAGCAAGAACTAACGTTTTAATCCCCTCAGCTGGCACTCCTGAAAAATGAATTTGGCGATCTTGCCGTCGACTCTCAACTAGCCGCTTCCCAGGCCATCTCTGGTGTCAAAGAACTACTCAATGGCTGCATATGTTGCAATCTCGTGGGGCAGTTATCGGATGCCTTGCTTCAACTACGATCCGAAGTCATCCCTGATAGGATTTTAATCGAAACTTCTGGGTCCGCCTTTCCCGCTACTTTAGCCATGGAGGTCAACCGATTGGCACGGGAACATGATGGAGCTTTCGTGCTTGACGGCGTCATTAGTGTCATTGATGTTGAAAACTGGAAGGGCTATGAGGACACAAGCTACACTGCCAGACTACAGGCCAAGTATACTGATCTCATTGTATTCAACAAGTGGGAACATGTCGATGAGAGGCGTTTCGAGGAATGTCTGGATCGACTTGGAGACCTGGAACTACAATTTGCCTGGGTCAAGAGCACAAGGGGCTGGGTGGATCAGGCAGTTCTCATGGGTATCGACGGTGCGTTGATTGCCAAAGGAGGAGTCTCAACTGCAACGGAGCTCAACAACAGTACCAACGAACACCAAGCTCATGGGCATGATCACCAGGAAGAGGTCGAAGTCTTATCGGTAGTACTCAATCCTACCTACGAAGGAGATGCCACTGTAGACTTGGACGCATTCGAGGAATTCCTCCTTGCGGCACCAAAGGACGAAATCTACCGCATTAAAGGCCTTATATTGGCTTCAAAGCCCCCAGCTGATTCAACGGGGGAGAGAAGGCCATCTACCATGGCTGAAGCGGGGTTGTATGTCCTCAACTGGGCGTTTGGACGCTGGAGTTATACACCGCTGTCCTCACAAGAAATGGTAGCTCTCAAGGGTGCATCGCTCCGATTGACTGTCATTCTTGCAAGAGGCGAGGCAAACAAGTGGCAGAAGAAGCTTGCTGCCGGGGATCTGGTGCAACTCGAATCCCATCCTGAGCATACCAACATAACAGTGGTGAAGACCAGTTAAAACAAGCAAAGATCACGTACTGCGGACCGCGGACGTAACGTCATTACTTAGGGCGTGCACATCTTGCTGAAATGTCCTTTACAAACAGCACCAGAAGCGTGTGTTGCATTAGAACATTGGCTCCAGGAGTCCGCGTCCGGCTTGGCGGAGACAGCGCTGCAGGTCTTGGCACGTCTTCCCTCTTCACAGCCAAAACTTTGAATCCGGCATTCTGGATGGCTTGAAATCAACACTAGACACAATCGGCTCGATTCAATCGTTCTTAAATAATTATCAACGACGATAACTAGCCCCACTTACGGGCCGGCGAATCGAATCCGGGCATGGGAATGCACATTGGATTTGTGTTATGGAGGTACTAGCTACTGCCCTCCGGATGGTACAGACAACAGTGTAAGAGATCCCTTGAAAACGAATCATATATCATGGTCATTGCAAGTAGCCGATTCATTCATCGAGCTAGGATCTCAACATCCGATCAATTACCTCCGGGTCACCCTTGACAATGTCGACATCAAGAAGATGGTTTGAGTGCATAGACTTGGAATGAACCTGTGATTCTCGTCAGCAACCTCGGATTGCAGGCCGCATCTTCACGGTTCAGCTCCTACATACCTGCCCATTCATTGAAGTCAACATGTTTAGACTGAGACATAAAGGCGACCAGTGGATCATCTACCGATGCTGGCGCCGCACAGCCTTTCCCACAGCAGCTACTCCGGGCGTCGTTGCGTGGAGTGTCATTGTAGACATTCAAATCATGTTTGTTGTCCACAATCAGGATATCTGTTCGAAGACATCACAATCAGCAGCCATTTCTCAGCATGGTTCGCGCCATGGTTGGGCATTGGTCTACCTCTGAAACCTGCATTGCGAAGGTATTCTTCGTATTCGTTGACCCGACTTGCACCAGAGATACATCCAACATATAAGGCCATACTCTTCTTGAGCTCGTCTGGCAATTCCTTTTTAAGCAGAATGTCACTGATCGCCAGGCGGCCACCCGGCTTCAGTAAGCGAAACGTTTCGTTGAAAACGAGCTGTTTCTCGTGCTCTGGAACCAGGTTCACCACACAGTTACTGATTATGCAGTCGGCGCACTCGTTGGTAAGGTCAATCTTGGTGATTGGAGACTTGACGAAGAGGACGTTCTCGGCACCGGCCTCTTCCTTATTTTTGTTCGCTCTTTCGAGCATATCCTGTATCATGTTAGCAGGTTTCCACGCTGGATATACTGGAGTGTGCGAACGTTGTTCATATCAATTCCAATGGCCTTCCCGTGGACGCCGACCTTCTTCGCGGCAAGGAACACGTCGAATCCTGCGCCGCTTCCCAGATCGATCACTGTCTCTCCCTACACATGAATTAGTTCTGATCTCAACTGCACGGTGAGGGCAGGCTCGGATGAGCAGAGGTAACAAACCTCCTTCAATTTCGCGATTGCGGATGGATTTCCACAGCTTAATCCTAAGTTGGCATCTTTGGGGATCTGTTCCAGCTCATCCTCCGTGTAGCCAAAGGCTTTGGCGACTTTGTGTCCATATGTGTTGTTTGTGGTGTTGGCGGCCAAGCTGTAATGCTCTTGCACTTTCTCGTAAATCTGTTTGGTGTCCATCCTGAGACCCTTTGTAGGCTAAGCCCAAAGATTGTGCTTCCTTTGGAGGTGCTGTTAGATTGTGACAATAGGTTGCGGACTAGGTTCTGAGTTCAGACATCGATATAACTTATGAATTGCCCCGGACTAGGGATTCATGCTCTTAAGAGCCAGACCACCAACGTGTAACTTCCGCGGATTCGAGTGCCTTTCTCGGATCTCCCGAATAGGATCAATGTGGACGGGATGAGGTCTCAAGTTTGCTGCACCTGGTGATGTTGCTACGTCCACATAACCCCGGTCAGGGTGTCACCGCTTTGCCACCACACTTGGCCGGCTCTTGATGGCTAACTCCACATTCTGTGCCTAGTGCTTGATGTACTCAGATAAATGGAGTGCAGCTGAAGATCCATACTAATAAATTAGCGACTGCAATAGCACTAACTTAGGTGGTTCAAATTGGAGCAGGAAAGGTAGAACAAGATCCAGGCGACCAGCGGGTCTACACTTATACTTACCGAGTATACTCCATTGCCCTAGTGAGCTGCGGACCAAGTGCAGGGCGTCCTCGATACGGGCCCAGAAAACCCGGTATCCCGACCCAGGCAGCCATTGCAGCATTGAAGCTAGAGGTGAAAATATGAGAGGCCAACAAGACTACTTATTGCTGAGATATCCCCCGGTGGTTGTGCCAATCAGACATCAGTAAATGTGGACGACACAACTCTTCCCCAACTGCCGATTCCTGACAAAGGGGGGGTAACGAAGCCATGCACCGATCGGACATCCCCACTAGATGACGCTGGGGCTAAATACTACCACTTTCCACCTTGAGCTCGTGGGGAGAAGGATTTGGCAACAATGATGCGGTCAACCCGGCGTTACAGGATCTTTCCTAGCAAAGACGTGGCCCATTGCTATGAAGTCGTCGATTCTCGCTCCATCAATAGTCATGAGTACAATTTTTGCCTCGTACAGCATCATGAACCATCTCCCCAGGATTACGAAAGCTTATTTGGAAATACACGATCTACGGTCGCTCTCATCAAGCGCCGGCACCATCCAAACCGGACTCAACAAACCGCGCCACTTAATCGCTGACACTATGGAATTGTTAGCACTCCTTCGTATCCTACTGATAAGAGGATAGTAGTACACAGCATCAGCTAGAAAGCTTGGGACCGTCAAACAAGCTATATGATAGTGCAAGCTTATTACCCTCTGTGGAGAGGTGCGACTACTGCCACCTCCATCGGATATAATCCGAATGAGGCTGACTGCAGGCAAGGACCAGTACATTGTCTTTTCGTCGAGTACAGCCTGTTTAAGCTTATTGGGATATGCCTAGTGGTCGCAGCATCGAATTACTTCTGAGTGTAGGCATCACGATTGTCCGTCAAATTGTGTCAGAAAAATTCTGCAAGACAGCAAAGTTATCACACTGCCAGTTGCATAATAAGAGAGCAGCCTACAGTCAGGCTGTGAAGTGGGAGAAATTTTGGACTTGGTTATTCGGCCTGGATCAGTGTGAACGGTTTACCAGGAATGGCTCAATCACGCTACAACGCGCGAACGGATGTAACACGAGAATTGCTTCAGGCCAAGGCCCTGCAAAAATCATCATCAAAATGGTGATGATTTCAGATTTCAGCGTCTTCGTCAATTCGTGCCTCGAGAATCTGAACGGGCTCATTTCCAAATCTAGGATATCAAGAACATTCCTGGGATGCGGTAAGCCATATATCACATTGTATCACGAGTTTCCAAGCAGCCAGTGAGTCTGAGAGGTGAAGCATTTCCCACCGTACACAGAAGACACCATTGGGCATCATGATTGCCAAGATGAGTTGAAGAGATGTTACGAAACAAATCATACGGTTCCATGCTAGGAAGATAATGATGTGAATCTCTAGCCCACCGTATACTTCGTTACAAGGCATCAAACGGAGTGATACTACGTACGTGAATCATTATGTACAGCGGGATTTGGGGCTTTGCAACAGGGTGATACAATGTTCCTGCCAGATGTTGACTAGCACGGACCGCTTCCGTATCTTGGCCGCTGCAAGGGCCCGACCGAACCAATCGGTTGCACCTACCGAGTGTCCCGCACCACAGCCAAAGCTTATGACTACTTAGCTAAACCCGTTCTGAGGCCACACAAGTTCCACATCAATGCATCATTGACTGTTTGGCTAGGACTGATGTTCATCATCAACCCGTCTCACACCCATCTGCCAGCTTAGAAGCTTGACTGCTAATAGACTAGTTCTTTCTCCCATTCCCTCACCTTATTTCAGCAGCTGTTGTTATATAGTCAAGTTGCCACAATGTCTGAACAGAAATTACCCTGCTCTCTTCTCTACTCTTCACCACTGGCAGCATTGTCACCCTGCTCATCGAGATTCAAACAGCAAGACAAACCATCAGGAATGGGGTGAATCTCAGAGCACTTTCCGTCCTGTCTGAACCATGGCTACTCGACGCCTCTCCACCACCAGTACCCTCCTATCCGATAAAGCATCCACCTGTACCCTCCTGTCGCATCTAGAACCAGGACGGGAGGAGGCAAAGACCTATGGCACATGCTACAAACAGCATCTCGACGAGGCGGACCCACTTGTCGATATCCGTGTTGGCGAAGCCGATGTCTACACCTCGCCCTCCACGGAAGCAAGATTTCTGGCGAGAAATTCGCTACCTTTAATAGCCACATACTTGCTCCAGTACAGCTTCAGCATTGTCATGGTGTTTGTGGTTGGCCACATAGGGACCCGTGAGCTTGGCGCCGTCTCGCTGGCGACGATGACCGCTTGCATTACCGGCTCAGCCGTCTGCGAAGGCTTAGTGACAAGCTTGGATACACTCTGCGCTCAATCATACGGCAGCGGCCGTAAAACTGACGTCGGTCTTCATCTTCAACGAATGGTCCTACTCCTGCTCGTTGTTATGATCCCCATCGGTATCCTATGGCTGAACGCTGGCTCAATATTCCCAAGGCTCGTGCCCGACAAAGACCTAGCTCTTATTGCTGGCTCGTTCCTTCGCATCCTCCTCATAGGGGCTCCAGGTCATGCCTTCTTCGAAGCAGGCAAACGCTTTGTGCAGGCTCAAGGCATCTTCAACGCTTCCCTTCTTGTTCTCCTCGTCTGCGCACCGCTGAATGTACTTCTTCAATACGTCTTCGTCTTCCAATTTCAGTGGGGTCTTACCGGGGTTGCATTAGCAAGCTCTATATCCAAGCTCCTCATGCCCTTCATCCTCTTTCTCTACGTCCGCTTTGTTAACCCTTCTAGCCTTGCATGCTGGGGCGGCTTCAGCAAGGAAGCTTTCCACTCCTGGACACCAATGATCCGACTCTCGATCCCCGGTGTCGTCATGATTGCGGGAAAACAGCTCGCTTTCCAGGCCATAACCTTCTCAGCTTCTTACCTCACGCCCGCCCATCTCGGCGCTCACTCTATCTTATTGACAGCATGTGTAGTCATGTTCCATATTCCTTTCGCCGTCTCCGTCGTCGTTAGCACACGCCTCGGCAATCTCGTCGGTGCAGGCGCGTTGTCAGCCGCCAAGACTGCAACAAGGACATATTGCGCCATGTTCGCCGCTCTCGGCTCTGCTGACGCTGTGCTTATCTTCTCTCTGGGTAGCCACATTCCTAGGTTCTTCTCCAACGATCCTATGGTCGTGAAGATTGCGACAAAGGTTATGCCCGTGCTGGCGGCGTACCAGTTCTTCGATGCGACGACCTCGCTGGCGGGCGGTCTACTCTGCGGGTTTGGCAAACAGCGTGTCGCTGGCTGGGTCACAATGACCACGTACTACTTGTTGGCAATGCCACTGGCCATGTTTCTGTGCTTTGGACCACCAGCGTTGGAGTTGAAGGGTTTGTGGATCGGATATGCAATTGGGTGCGGGTTGCTCACCTGTGCTGAAGGCGCCTATTTGAGGTTCATGAACTGGGGCTTGGTTATAGAAGATGCCAAAGAAAGACAAGCTTAGGCAATTTCGAATTTTAAACTATCCTTGGGTTGGATACAAACAGCATTACGGGAGTTATCAGTTAGCGATGGACATAGATCACATCACGGTGGGATCCCCCTTGGAACAGTTTGCGCATCTTCCGCTGCACCGGATGCAACCTTTTCATAGATGAACGCTCTTCCACGCAAAAGATTTCATTCGGTTGCTGTTGGAACTTGTCACTCTGACATTAGGACACTCGAGAATAGCTTGACATGTAGAGTCGGGAAAGAAGGACAGTTCGTAGGGCAGGGCCCAGCAAAATGCAAAACCTTGCTGAATTAATGTGGGCGACGCTTGCGAATTCTAGATGAAGAGACTGTGGTCCGGCGACACGACTAAGTCCAGTAATGATTTGCCATTGGAGCCCTGGGGACCAACCACCATCCGGGCATATCCCACATTGTTAAAGGATGCTAGTTAGTGGCACCAATAGTCCGAGTAGACATTCAAGTAAGTGGTGATCTTCGTCTTAGTTAGTTAAGAGTAAACCTTAAAACACAATTCTTTACTTTCATCTCGCTATTTTGTCTACGCTAATTATTATTCTATCTCCACTCTCACTCTATCTGGCCACCGTGTAAGATGCTGTATCGACTCTAGATACTTACTGATTGGATTTTGGACCGATTCTGTGGTTGACGGTGCTAACATGACGTCCCGGTTAAAATTGATGGCTGAAAGAACCGAGCCCTCTGATTTGTGTCGTCTACATTGATGCAGCGCAGGCCAATGCCGTTGCCCGGGTGTCAAAGTCCACAGTCACGGTAAATGACGCAGTGTCATGCATCTGGACAATCTCTGATGTATCATCGAGTGCTATTCTTTGACTGGGACGTGATTGAAGGGGTCAGAGACGACTTGGGGGGATATTCCGCAATCAGAGTGGGTGGAGAGCCTCTGTTGGGGGGCGGCGTGTTGAGCGGGTGTGATCAGAATAGCGACGTACTTGGAGGAGAGTCTGTACTAGTTAGGTAAATAAGACACTTTTTCACTGGGCTACTCACGTTCTTTCGACAGAAGCAACATGCTGCTTATGCCAGGAAGTAGTTCCGGTCAGATCCAATGGACAACGGACTTCGGTTCCAATATTTTCTTACTCAGAATTTCATGTTCGGTTGTACGGAGGAAACCGAAATCCTGGTGAATGGTGCGTCGGAAGATGCTGTCCTTTTGACGCTGCTCCTGCTATTCCGGAAGCCAAGTGACCTTCCACTGTTTGGCTGTCCGGGTGGTCGGGGTGGATCAAGTCCCCGACCTAAAACCCGACCGCAGCGGGTTAACCTGACCCAAAGCGCAGCCTATGTTGTAGGGGGAAAGCATTTTAAAACGTCAGTGGGCAATAGAAGGACAGACGGACATTAAAGAAATTTTAGTCAATTGAGAAGATACTATCTAATAAGCAGATAGAACGTATGCAAGTAGCATATAAGTAGAAAGGTAAACAAGTATACAATGACAGCCTTCTGGTAGATACAAAATAGAATGCTGGCCAGCTGAGCAATATCTGCCGGCCAGCTTTATCTACGCGCCGAGAGTCTCTCTTGGGGCGGGGCTTGACATCATCCTAACAGTATTCTCCGTCTGGTTTCGTGACCGGTTGTCACTCCACTCCTATCCTAGATAATATCTAAACTCCCTAATGTATTTTCCATGAGAGTTTGTTCGATGGAAGCAAATACCAGCCGGAGGATGTTCGGATCATTGAAGTCAACGAGGTGTGAATGTATTGACAGATTCTGTTTGTTGACCTGGTTAAAGCGCCAAAGGATGTATTTCGCAGCTCGATCGACATCGTTACCCCCACTGTACTCAGGAAAAACGTTTTCGAGCGGATGAGTAGAAAGCTTGGCCTTGAATTCGGCCACATTCGAGAGGAGGAGTAATATACTGCTTCTCTTGAACCACTCCGAATTCGCAACAGAGTTAAACAGGATAAGGTGCTCCATCAACCTGTTTTGTGTGGCGTCCACGAGTGGATACTCGTCGTAATGGGTTAGATCTACGACGAAGATGACAGAGGTAACGTTCTCAAAGTGGTGGATCCACTTCTTCGACTCGCTCCATTGACCACTTGTTGACATGATGCGTAACTTGAGTTGTCCTTTGTTCAACACAACCTCCTGCACACCGGTGGTGGGGCTTAATTGACGACTCCAGCGCAGGTAATCAAGGTCGGTGGGCATGAAATCATACTGTAAGATACGTTCGAGGTCGTCCATTAAGCTGGCAGTGCGTCAGTAAAACATGAATAGACCCCTTGATCTGCTTACTCCTCTGCGGACACGTAGCACCTCTGTGTGAGGTCCGGCAGTGACATAGTCCACCGTATCGCCTCTTTAACATCTGGTGATAATTGCCCACCGTTTGAATTGGGTCTGCCCAACTTCATTGCCCGGACATGGGTTTTGTATTCCTTTGATTCAATTCTATTGGGCTGAAGTTGGCGCTTTCTTCGAGGATTGCTCTTGTGCTTGCAATCAGCCGCTGCCTGGTCAAGTGGCCAAACTGGGTCCGCTCTTCCATGCTCAAGCGATGCGGTGCGAAAGATTTGAGTGCTCCCAGTAATTTGTTGACGTCGTTACCGATCACCAATATTCTTACTTCGCTGTGAAGTTGTCTGGCGTCTGTCTGGAGCAGTTGATCGATATAAGAGGACGCTTTTGCAGCTTTCATGTCGGATGCGGTTCGAATAACGCCATCACGTGCAGCCTGCGGGCTAGAACGACTGCGGGTCCTTCTCATCAAGGAGCGAAGTGTGCTTTTGTATGCCTTGTGCTGTAGCAGCTCAGCGTCAAAGACGAAGTTCAAAGAGAACCTCGAGGTGGCAGTCGTCGTCCTCGTCCGTGCCGTAATAAAAGACTCGCTATCGCACAGCACCAGTAACGAAGACGAATCATCCTTGACCTGTTGAAATACTTGTTGCGTCGTCCTCACTTCCATGAATGCTTTTTGCTGGAGTAGCGTTCGACTATAACTAATCAACTGGAGCAAATGAGCTGAGTTGTGAGATTCTACCATTGGAAGGTTGTAATGAGTAGGTTGAGGGCATTGATTTGTCGGTCGAGCTGGGTGAGGCACTGCTCGGTGCCTTTGCTCTCCAGCACAAGGTTGATTTTGCTTTCGAAATCCAAGAGGTTGTTTTCGTTATACTCTAAATTAGACACCTGCTCGTCGATTAGCCGAACGAGCAGGTTGCAACATTTGATGGTGTCGCCGAGGTTCATGACCAGCAAGTAATGTTGCTCTTGGTCTTTGAGACCTTCCTTGATAAGAGCAAGAACTTGGTCTAATGCTGTTCTGACAGTACCCAGCTGACCAAGAAGCATTGTGAGGGTCAAGTTAGCTGCTTTGATTCGTTTCCCGAAATCCGCGAGAGTCGAGATGCTGCGAGTTACGACATCAATAATGCTGACGATGGCACCGGCAGTGCCGATTACCTCCATCGCCGTAAGACTGAACCGAGTCTCAGCACGTCGATCACAGGAGGAACTTTAGGGGCGCCTGCTTTAGGGGCGCCTGCTTTAGGGGCGCCTGCTATGGAATGGATGGACGGACAATCATAATATCGCATGCCACATAGTCGGTGGATTGAGGTGAGGCTGAGCTTTGAAGGAATTCGTCTCGAAAACGTGACAATTCCTTGGCGTTACATCAAGAATTGCTGTTGCGGTTATCTGGAATTCCGTCTAGACCACTCATTACTATGGACATGTAACCACGGTCACATGTCATCTCTTTAGAACTTTCTTTTAGAGAAAAGTCTAGATTACTTTTATTTAAGATTAATTCGCTTAGAATCTATCAAGTTACTTGATCCATTGCACTACTTCTCTGGGGGAATCCCTCTTGGAAGAAATTCGTGGCCGCCAAGCGCATTCTCGTACAGTACTGGCAGTGCCTCATCCGCCTGTTTTTCAGGCGTTCCTCGTAAGTAAATACCTTGTTTCTCTCGCGGCTCAAGCTTGCCAACGGTTCCCTCAGAAACATGTTTTCCGACTCTATAGGGTAGAGTCCGAAAGGTCTAGGGCACCGAACTTGTGAGACTCCCCTTAGCCAAAAATTTGACGAGTTACTTCACGAATACTGGCCCATGGTCCTTTGATAAGAAAAGCATTTGGGTGTAAAATATGCAAACACGCACTATTCTTAGCATATATAGATTCAGTTATAGTATTTCCGCTGCCCCTTATATATGGCTTAGTCTGTAGAGCCAAAAACCACGATACCAAGTATTCCGTTGGCCACTCTATTCGCTAGACCTCATAACCTCGCAAGATGTGCTGAGCAGCGGGAGCCGACGCGCTGGGCAGCAATGGACATCTCCCTAGAGCCGAGAGATTCTTCCGACAATTGTCGTCTGGAAGAACACCATAACTGGGCCTCGAACGCGAACTTCGAGAAGTTCATCTTCGAAAGCAGCGGTGCGATCGACTTACTATAGCTGCATCCTGCTCCTTTAATCAAGTCTGGAATCTCCATCTCGGATCATCATCTCCCAGCCACTCGTCAGTAGCTACACCGACGAGCCTATCATTCCTCTCGCCCCTGTCTCGTCTTGCATTCTCCGCTCTCAAAATCGCCCACAGCGACCCCACCACTATAACATTCATGCACAAGTAGCCCATGGCGAAGCCGTGACCCACAAAAAACCTCGGCCCGTCGCGACTTCTGTAAAGCTGCGTGCCCAGCACAGCACCCAAGTTGCCAATCGAGATCTGCATCGCATTCGCCGTTGCGCGTTTCGTCTGTCCGCTAACGTTGTTCGCCGGCCAGGACAGGACAATTGCGGTGGCAGGATAAATGCCAGCTGCTGCGAAGATGGTGCCTACGTACGCAACGCCAGCTTTCTCAGACGAGAGCAGAATGATGTAGCCGATTACAGCGAAGGATGCGGGCCCCATGATGAACGGCGCTCGGATTTTGAGCTTTTCAGAGGCCACGGCTACTGCAAGTGTGGTAACAAATGCCACGGCGTAGGGTGGGACGGTGAGAAGCTGAGCTTGGGCGGCTGTGTAGCCGAGTTCTGTAATTATCGTGGGAAGGAACAATGAGAGGGTGTAGAGAGGTAGGCTCATGGTGTGGAACCCCAGCCCATAGAGCCAGACTTTGGGGTCACTAAGTGCAAGGCGCACGTTCTGCCACGTGAAGGCTTCGTTTCGCGTGGCGTCGCTGTTGGATGCTAGACGAGTATGGATGCTGGCGCGTTCTTTGTCTGTCAAAAACTTGGCCGTTGAAGGATAGTTGGCGATGAAGAAGTAGGCGGCGAGGGAGACCAGGACAGTCAGGATGCCCTCGAGGATAAAGATCCACCGCCAGCCGTTGAGACCACCCACGCCCCTCATGTGAGCAATGCCCTGGAGCCGCCTGTTAATTTCAGAGCAGCTCTCTTGGAGATCATCGCTTACCCAAGCAAGTACACCCCCAAACGCGCCGGCCAGGGACGCAGCACTGAAGAAGAGAGAAATTCTGTAATGTTGTTCCTCTCGTTTGTACCACATGGACAAGTAAAAGACAACTCCAGGGAAGAGTCCACTCTCGGTAACACCTAGAAAGAAGCGCGCCGCAAAGAAGCCTGCCATGTTTTGTGTGACACCAAGGAGAGTAGCGACGATGCCCCAGGCGAGTGTCAAAGTGGGGAGCCATATTTTGGGCGACGTCAATTTAAGTACCACATTGCAGGGAATCTGTCAGGGTTAGCGACAGACAGCCGCAAACTGGATACTGTTTCACCTCGAACAGAACATAGCCGATGAAGTACAGCGTTAGGCCAGTCAGGTACTGATTGCCGGCTGCAGAGGTCGTCAATGGGACAGCCTCGGGAAGAAGCTGGACTTCATACTCATGTGTAAATCTGTGACCAAACCCTCCACCCGCGCGTTGCCAACTAGTAATTCATCAGTAAATTTTGACGAGTATGAGGGTTTCTTGGATACTACCATTGCTACGATCCAAGAAAGACAACAGGTACAGGAGGGTGAGAGCGGGTAGCAGCTTATAGTCCAGTTTCCGGAGCAAGGCTTTCTCGTTCACCCCATAGGTTGTCTCAATATCAACGGTGGCATCGGAGAGAGGTAGCGCAGCGACATCCTTTTCTTTTGGTGGGACATCATCCAGACTTTGAGAGCTGAGCTGCTTCTCAGTAGTGGCCATTCTTCAAACCTTCGTCCGTAGTTGGAGACAACATCAAGTGTGGACATCGTGCCAACTTGTACAAAAGCAATTGACATCTTTTGCGCAATGATGGCATGGAGGGTAGCCTGGACCCCAAGGTCTGTACCAAGAACAAAATTGGCCGAGGAGGTCTATGTCGATGATGTATTTGGCAAGAATGATGCGATGGTCCAGAGCTGGGCACTCAGCAGAGCGAATATGACTTGATAATCCAGCGAGAAGTTCGTCAATCTCAGAAGAGCGCATAGGGACGTCGGTACCGGTACCTGGTCCACAAATGACGCGAGAACGAAGCGAATGTCGTGATGTGTTGTGGCGCTTGTGATTTGCTCTAGGCTTTACTATAGCATATCATGTCGCCTATCAATTAGCAATGCTTTCCCCTCTCTTAACGAGACTGGATCTGCTGGGCGAATGCCCACTCACCTCTTTCATCGAATGACACACTGAATGTGTCACTTGGAGCCTAGATTGCTTGAAAGCTGGATATCGACACCCTGCTAACGAGGGCCAAAAGTTAGACTTACCTTATCTACAACATCTGCGAAGGAAACTGATAACGTGGATCCTGACGTGGATGGCCGATGCTCAAGTGACAGCCGATCCTGCGCCATGACCAATGTTTCCCTCATGTACGTAGCACCTTCTAACACGCAGAGGATGGACCATTAACGCTCGAATCGAAGCTGCGATCAGTGATTTAGACTGGCGAAATATCGCTACCATCGATGGTTTCAGTAGGGCGGCCAGTGCATGGCATACAAGTAGGGCAGGGATAAAGACCACCCGGCCGCAGAATGATTAACTAGTAAATAGCGCTAACTTAGTATTTACTTATAGGAGTGGAACCTGTTGACATAATTAACTTGGGTATTGTACCTCATTTAGTCAGCACCCCAGACCATTCACTAATTTGTGATATTGCATCATAATAATTCGGCATCGTTACAGCACTGGATTCGAGCCTGGTTCGGACTCTCCGTACAAAACTACACCCACAGATTCGCGGGGTCACCTGCATTGATAACGCCCGGGGTAGTAGAGGCAGGGTTTCACAGGTACAGTCCATCGGTCAACCATGATTGATCGAGCAGACATTCCCGCTCCCTGCCTTTGCGGAAAGTCTCCGTTTTCGCCATTGCTCCAAGTATGGCGACATTTCTTATCACGGAATGTGCCTTGAGCCCACAGCTTGTGAGCCCGCAGCTTGTACCAAATAGTTCCTGATGCTCAGATGTACCATCATGTACGTTTGTTTCGAGTCACTTGAGGTTAGATCTCATTTCGAGCCATGGTGTTGATTGACCATGCTGTCCTTTTGCTTCGTCTTGTGAATTCCCTACGATAGATCCACTATGCCACCCGCTCTCACAGCCACTTCATCGCCTGAAATCGCTACCCTAAGGACCAAAGACACCACTATACGATCCATCTTCCCAGATGGAATCAAAACCTCAGGGCAGCACCCTCCAAGCTACGAAGAATTAAAACCCTACTCAGAGTTCCCCTCTCAAATTACGGGCCACACGGTGTGGAATGCAGCAGATTGCAAGCGCCATCCCGAACGTTGGACCCATCATTTTACCACCTATGAAATCTCAGAACTGAGCGCCGCCGCCGATGCCTTCAAAGCGACCCGCACGCCGTTGACAGGCATAACCAAAGAAAACTTCCCCCTCCCCTACCTATCCAGATACCTAGCCTCCGTACGTGATGAACTTCTCAATGGGAGAGGTTTCATCCTCTTCAAGAACTTTCCCGTCCAGGAATGGGGCAACCACAAATCCGCAATCGCCTACATGGGCCTTGGCACCTATCTCGGCTATTTCGTAAGTCAAAACGGCAAAGGGCATGTTCTTGGCCATGTGAAAGACCTTGGCGAGGACGCGAAGCAGATTGACAAGGTGAGAATATACCGGACCAACGCGCGACAGTACTTCCACACCGACTGGTCAGACATTGTCGGGCTACTATGCGTCGCACGAGCTCTCGAGGGTGGCGAGTCGGACATCTGCTCCTTTCACCAGGTGTACAACGTGCTGAAAGCTGAGCGGCCGGACGTGGTGGAAACGTTGACGAAGCCGATTTGGTACTTTGACCGCAAAGGTGAGGTCAGCAAGGGCGAAGAGCCATACATTCGGACAAGCGTCTTCTATCTCGAGCAGGGACATCATGGAGCGTCTCGAGTATACTGCAAGTACGGCAGCCCAGCCATACCCCTCCTCTAGCTCCTGTTAATTCCACCAGATGGGACCCTTACTTCGTCCGCTCTCTCTCCCGCTTCTCCGATGCAGGTGCCATCCCCCGTCTTTCCCCTGAGCAGCTCACTGCCGCCTCTGTCCTCGAAGAAACTTGCCAGCGGCTCTCGTTACACATGGTCCTTGAGGTTGGCGACATACAATTCCTTTCCAACGCGCACATCCTGCATGCTAGGACAGAGTACAAAGACTACCCGCCACCTGCTCCGCGACGACACTTGATGCGGTTGTGGCTATCCACGCCAGCTGCCGAGGGGGGGTGGAGATTACCGTTTGCTGACCGCGAGGAGAAGAAAAGGGGAGGCATTCAGGTGGATAATGTGGCACCAGTGGCCGAGCTGGATGCTGCATAATTGACTCTTATGGGGGGAAGAGGTTTGAGAAGTCGCAACGATGGTAGACGGGTTATTGCGATGAGAGCTATCAGCCAAAGCTTTGCAAGACAAATATTAGCCGTTCGCTTTTCAAGGCCGACGAGCGACTATTAAGCAAACCCTTGACTTTGTACCATAGCCATGACGCCTCCACCAGCAGCAAGCCTCCCGTGATGAGACAAGCATAACCCATCTTTCTCCGCGCACATAGTTACTATTCAAGGTACGATGCTAGTGAAATCACCTTAGAACATGTAAGTTTCACGCGTTGCAATACAGTCGAAGAGACACTCTCGGTGGTATCGTATAAGTCGTCGTCATAGCGCTAGCTCTCTCCGTATCATCTTCGTATCCCAGCTGATTGAAGGAAAGTTCGTGCCAAATACATCGTTGGCAGGCCTACCTGGAAGGTTCATTGGCAAACTATCAGTCATGTCAGCTGGCCTCCCTATCTTGTGCAAGGGAAGGACACAGTACTGGTGCATCCACGCCACCTTGATAATTCGTGAGAGTGTGCATGTTCCCTGTAGGTCTCTGATTCGATCTCTCTCTCATATCTCGTTGTTACTCATCCTTTTAAGCCTCTCTGATACTGAGAAGATGAAGAAGTAATAGTCGTCGTTATCGTCGTCTCATCACGGACATAGTAATGGAGAGCTCTCCACAGCCGACTTTAACACGAGCGCTCCCCTTGAAGTAAGTTCCCAATTTAGGATGAACGAGACCTCCCTTTTCGGAGCCACACAGGAGTATCCTCAGATTCATCTCTCATCAGAAATTATTTCCACATCCAGTACTTCGACTGACTGACTGGCTTTGCAAGTGTGAGAGTGTAAGACCACGGAAGGCTCGAGACAACCATCATTTTTCTTCCAGAGCGGCCTCACCCATATAAACTATGCAGATGACCTGATCCGTGCTCAAACATTTGCAATTGGAGTTGTGTGTGAACACCAACACCACCACCACCACGATAGTAGCTATATAAAATTAACCCTGACATGATACTTTCGCAATCGACCACAGGACATGGAGAACAGGGCTTCCCGTTCGCTCAGCCGTACTTAAGCCATGTGCCGGCCGGTTAGTAGTTGGGTGGGTGACCACCAGCGAATACCGGCTGTTGATTGTTTTGACCTTTTTTTGCTCCTCTCTTTGTTTTCCAAATAGAGAGGACGTGGGAAAGAAAGCCTTAGGTGCGGAGGTGGCCATCGAGAAGGGGGCCGAGGGGTTACTGCTTTTATCTAGCATCAGAGAGAGCACCGGGACAATATTTTGCCTGCAGGACACTCGTTTGCCCGTCGAGAGGTGCTGACCGTATCATACTGTGTATTCTATCAGTTCAAAAGAAAACCTTGCCATCGGCACAAGCTCCATTTTTCAATTGCGCTAGAAAGCTCAATATTCTACTTTGTTGCTACTTATACGTCACCACGGATAATCAACCGGAATACTATTCGCTCCATGGTTTCGAAATCGTGGCGGCTCCCGACCCATTCCGAGCTCATTGGCCACGAGATCCTCAATTGCGCTCGCCCATTTGACCAAAGTGCCCTCCTGCCAGGCTCGGTGCTGCAGCGACAGTCCAATAGGGATCCCGGTGGGGTCGAGTCCAATGGGGATGGTGATTATCGGATATCCTAGATGTGTATCTTCAGGTCAGCTATGTCTTTGGTCAGCTAGGTCTTTGGTAAGGAAGGATATTGGTGGAGGAAGCAGAGGGTAGGGAAGACGGAAAATGGGAGAGGGGAAGGGGTGCTGACCTGCTTGAGCTGCGATCTGCTGTCCTACGCCTAGACAGTCACAGAGAAGTAAGGCATCTAGCTCGATAGCCTCGCCGTTAGAGGTGGTGTGTTTGAGGGCAGCATCGATACCGTGGTCACGGCAGGTGTGTTGAACGTATGCCAGAGCTCTGTGGTAGGTTTCGGTCTCTCGGCCTTCGGTTGCGGCTACTATACTCGGCGCAATCCATCCTTGCCGACCATCAGCTTGGCTTCAGACTACATGACGGAAATCAGGAACGTGTCCTACCTGCCCGGATGCAAAGCCTGGGTTGTCCCCGGGATTCGCTCCCTCCGCTGCAGCATGTTCGTCGTTGTAGTCGACAATATCTTCGAAAGTTTTGATAGATGTTCCGCTGAGTTCTGCAAGGGATGCTGTGATCTCGTTGTAGGCGTCTATATCGGTGACTGTCGACTCCCGCTTGTCAGGGCTGCCAAGGCACCTGTTCGTGACGTATCAGCGATGGCTAAACGGCAGCATTATATGAGGATCACCAGCCCCAGCGTCCGTTCCTTGCTATCCGATCATTTGCGCAGGGGAATTCTGTACGGAGTACCTCACCTCCGTGCTTCTCGATAGCATCGAAGACCTTCTGACAGACTTGCTTCAGATCACGAGGTACGAACTCCCAACACCCTTTCCAAGGCAAGCCGAATTTGGCTCTTTTCAGGACAGCTTTTGAAGATAAGAAGTGGTAGTAGTCTTCGTCTCGACGTCTCACAAATGATATGCTGAAGGAATCTCTCCCATCTGCACCGGCTATAACGTTCAATCCGTGAACTGCATCCACCACATCGTGTCCTAAAGGTCCGACGGCGTCAAGGGTTTTGCTGATGGGTATCACTCCACTTTGGGATGTCAGCCCCACAGTACGCTTAATACCAACAACACCATTGATGCCCGCAGGGTTGATGATTGACGTATCCGTCTCAGTCCCGAGAGCAAGAGGCACAATATTCGCAGATACAGCCACAGCCGATCCGCCACTTGAGGCCACTACGTTGACGAGTCATTCATCTAGCATAGAAATCAACCGATATCGACGTACTGGGCCCCTTGGCAAGGTCATATGGATTGCGGGTTTGACCGCCGCGAGCTGAGTATCCAGAGGAGCAATCCGTGGATCGTAGAAAAGCCCACTCGCACATGTTGGTATGGCCTAGGATGATGGGTCCAGCGTCCTCAGGAGTTTTATAACGTGAGCATCTCTGGGCACAATACTATTTTATAGTGCTAGTGAGCCAGCGGTCGTCTGCATTCTGTCTTTAGTAGCCATATTCTAGAACATCTAGGGTTACTTCGAGCAGCCTATGTGCTCTAATGGTGAACATACGTCCTTGACCAGTACTGGTATCCCATGGAGGCTGCTTCGGAGGTTGCCATGTCTTCTTTCCTCGTCGAGATTCGCCGCAATGCTGATAGCATCCGGGTTTACCTCAATGACTGATTTGAGATAAGGATCGACCTGATCGATATTAGAGTCATCGCTGCGACAGACATCTAGCCAGACACTGGCGCTAGTCTTGTCGGTGTTGCGTAGATCCGCCCACCTTTCGTACTCGGTCCAGGCAGAACCTTACATACTCAACGGATGTGAAGTTCCTGTTTGATAAATGGCGTTGAAGATCGTCAATCGTTGCCTCATACACTTCTTGACCGTTCAGCTTCCCAGGCCAAAATCGCGGTGACAGCTCCTCTCTTAGCTGATGTTTCCGAGCCATGACGGCAATAAGCAGGTTCCTACTCGAGCTCTGATCAAGGATTGAAATACTTCCTTGGTCTGATATGTTGACGCTATTCCTCTCTCTCTCTGACCTTGTTCGTATCTTGTACCTTCGACCTTGCAGCACCTCCCGTATTTGCTTTTTGCACGGACTACTCATGGTGCAACTTCAGACCGTGCGCCGTATTCTCTCGTACGAAAGCCATCACGTGGCACGAAGTTGCTCCGCTGCCGCTTGGTGACGCGCCCTGTCGCGCTACGACTGCCAATCTGCCTCGGCAATTCTCAACGGGGAGAGAGAGAGACAGACATCACGATGCAACAGATACTGCTATAAATATTACTCCTAGTCCTGCGATAGTGCTTTGATTCCGGATCGTCGTGTTGTCTTAGCATCTTAACAGAGGAGATTGAGTGAGTATTGACAATGGCTACTCCCAAGATAACGCTCTACCTCGACGTTGTGAGCCCTTTTGGGTATCTGGCCTACTATGTTTTGAGGGTATGTCGATAAGCCTTCATATTTCATATAGTTACCGATTCCTCCGCTCTCCTCGGTCTCGCCTTGCTTTCATCCTAGGGTACTTCTCCATTCGGTTTAATTGGAGTGGTCTTACAGGAATATCTCTTTAATCGACTTGTTGGATTGTCTTGTATCTACCTACATTCACACTTAATTGATGACCGGTGATCGGTGGACCAATGGCCTTTTTTAGAACCCATCGGGCCTTGCATGTCCTCGATCCGGTCATCTAGCTGTCCTCCTCCGAGAAGATCTCCGCTATCCAGCATTGTGTCATGCTATAGCTTCGGCACCATCACTGGTATCTTTTTTACCCGTATCGTTAACCTCAAATAGCACTCCCCAATCTTCCGTCCCTGCGAGATTGAATACGTCCCCGTCTTCCTGGGAGGCCTCATGAAAGCCTGCAATAACAGACCACCCCTGGAGATAAAGAGTAAGTCAGCACTGCTTATCTCACCATGCCCTACTTAACCCATCCGTGACCGCCGTTCTAACCAACACTTTCTTTCTTCTCCACCCCAGACAAGAACAAATGGATCGGCAAAGAACGCCTTCGATGGGCTTCCCTCTTCAACATCCCCATAACCCGCACCATGCCTCCGAATTTCCCCCCTCTCACCCTCCAGGTCCAACGTGTTCTCACCGCCCTCCAACTATCCTCTCCATCCTCCCTCCCAACCGCCCTCGACGCCCTCTACCACTGTTTCTGGGTAGAAGGCACCCCTGACATCAACAATCCTAGTACGTTCGGCCCAGTACTGGAGAAAGCCTTGGGAAAGGAGCTTGCAGTGAAGGTCATGGAGGACGGGAAGGAGGACAATGCGAAGAATAAGTTAAAAGAGAACACGGATAGGGCTTTTGAGGGTGGTGCGTTTGGAATGCCATGGTTTGAATGTGTGAATAGGAAAGGGGAAACGGAAGGCTTCTGGGGATTTGATCACTTGGGGCAGGTGGTCAGTTTCTTGGAACTGAATGGTGAAGGAGGTGGGAAGGTGGAGACAGGGTTGGTGGAGGGGATGAAGGCGATGCTATGATGATGGGAATGTGCACGTGGCAGTAACGACCACAACTGTCAAGGCGAATGCCTGAGATATGGATGGGTACAAGGCAACTGTGATGACTGAAGTGTCATGGCAAGCTCGTATGTGATGTTGTCATTGGCCAGGCCTATCTTATATCGGGTTAGAAACCATAAAACAACAGCTCAGCCATCCGTTTATGCTCGTGACAATCTCATCGTGCAATGGCCCTCGTCATTCTAACCAGCTTCGTGTGCGTACCGAAAGGAGTTTTCGACCTCTAGAACCTTGGCTCGGTAGGAATAGCAGCCTGTCTGTGGTAACTGCATCGCTCGATACGTATGTGCTCAACCGAATCTGGTCTCCTTGTCCTTGATAGGCACGTCCGAACCCGTTGTGCTCTTGTACTGGCCTCGGAGGAAGTCAGAGATCTGCTCATCCTTGGCCTGCTCGACGGCGCTCTCGTTGCTCTGGTCCCCAGCGCCCATGAATCTCTCCTGGACAAAGTCGACACCTATGCGAAACAGGTTAGGTCGGCTTTTTGTGCAGTTGATATTGCATCAAGTGAGATGTGGACCGAGGTCTAAGAACTGGGAATATGGATAATGAGCTCACCCTTGTCGAGGTAGTCCTCATTCTTCTCGCTTTCCTTGCCTCCACCAGCAGCGGAATTGAGCTTGTCACCGAGACTCCCTAGGAAGCCGCCGCCTCCAGACTGCTGGCTGGTAGACTTCCCTTCTGATGCCTGAGCCATTTCGCCCTCATTGTTATTCTTATTGCCACCGCCGAAGCTGCCTAGGGCACCTTTGAGTTGATCCATTTTTAGTAGTTGGTTGATTGCTTGTATATATTGAGGTTGACGAGGTGTGCTCAGGCGGTGGTGCTAGTATCTTGCAGGAATTGTCAGTGAGAGCAGAATAAAGTACGTCTATTACTAGGTCACAAGTCAGGTGTGTAATGGAAAGGTCAAGAATGTTTGAAAGAGAAAGCAAGTATTTAGAACGTTGTGCGAGTGTAACCTGCATTCACCATCGCTTGAGGCAGGACTACCCCACCGATAATTATGACCCGCGCTTCCAGGCAAGGAAGGTGAGAGGTATTGAGGGTACCCTGTAGATTACATCACTCAAGCGCTGTTCTTTTCTAGTACTAGTAACCCACGATCGCTTACCCTCAACTTGAAGTTCCCCAGACCAATCTGTCTTGGCGGATCGGAAGGCTGTGCATAACACACGAAAATGCAACCAGCCAACGAATCACCCTCACGGTGCCCTCCCATTAGTCTGTTATGAAAAGTATATCTACGAGTTAGGTTCGAAACCTAAAAGCGCTGTCCTTTGGTGGAGTGGTAGATATACGGTTCCTCTCTATTCCCTCAAAATGTGCTTGGAGTGTAGTTGAAGTGTATGGAAGTGCGTTCAGACTACGTTGGGATTGCGTTTGGGGTATGTTTGCATCCAAAGTGCACTGATACCATACGCCCAGCACATAGAGGAGGACATGGGAGTTCTCTAAGAAAAAGCTATCCTGGATATTGCCATAAAGAGCAACTTATCCCTGTTGGTTCTACAAGAAGCCAGGCAAAATGACAGATTCCGAAGACTGCCATTTAATCCCAGTACGTGAGAGCCAGGGATGGTAAGTGCCATAATAGTATCATATCAGCCCTAGCATCCTGCCAGCCTCTCCAAAATCTCTCTGACTGGTCATGTTCCTTTTTGCTACACCAGTGCCATACTGTGCACGTGATCTTGATTTCGACGAGCCTCTGTACATGTAGTATGCCATATATGCGCCGAGCGCACTTCCCACTACTCCCAGACCACCAAATAGAGGGTAAGGTGAAACATGGACCATCGTTGTTTTTGTACCATCGACTTTCGTACTCTGAGGTGAAGTTCGCCTGATTCGACCAGAGGAATACCGAGAGACGATTGGCAACGAATCCAGACTCGCAGTCAAGAATGTCGATCCAATGTTCTGAATTGAAACTGAAGTTGGACTATGCCATGGCAAACAAGGGTGTGAAGTACGCATCTCAGATGTAGGGCTAGAAAAAACGTCCGACGCGCTGACAGGCCCTCCAAAGCATTCCTGTCTGAAGTTGGTCGTCCATTCCAACAGAACCGGATACCTAGAGACCAAGGCATCTTGCAGCCACCTGCGTGGAGGTATCAAAGGTGGGTTCATCAATGCCATATATCCTAACAGCAAGCAGTCAAGGGAGGAGGCTTGACCTGTGCCAAACACCCAGCTCTGACCTCCACTCTTATTCACAAGGTCACTGAGCGGCTCAAAGAAATCCGAAGTGACTGCGTCTAGTCGAAATTGGTTCTGTTGGCCAATTTTACCAAGCATACTAGCGACTGTCTGTTTTGGCTTTGCGACCAGATTCTTTGGAATGTTTCCTGCCCCTCGGGCACCCGTATCACCGTCTTCCGTGCTGGCGGCTTCGATGTCCAATGACGAGAGCCCTAGATGCTCTGACCGGACTTTCGCAGCATCTCGCAACCTGTGAGGAAGAATCCATTGCTTGGGCCACGGTAGTATCTGGGCAAGTGCCGGCCTTGTCCATTCTGTATAGTTCTCGCTGGATACGTAAAGCGAAAGATCGAGGAGGGGCTGGCCGCGCGATTCGAGGAAGGAGAAAAATCTGCGCAGGCGAAAGGTCAGAAAGCTTTAGAAAACTCTGGAAAGGATTGTGTATGCGTGTCTTACGCGATAGTATCTGCTCGCTGTTGGGCGTTCAGGTCTTGATCGAGGTCACATTTCCCCAAGGAGTGCTCCCGAAGAAAGTTCACAATGCCGCCAAAGCCGTGTACCCATGTGGAGTCGACCTTGAGCACAGGTAGGCCACCTGCAGCTCACATGTCAGTTCATAGAAGAGACGCATACATGCCTGGCATATACTTGTCGGTACGACTGAAGGATCACTGCATGGGATCAACCGCCAATCGGACGGTGGAAGACACTGCTTTAGATAGGCGACAGTGGCTAGACATTGGGCATCAATTGACGGAAGACCAAAAGCTGGTCCCCAAACATGCAGCTCAAGCACCATGTTGCGCCATTATCTTGGTTGTGAGGAGAGATTCTGGAGGAAGATAACTCATAGTTTGAATGTTGCTACGTGTGTGGGTAATGTTTCTGCATTGTTTGCCGCATTGGCCTCCGTAACCAAGGGAAATTGCTTGCTTGCTTGCTTACTACGTAAGCTTGCTTCTCTTCTCCCTTCTCTTCCAGTTGACAATGAAGCTCAGAACATTTCCACCATCTTGTGTTGTGACTGCAAATGAACGGTAGGTCCATTCCCATAAGAATAGAAAATGAGCTGTGACAAAGTAGCGCAAGTACAGGTCCGTAAGCAAAGGCATAGCATCGGAATTATCGTGTGGGTAACACTACCGTCCCATTGAGTGGCAAAAACCTGGACGGCACAACGCTAGGTCAGGCCATTAACGATCTTCTGAGAACCTGTTCTGGTTGCTGGTTGCGGAGCTATCCACCTGAACTGGGATGTGAGCGAAGGAACCAACTTCGCTATGGCTAATATAACCATTTCAGCATGATAAGAGCAAGCATTCCAGGTGCTACTACAGCAGAGAGAGGTGTCACCACGACACTCATTCGATGATCTTACTCGTCTCTTATCATAAGCATTCCCATCTGACGGAAGCCATCCTTGGTGCAACGTGCTTTCAGATCAGCAAACGTTCGAGAATCCCTCCATGATCCAAGCTCTGACGATGTGGCGCTGGTATCAGACTTCCCGGAGCAGGAAATACTCATCTTTGATGCTTGCCCGGCTATCCTGAAGCTCCATCTGAGTGCAAAATAACTGGCGAAGCAATTCCGAACCTGAGATCTGATGGCTTTTTCGGAATGCAGGATTCAAATCCCGCTGCGCATTGCGCGACACGGTGGTCATCTTTCAGCTCACTGGATAAGCAGCACCGGACGTGGCTATTGTCACTGTATCATATTCGATGGCTTGCTCTATTGGGATAGGATGACCCTAAGGAAAGAGGTAGCTCTCATCGAACGTGTATCAACCGATCAGCAGGCGGCAGATTGAGGCCGAGTGATCAAGCGAGAAGGAACCAACAAAGAACGTACAATAGGCTTGACTGTTGCCTAAATCGTGAAAATAACGAAGGCAATGAAGGAATACGGTTGAGGAAGAGAGACAGACCATATTCTGCATATTACCTTCAGAGACTCGATGAATGATTTAATCAAGCAAGAAACAAACCCACTAATTCATGAACAAAAAATAATAATCTCAGAGCTGGGTTCGAATCCACAGCTATTCTTTTAGAGTGAGCAAAAAGTTCGCTTTGTATCTCCACTCTCTACCGCCCGAGGGTTAGGTAGATACTGGAAGGAGAGACACGTCCGCTATGAAAACTTAGCTACTGCCAGTTTTACTGCCTGCCGTTGGACCACAAAGAGTTTGCGTGGGACGACAGGAAAAAGTTGCAGAATAAAATAATATATACCATCAAATGGTCAACCATAATCTGCGAAGCTAGCAAACTCCACGTAGGAAGTACTCACTACTACCGCATACACTATACCTAGAACGCCCAGAAACGGTATTTTGTTTTGCACGCAAGTATACTACTTGATTTAGAGAGTATTTCACTACAGGTAGCGTTGTACTCCGTCTCGAAGCATTTCAAGGCATGGGGTTCCGGGTGGTTGCATGAAGTCGCACGTTCCATTGTTCCTCTCACAGTGCTTCGAAGAAGGGTTTGACGACGGTCTACGATACACCTGTACTAGACTATGTCAAGTTCGCGCTGATAGGCTGCGGACAGCCGTGTGAAAGTGATCGAACTCCTGAATTAGAAGGCTTGGCATTTGATACTGTAGGATCGGAGGTGACTTTGTGGGCCGCCGTAAACATTTCCTCTACTACGTGTTGCAGGATTGTATGTCTTAACGTCAACTCTTCGGATCGAGTCCACAAGATGGCTTCGTTATTAGGCGTTGGCTATGAGTCCAGTAGCGAGGATGAGAACTCTGCAGTTGCGCCCAAGCCAGACAACAACTTGAATGCTGCGCTCGTGGCGGCTCCTGATGTTTCGCTAGAGGTTTGGTCCCTGCTCTGCCAGCGCAAATGGGAGCGCAATACTAATATCTTGCAGGATCGTGCGCAGATGCAGCTGATGCTAGCGAGAAATGACGATAACGCTTTGACGTACAATGTGACTTACGATAACCTTGCGAAACCTACGCAAGGTCCTGCGAACCCCTTCAAAACAACGAATGGTAATGCATTGAAGAGGAAGAACGTTTTGACAGGCACTGCAGAGGAGACGGCCATCAGCGAAGCAACATTCAGAGCAGAGCACCGTACGTTTCAGAGTCTTGGTTACACGAAGGATCCGTCTGTAGACGGGGCATATGTGGGCAATCGAATAACTGCCGCGAAGTATGGTGGACGTGACACTGTACAGCTTAAGCCAACCAAAGATGAAAGTGCCGCAATACGGGCAAAGCGCCAAAAGAAAGGAGACTCAAGCATAGTCGAAGGGGACGGCGCATATCTTGGACCATGGGCCCCATACAAAGACGATGATATCGCATACGAGGAAGAAGCTGCAGCAGTAGATCAGGAACTGGCGTCGGACGAGGAATGGGTAGAAGAAGGTATCGTCGAAACGAATCTACCAGCGCCACCAAAAGCGGCGACAGCATATCAGGACGATGTTTCAACTTCCGAGACCACGGAGTTTCATGGCGCGTCCCTACTCGACTATCAAGGTCGAACCTACATGCACGTACCACAAGATCTAGATATAGACCTTCGGAAAGACCCGGGCAGTACCCAGAACTATCACCCCAAGAAGCTCATACACACCTATAAATCACACACGAAACCGATCACCTCCCTTCGTTTCTTTCCCTACTCCTCCCACCTTCTTCTCTCCAGTTCGGCCGACAGCAAGGTCAAACTGTGGGATGCGCATCACGCCCGTGAGCTACTTCGCACATTCTCCGGCCACACAAAATCCGTCACCGATACGGACTTTCACCCTACCGGCAGGACATTTCTCTCTGCATCCTACGACCGCCAGATCAAACTGTGGGACACGGAAACCGGAACATGCATATCGCGCTTCTCCAGTGGCAAGAATCCCCACTGCATCAGATTCCAACCGGCCGATGGTGGCCACGAGTTCCTGGCCGGTATGTCTGACAAGAAGATTGTGCAGTTCGACACCCGTTCTGGTGAAATGACCCAAGAATATGACCACCATCTTGGGCCTATCAACAGTCTTACATTTGTCGATGAGAACAGGCGGTTTATTTCGACCTCAGACGATAAGAGCCTGAGAGCATGGGAATACAATATCCCCGTCCCCATCAAGTTCATCGCCGACCCCTCCATGTTCGCATTAACGCGTGCTTCCCCACACCCATCGGGTAAATACGTTGCGTTCCAATCCGCCGATAACCAGATTGTGGTCTATGCTGCAGGGGACAAGTTTCGACAGAACAGGAAAAAGGGATTCAGAGGGCATAACACAAGTGGCTATGCCATCGATGTGGCTGTCTCACCTGACGGGAGTATTGTGGCGAGTGGGGACAGCGGTGGATATGTTTGTTTCTGGGATTGGAAGACCGGGAAAATGTGGCATAAGATCATGGCTGGTGGAGAGGGGAGAGGAGCAGTGACATGTGTGGCTTGGAATGGGCAGGAAAGTAGTAAGGTTGCTACTGGTGGACTGGATGGGATTATTAGATATTGGGATTGAATCCTCACAAGCGCTTGTATGTCCTCAGGCTTCTGTGGCAGCACGCTTCCCCTGCAGATACAGCCCTACCCAGCATGGTCGCTTTGGTTTGAGCCCGAGACTTTTCCTGGCTTACGAATGGATTAGAGCATGCATGAACTTTCTGTTTGCAACCAGATCGTCGGCCATAGAATGGCGCTTTATCGACTGCTGAGGAACACGCCATTTTGCGCGTTGATACTTTAGTAATTCCGTGCAAAAGAACCGTGGTCAAGCGGACGAGCAGCGGACCCGGCAGACGGTTTCGAAATGACAGCCACCAAAGTTTGATGCTTGGCTGTACGGAGTAAGGGGTCATTTGTTAAGGTTAATGTGACTTACATACCCAGTGTAACTAGTACTACATTGTGCTTCACTAGCATCCCCCACAGATTCAACAACTCGCGAGAGCAAAGCAGAAACACACTGACTACTACCTAGTAAGAGTAAAGCACCAACCACTACTCCGTACCAGCCTGAGAAGCATACTCCGGAGGTGGAGTGCTCCGACTTCCACTCCCTCTCGAATCCGTCGACCGATAACACGGCAACGTCGAGCTTTGCGACGATCCCTCCGAATCATCCCCCACCCCTTTCTCCCCTTCTTCCTTCGTCTTCCTGACCCACCGGTCCTGCATCTCATAATACTCGACATTATTCTGCAGGCCCGGCCCCAACCCTAGCTCCAGATCTGCATCCAGCACCTCCCCGTATCTCCTGTTCCTCCTTCTTTGCCATAGCCAGTAGTGCTCGACGCAGATGTTCAGGACGCAGATCAGGAGGATGGTGCCGAAGATGTCGCAGACGAGGATCACTGCGATCCAGAATTCGTGTGGCCAGCGGAGTTCGGTCATTTTACTAAGTGGCTGTAACTTACCGTGAGTGGGGATTGGGCAGGACCGGCCTGCTGCGGGGATTGTGTATTGAACGGGACAGGTAGGATGATTGGGTAGGGATGAAGTGATTCGTTGATGTAGTCTGACTGCTTTTCCTAAGGGTAGACGGGAGAGGAACAATAACCCGACAATGATTACCCATTCACTGCACGCTCCTGTGCATTTGTATCAGCATAGAAAGACGCTTTGCAATATCTTTGTCCAATCTGTCGTTGTTGCCGTGCTTTCAATGCCACTCTTTTAGTCTACTGTCAGAATCTCTCTTGTTATCCCGGCACTTTCACTGAAGTTCTTTGTTCGATTCCCGCAACCCTTTTTGTAAACTGCCCTTTCATCCACCATCTTCACTTCACACTCAATTCCCATTACCACCTTCAGAGAACATCCTTGCCTTCGCCTGCTAACGTCCAAAAAACCAGTCTTTGCCAGACAGACCGCAAGTGGTTTTGAAAGGATAACCACGAGCGGAATCAAAAACCACCATGCTCGCTTTGTTTGCCCTTGCAGCCATCCTGGCCATCGAAGGCGCCTTCGCCGCTCCAGTTGACGAAGAATTCAAGTGCCCTCAATTCCCCTTGGCCGATAATCCTAACCCCAAATGCACCTACTCCGGAGCTCAAGCTGTTGAGATCACACCGGCACAAATCCTCACCGTTGCACCCACCTCAGCCACCTGTGATTGGATCATCAGCAATGAGTGCCGCACCAATGAACAAGCCGCGTTATGGATCAGCAAATCTTTCACGCAGATGGGTATCTTCACAAAAGCCGAACAAGCGGCGTTGATTGCTCTGATGGCGTTTGAGAGCGGCGAGTTCAAATACAACACCAACCAACAGGGCCACGTTGGTCAAGGCACCCGTAACATGCAGTCTGGCGAGTACAATCTCAAGTACGCGCAGTCGGTTCCGATGTTGCGTGAACCACTGCAAGCGATAGGGACTTGGGATCTCGGCAAGGTCCTCAAGCTTGTATTGCCGGATGAGCTGTCCTTTGGCAGCGCCGCTTGGTTCCTCCAGACGCAGTGTTCGCCTGATATTCGGGAGGGCTTGAAGAAGGGCGGTGAGGAGGGTTGGGCCAATTACATTAAGGAATGTGTGGGTACTGAGCCTGAGCCTCGAAAGGCCTACTGGCAGGCTGCTGTCAAGACCCTGGCTTAAGAGTTGTGGCCGTAATTTCCTTCGTCACGGGTGGCTTGTATTTTGGGAAGCCGAGCTTTGCATGACACCTTTTATCTTTGTCATAGCTATCGCGTTTGTACAGCTTCAGAGGCTTCCCCACAGCTCTCGTGCTTTTGACAGACTTCAGCCGGTGAGTCTGTTGAGTCTGCATGTTACAGTACGAAAATCGGAAATTTTTAGTTAATCAAGCAGGGTATCCATCAAATCAAACAAAAGCAAATCGAGGCCCTGGTTTGCTTTGATTAGTTAGTATTTAATCGAAATGCAGTAAGCAATATATTTCTATGGAATTACTTGAGTTCTCGTCCAGATCAAGTGTCCGCCAAGACCAATATTATTCTATCGAAAATATCCTCAAATATTTTACAAGAGACTTATCTGTCAAGACTTCAGTTTGACTAGTTACTAATAACATCTCAAATCCACGGAGGTTGATTTGCTTTGACGAAAGCACTGATTTGGTTTGATTTGTTTGACTAATTTAATGTGATGGACACACTGAGTCGCTATCCTGGCGGAGAAATTCATGGCTGGTAGGCTTTTGTGAACGATGGATGGATGGTTACTGAGTCAGATGGGTGCTTGAATGGCGACATTGGGAAATTGTTTGGCTAATACATGTTATTTTCAAGACACGGATCACGGGGAAATTTCAATTGGAATTTCAGGTGGTAAAGCCAAGCTTCGCACCCTTACAGGGTGCAAAGGCGCCCCCCAGGAGACTACTAACCAACTATCCACCAAACCGCGGTAAAATGACGGTATTTTCTAATTGGTCCAACCTGGCACTAGCGGCCTTGGCGAGCGGAACCTTAATCAAATACAAACCAATCAGATGCCAGGATGGAAACCTTATTTTATCAAGATGGTATTGTACCACGGAGATTTAGGTTTAAGGTTACGGGCACCAAGGCCGCTAGTGCCAGGTTGGACCAATTAGAAAATACCGTCATTTTACCGCGGTTTGGTGGATAACAACCTCGACTTTCCGGAGCCTGGCACCCCTGTCAGTAAGACACTGTTTGTTGTGCTAGTCTCTGGTAGTGGGCTGTTGCTCGCTAAAGGGAGATCTGGTGTAGCTATCCTTTCGATTGGGAGTCATGCATGACGTCTCCCTTTACCGCATTGCTACTATTTTTCTGACTGGCTGAGCCGAGACATTCTCTATCTGAGCAGTCTCGGTCTGTGGTCTGATATCCATGTAGGTAGATATCTTCGTTGGCCTGTGTTCAAAAGCTAACTCATAACTCTTCTCCTCGGTCATCTCCATCTCCTTCTTTACCCATCCCAGAATGTATAAACACACCAACACTTACCTCGTTACTCCATCTACTCTCTAGCCCCATATCCTTCCAAGCCCCTAACAGATCAATCTCCAACACCCCTGCCTTCGCCTTGCTATCGTCCTCCTCCGTCCGACATCCCGCATCACCTAGGATTTTCCTCTCAACCCTTTCCCTCGGCACCACCTTCCCCAAAATCGTGACCAAAAATCCTTCTTCTACACTCCTCTCTCCCAGATCTGACATCCAGATGCCTAATGTACCTAGCGCTTTGAGTGAGATGTACATCCTCAAGTTTTTACTACTGCTGCTGTTGTATGGTTCGAAATAGGTTGATGTGATGGCGCATGCGCCGGTCATTTTGCCTAGGAGACCGAGGATTGCGATGGATGTTGGTATTGGGTTTCTTTTTGTTGGAGCTGTGGTGGAGGCAGGGTGTCGATGTGGTTGGGGTTCTGCGATTGCGGTTGAGAAGGAAAATTCGTAGATTGGGTGCACGGTTAGGATGTCGTAACCACGGATGGGGAGGGTGACTAAAGTTAGGTTCGAAGGAGAGGTGGGAGCCGTTGGGGTGATGGGTTGGGAGATTTGGCCTTTGACGTGAGAGCGGATAAGAAACTGTCCAGAAGGTCCTGATTTAAACCTCATATCTTCTTCTGAGGATGCAGCGTGCACGCCAGGGAAGTCGGTGATTGGTATCAGAGCGCTGATTTCATGGTCTGAGACGTTGAAGAGGCCGAGAATGCCATTCCCGGTCTGTGCGGCTCCGTTGTAGGTGCCTACTTTTAGGATCCGACCCTCGTAGTAGGGATCATAGATATCAATTGTTTTGCCGACCACGCTGGGTCGTAAGATGACTGTCTGACCTCGCACATTTTGCGCCGTGAACTGCGCAATGAGATCAAGGTCATGGTCTCCAGGTGTATCGGTGATGTAGATTGGACCGCCACTCACGCATCTTGCTGCAGCGTGGAAGGAGGAATAAGGATGCGAGGTCTGAAACATATCCCAATCTGGAAGGACGTTGAGATGCTGCACAAAAAGAGCATTATGGGCATTGCAGAAGATATGCCAAGGATGCGACGCCGGAATGGTGGGGAAGAAGTCGTCGCTGTTACGGAGGAGGATTCTAGGAGTGTTGACAGCCAGGAAGGATTGAAACAAGATTTGCGGAATCTGGCTCATACAAGAGATGGCCTTTCCAGAAAAATGACGTAGATGTGCGGTGGTCCAAGCCGACTGATATGCCGTTGTAAAAGCCCTTCGATCTGCTGTCGATGTAATCAAGTCCAGGTAGAATTGCACGTCTGTTTTGACTGAAGTTACGCCGCAAGACGCCAGGAATTTATAGAAGTCATCGTACATTTGATGGATATCTGATGGATCCACAGCAAGCATTTTGCCTCCCGCTGTTCTAGCATCCTTTTCCAGTTCAATGGTTTTGTAACTCTTTGCGATGGTGCCAGAAGGCGATATTCCGCCCCAGTAGCCATGCAGGCCGTGCCAGACTGCGACATTGCTGATTGCTGGATGCTTATCCTTGATTTTTGCGACAGTTGGCTTGAGGCCTTGAGGAAAGCCTTTGTTGTTTGCCTCGAAGTCAGTCCAGCCGCGTTGAAATTGGGAAGTCTTTCCTTGCATCCCATCAAGCGATTGCCAATTATCATCAATGATCAAACCAGAGACATGGATGCCATTTGCAGCTAAATCATCGAGTGCAACGAAAAGCTTTTCCTCGGTCAGGTCTTGTCCAAGGGAGTTCCAAGTGCAGTAGGTCAATCCATCGTACCATTCCTCAAGCCATTGTGGTTTCGGCTCGGACTGTGTGCCGTTGCTAGCATCATCTTTTGAAATGAGTATAGTGGTTGAATCTATAGACTCGGTCTTCACATGGGCAGCATCAAGAGACACCTGCTCGGTTGATGATCTGCTCTGAAGAATAATTCTCCGTGCCTCGTACATAACTGCGGCATTTGCTACCTCAAAGTCATCTGACACAGCGGCAAGGAACTCGAATTTACCTTCCACTCTGCCATCATTTCTAGCCGCAACTATGATATGACCATCTGCGTCTGACCTGAAAACAGTCACTGTATCATTGACTCCGTTAATTGGTAAGAGCACGGCATGTTGCCCTTCACAAGTAAGGAAAGAACACAAGAGAGCATCTTCAGTGATGTGGAACCTGCGCTCCCCATGCCGAGGTGCAAGCCAGGGGCTCCATATTCTTACCAAAGCCATATAACGGCAAAAGCCAGTATTAGACGACCCAAATATCTTACTTTCATACTTGGCATCATCGGCACTATTCCTTGGTATGGGGTCTTTAGATTCAACTTTGAACAGGGTAGCTCCTGGGGCTTGGCTCTGAAGTGATGTTATTTGCCATTGCTGTAGGTGTTCGTCGCCAAAGATTGATGACGCCCAAGTATGCGTCAGCTTATCCTGACTTCCTTGTGAAAATAGAAGGGATCCATCTGAGATTCCGAATTGGTCTTTCATCCACTGCCATGGCACGTTGGGACCAGCACGAAATTTGATCGTAAAATATGCCAGATTGTCAGCATTAGGGGCAGGGTCAAGCTTGAGTGGCGCTGAGAAGCTATAGTTATAGGATATGGGTGCGGAAGCGCCAATTAGAGTAAAAGGTGTGTTGGCAGACGGAACAAGTGGTAAATTCTCCCATGTATTGGAGTCTTCAGTCGGCTTCGTGGGACAGTTATGCCAGACAGACACTTCCCATGCAACTTCTGGCAAAGACTTGCTTGCTTCCAGGAGGACAGTGAACTCAATCTAACACAAGCTTAGCAAGAAAGATGCCTTCCTAGTCTTCCTAGCTCTCACTTCTCGTTGTTTCCTTCCAATGACGGTCAGTTGGCCCAAAGGAGGGAAACAGACCAACTTCGCCAAAACCTCCATCTGCGCTGGCCTTATAAACCTTATCTGCGACGGTCTACCAGGAGGCTTGATTTCGGCTACCTCTGTCATCAAAAAGAATGGTATAAGACAGATAAACAAGCTGATGTAAAGATGTGATAGCAGCCTCAACGTGGGCCATGTACACGGAGATGGAGGATATACAGACGGTATAGGCAGGAAATTTATGAAGAGAGCCTCAGCGTTCGGAATGAGCTTATCATGTGCGATGGCAACAAGATCAGAACCTTTTACATTTCTGTCACCTGCTAGATTATGAGTCGTTGGTCCCAGGCGTGATTTCGGGAATGCGTATTGTGGAGGAGAAGCTTACATAAGGCAGTGCCAAGAGAGATCCGCGAATGTTTTCGCGCGCGACAAATACTTGAAGAAAGTCATCATGTCGACCTAGACTTACCCCAGATTTCCTCCAATCGACTCTGCGCCTTTGTCTTGGTCGGCTGTTCTCGATGCCGCGCAGCGCATCGTTACTTTCGACCCCTCGATTAACCAAGCCACATGTCTGCTTGTCGTGTCAACGGAAACTTTCATACCCTGGGTCACAGCTGGCGCAAGCCCAGCAGAGACGATGGATCACTCGAAATCATATCAGGAGGATCAGGGATGCGATGCAGGACTGGGAGGAAAGAGCTGAAGCCATCAGGAATGGACAGAAGCAAAGCATACTAGCTCTGCTGGAGGAGCGAGGCTTCGTCCATCAGATCGTTGGGTTGTTGTAGTCCCTGGACTTAACATAGCCATCTACTGACGGACGTCCAGTACGCGCCAAGATCTTGATTACCTGCTCACGGAGCGTCGAGTTGGTGCGTATGTCGGAGTGGATCCTACTGCTCCATCGCTCCATGTGGGCCACTTAGTCCCATTCATGGCACTTGGATGGCTTTATATTCATGGATATCAATCTACGTTCCTGGTAACAACTATGCCGCCCTGCTCTTCCTTGCTCTACTGACAAGAACAGCTGGGCGGAACCACCTCGAAGATTGGTGATCCTACTGACCGGCAGGCCGCTCGAGAAGACAAACGTCCCTCTGAACGCAAGATGGCTCTTGCAAACATGCACTTACAACTGAAGAGACTGGGTGCAACGATGGAAGCATATGCCGGGAGGAGAGGCTATGCACGAGAGTGGGCATGGAGGAGAGATGTCGCTAATAACAGCATGTGGTATCAGAAGTTGACATTGTCTGAGTTTATGCGTGTCCTTGGAAGTGGAGCGCGCTTGGGACCACTTCTTGGGAGGGATACGTGAGTATTACTTCTGCGCATGTCATGGATCTCTCAGCTGACATTTTCCTTCCGAAGAGTCAAGAACCGCCTTGAAAATGGCACTGGCATGTCTTACGCCGAATTCTCGTACCCTCTACTGCAGGCATGGGACTGGTGGGAGCTGTTCAGAAAGGGGACGCAGATTCAAATTGGCGGTGCTGATCAGTTCGGCAACATCTTGGCCGGAATAGAGACCATCAAGGCAATGAAGAAAGTGGAGGCAGTACATTTCGAGTCCGACGAAGCATTCCAAGGCCACGTGGGTCACACCTTCACAGCCTCGATGAGCAAGGCACCCAAAGACGGGGGCAATATCAATGAGCCGATAGGGTTCACTGTCCCGCTGCTCACAACCTCGGCAGGTGTGAAATTTGGGAAGACTGCCGGTAATGCTATATGGCTGGACCAGCAAATGACCAGCACTTTCGATCTGTACCAGTTCTTCCTTCGATCCGCAGATGCGGATGTTGAGAAATATCTCAAGCTCTTTACCTTCCTACCCATTCCAGAAATTCAGAGCATCATGGAAGAGCATCAGTTGGACGAGTCCAAGAGGGTTGCTCAGCACAAATTGGCTGTTGAGTTTGTGGAACTCATTCACGGGTTGGGCGCGGCTCAGAGTGCTCAGAAGCAACATATGACAATGTTCGACAAAAACCTCACGGTAGACTCCGTACGTGCATCCCAGCTTGAAGCGGAGGGCAAGGAATCTCGAGCTCCTGGTGATTGGAATGTTCAACTCAACAAGTATGCTAAGCCGACAAGTGCTGCTGATACCCCTTCGACACATATGAAACTACCGCGTTCTCTGGTGGTGAATCAGCCGTTTGCCAAAGTGCTTTGGTCTGCGGGTCTTGTATCATCAAGAGGTGAAGGGTCGAGGCTCATCGAAAACAAAGGGTGCCACATTGGCTCGAAGATTGCGCGTGGCGCTACCACGGCTCAAATGGGTGATTATTTGGCATTTACTCCCTTGACAACTACAAAGCCGTCAGAAACCGGGAACTACCTCATAGACGGAGATCTCCTAATCCTCAGAATAGGAAAGTGGAAGATGAAATTCATTACTGTCATTAGCGATGAAGAATACCAACAAGCCGGGCTCACGTGTCCTGGGTGGAAAGAGGGTGATGATGCTGGGAGGGAGGATTATAAACAAGTACAGCGAGAAACCATGGATTTCAGAGCCGAGAGGAGACGGGAGCGATTGGGAAGACAAAAGAAGCGTGAGGCATCCGCCGGGGTGGTCAGAGACTATCAGATGGAGAGCGAGTAGAGATGGCACTGATACGACCAGCGGTACGGGATGCGTTTGTCTATGCCGTACCCCGTACAATATCCGTGTACCAATAGTGGCTCCCCTTGCAACACTAATCTAAATGTAAAAATGTAGAGACAACATCCTCACATATGAGAATGCCAGGAATAGAGACTGTCCTTATCACTGTGCTCAAGCATGTGTTGGTGCTCATTGTTTCAAGGGATACTATTAGAGTAGGCACACGCTTCACCTGACAGAGTACTAGGCAGAGCACCTAGGTACTAAGGGGTAATGGACACATGAGATGGGAAGAATCTACTATGCGACGTGCTGGGGCTGTGCTGTACTACAGTATCAGGCGGAATTGATGGTCCCCCCCGGTCAAAATATCTTACAAACGCCTTTTTACATACACACCCCTGTCAGATCTCTGTTGCTATATTGCACGAATTTTGTTCATCCTGCAAATCCTGCAAACTCTACGCATTCTGTCAGTTCTACATAGATACTAATAGACCTGATAATAGGATAAAACACAAGCAGCTGTTGATACTGTATGCGATTCCATGTCTTCTGACCATCTTAAGGAGCTACTTCAATCTATGCAGGCGAGATGGAAGCAATTGTGGAAGTCAATAGAAAGTAAAAACTTTGATATTAAAGACTGGTCCTATTTAGGCTAGTTCACAGCGTCCATACTTAATTTTACACAGTGCGTTTTGTACAGATACTAACGTTTTCAGCAAGGGGGGTACAAAAATTCGGCCTGTAGCCGTAGTATGTTTTGTGCCATTGCTGGAGACGGGAGGGCCTAGCCTAGCCCATTACTAGGAAATACCAAGCCTACAGCTACGTACTACCTAGTACGTAAATTACGTAGTTTGACACGCTAAAGTGGTAGGTGGTCGCGCCTACATCGCGTTCCCCACGAATTTTGGAGATTAGCATCGATATGCAACCCAATTGATAGTCTCGCTTGTCCTCTATTCCTTCAACCCAGCAACATGGCGAGAGACGACGTTCATCCTGCTGCATCATTCCCAGCGACTCCAACCCCGGCCTTGAAGAAGTCAACCTCCAATACTCAGAACATGAAAAACCAGAAAACTTTACTTGGGTTTTTTCAGAAAACACCCACCTCTGCCTCGACTACCTCATCGCTGCCAGATCGGGTTGTCACTGACGTTAAGAAGCCGTCTGTTCTTGCTACCAAGAACTTCACCCGGAAGAGCAGCTCCCAGATCACCCCAGCCCCGAGCAGTGATGCCCTGGACGAAGACGACAATCTCTCAGAACAGAATGTATCCAAGGAAAGTTCTCGGTCCAAAGAAGGTCTGCCTTCACCTGTATCGTCAGCTAATGGAGAACCTGTGGGGCAGACCCTAGCGGACGCTGAAGAGTTGACTGCCTTTGGAACACCTTCTCGCAAGGTCAGCCAAGCTGGAGTCATTCCCATCCTACAGATAAAGTTAATGTGACATAGGCAAAAAAGAAGATGTTGAGTTACGCCGAGTCTGATAGCGAAGGTGCAGATAGCATTGATGACGATGTGTTCAAACCTACAGCAAAAAGTCGGCCAGCAAGGCCGAACAAGAGGAGGAAAGTCTCGGAAAGCGCTGACGAGGATGTGTACGAGGATGAGAATGTTTTCGATGACGTTGACCACGGTACGCTTCGAGAATTTCCGCGCGGTTGGTCGTTATGCTGACTGCACAGATGAGATTGACAGTTTCATAGCGCCAGACGACTCCGACGAAGATGTTCAACGGCCGGTCAAGCGGAAAAGGGCCTCACAGCCTCAGTCCCGTAAAGTCACAGCAACTCAAAGTCCAGGGCAAAATGATGAGGAGGATGAGCTCGAGCCATCTGGAACATCAAATGCCCAGCGATGGATCTTTGATCCTAATAATCCTAGGGCACTGCAACCCCGGCCAATTAATGCACAAAGCAAAGCCCCAGGAGCATATGATAAGAAACAGAAGCCAAAGGCTCATACGAAAGAGCCAGAAGATCGGTATCCTTGGCTGGCAGATATACGAGACATCGATCGGCATCCTCGAGAGCATCCAGAATACGATCCTCGCACACTATACATACCTCCACTGGCCTGGGCCAAGTTCTCACCCTTCGAGAAGCAATACTGGGAGATCAAACAGAAATTCTGGGACACCATTGTATTTTTCAAAAAGGGCAAATTCTACGAGCTCTATGAAAATGATGCCACCATTGGGCATCAGCTCTTTGATCTCAAGCTGACAGATAGAGTCAACATGCGCATGGTCGGAGTTCCCGAAAGTAGCCTTGAACTCTGGGCAAACCAATTCGTGGCCAAAGGTTTCAAGATCGCGCGAGTTGACCAGCAAGAAAACGCGCTTGGCAAGGAAATGCGTGAAAGAGATGAGAAAGTCAGCGGCGCAAAAAAGCAGGACAAGGATAAGGTAATCAAGCGAGAGCTTGCATGCGTGCTGACTGCGGGAACACTGGTCGATGGATCAATGCTCCAGGATGATATGTCAACATTCTGTGTGTCAGTAAAAGAATCATTGATCGATGATCTACCGGCCTTTGGTATCAGCTTCGTCGACACAGCAACAGGCCAATTCCACATGACAGAATTCGTGGACGACGCCAGTCTCACAAAGTTCGAGACCTTCGTGGCTCAGACGAGACCACAAGAAATCCTTCTCGAAAAGGGCAATGTCTCAGTCAAGACACTGCGCATACTCAAGAACAATACAGGACCAACCACAATATGGAATTACATGAAGCCAGGCAAAGAGTTTTGGGAAGCAGATATCACCATCAAAGAGCTCCAGGCAAGCGAGTACTTTCCGGAAGCTTGGCCAACCGTGCTAGAACAAGCGAAGGAAAAGGAGCTCCTCATGTCAGCATTTGGTGCGCTGACCCAATATCTGCGGACTCTCAAGATTGAGCGCGACCTGATAACGATCGGTAACTTCTCATGGTATGACCCAATCAGGAAGTCGTCGAGCCTTGTTCTCGATGGCCAGACCTTGATCAATCTCGAAGTCTTTGCCAACTCATTTGATGGCGGTTCGGAAGGCACTTTGTTTCAGCTGCTGAACCGTTGCATCACCCCTTTCGGGAAGCGTATGTTCAAAGCATGGGTGTGCCACCCTTTGATGGACATCAAGAAGATCAACGCCAGACTCGACGCAGTAGAATCACTTAACGCTGATACTGTTGTTCGAGATCGGTTTACCTCTCAGATGACAAAGATGCCAGATCTGGAGAGGTTGATCTCAAGAATACACTCCGGGCATTGCAAGGCTCAAGAATTTGTACGGGTCTTGGAAGGCTTCGAGCAGACAGACTACACGATTTCGTTGCTAAGCAGCAGTAGTGGCAACTCATCTGACAGCGAGGGTGTTATCGGACAACTCATTGCAGCTATGCCTGATCTTGGGTCGAGGCTGGAGTATTGGAAGAGTGCATTCGATCGTGAAAAGGCCAAGCAGAACGGCATACTTGTCCCAGAACGAGGAATCGAAGAGGACTTTGACGATTCACAAGACACGGTGGAAGCGATCCAGGCAGAGCTGAGCGACCTTCTGAAGAAATGGCGTAAAGAGTTAGGCAGTTCAGCCATCTGTTTCCGCGACAACGGAAAAGAGATCTTTCAGCTCGAGGTGCCGGTCAAAGTTGGTAAGATCCCCAAGAACTGGGATCAGATGTCGGCCACGAAGCAGGTGAAACGGTATTACTTCCCTGAGCTTCGCGCTCTGATACGCAAACTGCAAGAAGCCCAAGAAGTGCACTCTCAGATTGTCAAAGAAGTTGCTGGCCGGTTTTACGCCCGCTTCGACGAGAATTACGAGATCTGGCTTGCGGCCGTCAAGATCATAGCACAGCTCGACTGCCTCATCTCTCTAGCTAAAGCATCAGCCAGTCTCGGTCAGCCCAGCTGCCGCCCGGTCTTCGTTGACGACGAACGCAGTGTCCTCGAGTTAATCGACCTCCGGCACCCCTGCCTCCTAGCCAATGTCGATGACTTCATTCCCAACGACGTCGTCCTCGGCGGCCCATCCAATGCCAGCATGACCCTGCTGACTGGCGCAAACGCCGCCGGCAAATCCACCGTGCTGCGCATGACCTGCGTCGCCGTCATCATGGCCCAGATAGGCTGTTACCTTCCCTGCGCATCCGCCCGCCTCACACCCTGCGATCGCATCATGTCACGTCTGGGGGCACAAGACCACATCTTCGCCGCACAATCTACCTTCTTCGTTGAGCTGGCCGAGACCAAGAAGATCCTCACCGAGGCCAGCCCAAGATCGCTCGTCATCCTCGACGAGCTTGGGCGGGGAACCAGCTCTCATGACGGCGTCGCGGTCGCTCACGCCGTCCTCCATCATCTCGCTTCCCATGTCGGCTGTCTTGGCTTCTTTGCCACTCACTACCACTCGCTGGCTCAGGAGTTTGTGGCTCACCCCGAGGTGGAGGCGAAGAGGATGCAGATCCTGGTTGACGAGGTGGAGAGACGGGTCACGTTTCTCTATAAATTGGAAGCGGGCGTGGCGGAGGGCAGTTTCGGTATGCACTGTGCCAGTATGTGTGGCATCCCGAGGGGAGTGGTGGATCGCGCGGTAGTGGCGGCGGAGGAGTGGGAGCATACAGGCAAGAAGGTGAGGGAGGGTGAGAAGAGGAGGGAGGTTGGGGGTGAGTTGGCGTTGGGGGTGTTGAGTGATGTTGCTTGGGTCTTGAGGGGTGATGGTGCAGGTGAGGGAGGGGATGGCAAAGAGGTGGACGAGGGGATGGATGAGAGAGGGTTGGAGGTGCTGATGAAGTATATTGAGGCTCTGTGATGGGAAGACACGGTCTGTTGTGATAGTGTGCGGGTAAGTCTTTCTTTGTCTTTTGTCCCTGTTGTTTGAGCTGGCAAGGCGGATTGTACTTCAGCGGGCGGTCTTCATATTACTAGTAGACAGTTCAGCGAAGTCCAGCGGGATTGAGCAGTTATAGTACTATGTTAGAGGTACGCCTTTCCAAATCGTCTCGCTTTTTTCGTCTTCCATTTGTGTCATGTTTTTTGTTAGCTGGATCCGCAGAGGAGCTAGCGCGAGAGTGCGAAAGTGCGAGAGAGCGAGAGAGAGAGAGAGAGTGTGTGTGTGTAATAGATCAATGGAGCTCTTGAGTCAACATTAAAATGGAGACGATATATTTTCCTGGTTATATCGTCTCAACTCAGACAGATAAATAGTTGTCTGGCACAGCTGCTGTCTCTTCCTCCCCTTTTCAGTTCACTGGTCAGCTCAGTTAGTCACTTCAATCGGGCATTTAGAGCTATCATGGGATAACTAGCTCATTTGGACGACATAGGTTACATATATGCGAGAGGAGTTCGTTCTATGTACAATGTCTGACTGAGGAGGTATGAGGCTCTCGGGCGAATGGGATTCAGAATGTTTCCGAACTGGGACGGGTGAGCACGAGGAAGCAAGATGTCTACTTTAGAGTTTTTGAATGGAATTTTTCGATTGATGTCTCAAGGCTAAGCTGTACGCTGTCTGAGCTATTGCAGCTACAATCACCCATTCGCGCCTTGGATGCGAACAACTTCTTGATTTTGAAGCAAGTAACTCGGTAGCTCCATACTTACTTGTGTGCACGTGATGTGGACTGCGTGAGCAAAAAGGAAGCAAAAGACATGTTGTGAAACGTTGCAGTTTGTAAGTAGGCCTAAGCCGAGCCAAGCAATCTCGTATCCTGAGCGACGCATGCTAGTACTTGCTCTTCAATCATCTCATGTGATGACAGAGTCTGTGTTCGGACTCGATGGATGCTCCCATAGCCCTGCCGTCATTTCCTCTAACTCTCTCCGATATTCTTTTCAGCCTCCTCCGCTAGAACGCGTCGATGGGGTATCTTGTGTTGTGTGGCTGAAGTCAAGCCCCCTCACCGACAACGATCGTGTCATCAGCCTTCTCGATCGAAACAGCGACGTTCTTATCGTCGGTAGCGACGGCGATAGTGTCTCCTTCTTCCTCCTCGATGGCGATCTTGAGTGCAGCTTTTGCAGTCTCGGAGGCCGCAGTAGATCCAGCAGGACTATTGGTGCCGTTAGCGTTGATAGCAATGAAGCCGTCTACCTCTAGAGGTTCGTTGTGAGTAGCTGTTATTTCGGCGGCAGCATCGTTCTTGCTGGCATCGGTCTTGGCTGGTTTGTCGGTCCTCGCACCCTTGAAGACCTTGTCGGCTTTCTTGTCAATCTCCTCTTGGCGAAGCAAGGCTGCTTTAGCGTCAGCTTCTTCCTTGTCTGCCTTCTTGATTTGCTGCGCAGCAGCCGGCTTGCGGGGAGCCTTGGACTTCGGTGGTGATTCAGTATCTCTGTTGGGAGCAGGAGATGCTTTTGCTGCTGCTGCCTTCTTGGTTGGAGTCTTCTTCGCTGCGGCCTTCTCAGCTTTAATTCGCTCCTTTTCGGCTTGCTTGTCAGCCTTTTCTTTCTCTTTCGCGGCCTGCTTGTCAGCTTTTCCTTTCTCTTTCGCGGCTATCTTGTCTGCCTTTTCTTTCTCCTTTGCAGCCAGCTTCTCTGCCAGCTTCTCTGCCTTCTCCTTTTCTTTCGCTGCCTTTTTCTCGAGTGCTGCAGCTGAAGATTTGCGTGGTGTCTTCACCGGTGTAGGCTTGACTGAAGACTGACCACCATCGCTCTCAGTCTCAGTGGCTTCCTCATCGCCCTCATTTTTGACCACGGCTTTGGCATCAACGGACTTGCGTTTTTTAGCAGGAGGTGTTTCGTCTGCATCACTGTCATCGCTACCGGCCGCTGCGGTGGTTTCTGCCTCTTTCTCTGCCTTGGTTTTGCGCTTCCTAGGAGTAGCCTTTGACGTGGGAGTGACAGGCGTCTCCGGGAGGGTAACAGTAGCAGCCTTGGCGGCATTCTCAGTGTTAGGAGTCTTCGCAGCTTTCGGTGCAGCTTTCGGCTTTGGCGTGGTAGGAGCAGGCTTCACCTTGGCCGAGACTGGAGTTGGAGTCATAGAACCAGCGGACATGTCATCTGCAACGGAGGTGGCAGTGACAGGTGTGACCGGAGCATTTTCATTTGTCTTCAAAGCAGTAGAATCATCCATGGCTGCATCGTCGTCGGCATCGGCAACCTCGGTCTCGGTCGTAGCGTTCTCGTCAGTATCTTTGACATTCGCCTCAGCTACTTCCTCACTTTCACCATCCGTGTTTCTTGCGGGGCTAGCAGCAGCTGACTTGTCGGACACGCCGTTAGTACTCGCGACAGGTTCAGTTGCAGGTTCCTCATCATCACTTTCGGCCTTCAGCTCGCTCTTCTTTGTAGGAGTTTTCTTAGCTCGTGGAGTTTGGGATGCATCTGCGTCCTTCTTCTTGCGAGGAGTAGCGGGCGGTTTCACTTTGGCAGCTCCAGTGTCAGATACAGCACCACTAGCTGGGAAGCCGTCTGGAAACAGCTTCTTCCTCGTGCTCAGCCACGCGTTGTTGGCCCTCTTGGTGTTCGGCTTAGTGGAGTCATCCTTTATGTACCATTGCATTTTCTCCGCGAGTTTTGCATAGTCGACCTATACCAAGCCGGGTCAGAAGCCATAGACTATGGGAGGTCAAGAGTAGGTTCGCTTCCACGTCACTCGTATTGAGCGCAGAATGCTCTCATCGCCATAAGAATAGCCGATATGAAAACTATATAGCAGGAGCATGACTGCGTGCGCGACGTACAACAAACAAGACAAATGAAGCGTGTAAGAACGACAAGATAGGCGTTGTCTGAACCACTGAAGATCGACAGCGAAGTGGACAAAATGAACACCTAGAGTGATTGGAAACTCATAGCGAACAGACTGCACCCGACATGGTAGGCATTTCAAAGAGGAAGCATATCGAACTCACATCGAATCCACCCTTCAAGCTTTTAAAGGCGTTCATGATGAGCTTCTGATCTTGGAGAGTGAGACCAGCCAAAGGGCCAGCTTGTTCAGCCATCTTGAGTGGGTATGCGAAGCAATGACGGTTAGGTTGTGGGTGTGATAGTTTTGTGAGATATTCTGTGAATGTGAATGTAGAAAGAAGCGGGTTATGGGGTGACGGAATCCTCAGTTGAAAGTAGGTTGGCAGTCAGAATGACAGGAAAAAGCCGCCCTTTTGTGGAATCCGAGTTAAAGTTGTCAGGCAGGAATGGTAGTGAATTTAAGTAGAATATGCCAAGTCCTTTCACAAAGCAGGATCTGGCGGTGTTCCCTCTGAGGATGAATTGAGAGGAGGGCAGAAATTTCGAAAGTATGCATCGAAACGTTCTGTTGCTGGTCGAATGGTCTAGCGCTGGAAGCCTGGCGGTGTTTATATTACTTCGATGATTTTACCTTGACCTCATTTTCCATACGCATTATCCTTTTGTATACATTTCCCCAAATGCCTGGTACCGTGTCCCTCGCTGCTTTGCCAGTACCGCTCCTCTGGTAGACAAAGAATCGGGTTGGATTCCGTCGAAACCAAGTTCCCCCATTTACCCTACTGCCCACCCATTCGAAGGTGGTTGCTGGCCATTGACCCTTTCGCGGTACCAAGTCAGCTATATTTGCCTCCACTTGCCCGGTCAAAGCTGTTGCCCTCGTGAAATGAATTTGCAACAAGGCATTTTGAGGAAGATTTCTGGAATAATCCAGAGCAGTGCGAGGAGATTGTCGAGCATACGGAGGTAGTATGAGATATATCCACGATACAAAGGGACGTGCTAGAAATCTGACTAGGAAGAACGGGCCTGTGGTGACCACGACGACTGAGAGCTGTGTCAGTGACCAGCCATTACATCCAGTTTGATGTAATGCATACTCAACGGTGCTGTCCACCAAGGGGCAGTATCATGGAGATAATAAGCTGGAGCCATTATTATGAGACCAAACGCTGCAGCAACGATGGTTGAGACTCGTAGTAGCGCTATGTAATTGGTTTTTCCTAAGCCACCATGGTATATCAACAGACGTTCTTTAAAGACTGCGGCACGTCAGCCTCCATTTTTGACCATTCGAAATCTCTCCTCCTTGCTCACCTGGCTTCTCCGGAGCTTTTGGTGGCCTTCTCGTCTCATACTCGATCTGTAGACGTTCTTTGGGCGAGAGCGTCAAGCCTGGACTAATCTGAGCTTTTGGCAGCAGCTTAGCCGGAATGTCCGACCTCCGAGGACGTTCAACGGCACCTGTTTTCGGGGTTTGCGGTACTAGGTTGGTGGAATTGCTTCCCCTCGAATTTTGTTGGGCACGCGCTGGTGAGTATGGCTGAGCGGCGCCTGGCAGCTTTGTCACTTCCTTGCCTCTTCTCGTGGAATTTGGACGTGAGACTGCTCCGGCATTGTCACGATTTCCTGGTTGAGGAGGAGGAGAAGGAAACGTGCTCAAGGTACGACATCGTGCGCTTGCGAGGCTTGGTGTCCTTGCACAATTTTTGAATGCGAGTCGCATCTCAGAGTGAATAACTTGGAGCATATCTTATTCCCATACTCAACTAATCAGCGGGTCAACCGTACTTGTTGGGTCGATTTTGAGCATCACTGGCCAAAAAAGTGCAGCTGTTTGGAGCTTTACCGATTTGACGCGCCTGGCGCGGTTGGCGGGAGATGCGGGAGATGTGCAACGCAACATCCGCGGCTTGCATGGTTGGCTGCTCCCTGCTACATCTCTTCAAACTCATGAGGCAGCTGTGGGGGCCATGAGAAGAATGTATTCTCATTCTAAATGGTTGAATTTCTTCACAATGATTGACAGATAACAGTGCCCTCGTTGTGCAGCATGATGCTTTCTTCATCACGGCGTTCCTGTTTCGCCCTCGTTTGTCTGCAAATCTACCATTTTGCTAGCTTCAGCACAGCATATTCTACCTTGTCCAACGAAACACTACGCTCTCTTCCTCGGCCTGGAAATCACTTCGATATACATGACGGATCGCTACTAGCGCCGATACTCGTTCCAAGAGTACCTGGCACTTCAGGCTCTGATGCTGTCCTTACCCACTTTGTCAACTTTTTTCGTTCTACCCTCCCTAGCTGGGATATTTCGTTTCAAAACTCTACCTCCACAACACCATTGTCAAAGGGCGCGCAAGTCCCCTTCAGGAATCTGATTGTTTCTAAAGACCCACCATGGGCGAGCCCCGGCGACACCAGCCGCTTGACTCTTGTCGCACATTATGATTCAAAAGTGGAACCTACAGGCTTTATAGGTGCTACCGACAGTGCAGCACCTTGTGCTATGATCATGCATGCTGTTCGAAGCATAGATTCTGCGTTGACAAAGAAGTGGAAAGCCATGCAAGATGAAGGTGTCGATACATTTGGAGACGTGGAGGAGCACAAAGGCATACAGGTCATCTTTCTAGATGGCGAGGAAGCATTCGTGAGCTGGACCGATACGGACAGCATATACGGCGCTCGGTCACTCGCAGAAGAGTGGGACAATTCGTTGCACCCAGCGATGAGTACCTATAAGACCAAACTGGAAAGCATCAGCCTGTTTGTTCTCCTAGACCTGCTCGGTGCCAAAGATCCCAGCATCCCAACATATTTCAAGACCACTCACTGGGCCTATCAGAATATGGCGAGCGCGGAGTCAAGACTGAGAGAACTGGGTCAGTTTAAGTCTGCGCAAGGAAGGACTTGGCTTCCCGAGTCCAAGAAAGACCCTCATACCTCCTCGTCATTCCCAAGCTACATAATGCAAGACGATCACATACCATTCATGGCAAGGGGCGTGGATGTGTTGCACCTCATACCAAGCCATTTTCCAAAGGTATGGCATCGAATTGAAGACGATGGAGAGCATCTGGATGGGCCAACAGTTGAGGATTGGGCTATGCTCACTACGGCGTTTGCTGCAGAATGGCTCGAACTAGAAGGATTCTTCGATAAACCAAGCATGTCAAGAAAAGACGATAATGAGAAGAGGTCAAAGCAAGATGTCATTAGCAAAACAGAGCTATAATGGGTTTCCTCTTCAATGGTTCATCTGCACAAGTACTTCACAATGCGTGGCTTAGCTAAACCCAGTTGTATGTCCTTCGCGTTCCGCCGCAAAAGCTTTTTACAGCTCTTTCTAGGATAACATCCATGTGAGCGAGGCACAGTTGCTCATGCTGTGAATGCCTATAGGGCGCGCTTGAAATGGATGCAAGGCACCAGATATCGTGGCCTTTGAGACATCCGGATATGATTATTCCGTTGTCGCACTCTTTGCGCATCAGGTTTGCGTTACAGGGTTGAAGGACTGTTCGAGCACATATACTGCAGCTTGATTCTGTCCGGCTCTTACACGGACTCTTCATTTTTCCCGCAGAGCAGGCCCCTGATCAAGCTCCTCCCACGGAATTATATCCCAACTGGAACTCAATGCAGCCCACCTCCGTCAGGTTCGAGAAGATGAAAAAGTCTACAGTATCACTGACGCCCACCAGGGAGAGATTTCATACTATTCTCAACAAACACTGGAGCACATACTCAGCTTGCTCCACTGCATTGCCCCTAATAGAGGCAGTCTGAAGAAAGCCGCATAACTCTGGGTATGTCGCTGGCGAACGCAGGCATGTCGTAGAGGCACCGGAGCAGCGAAATATCAAGGTCATAGCCTGTGGCTCAATAAATGAGCACTTGGGAGTGGACGAAGTTCAGTTGTATTGAAAGAGAGGGCGTTTGTACTCCATTGCAATGTCCAGAACGTTTGATCAGCACTCATTCCAACTGAGCAAGTATGACTCTGCTTCAGAAAGGCGCAGACCCCCTGAACGTATTACACGAAGGTGCCGCAATCGACATAGCAAGATCATCTACATCAATTCGAAAGTGGATGGTATCCCCTTGGCTCCGAATGCCTGAATTCTTGGTGTAAATCTAACTAGCACTGTCGTGTACGAGGGCCATACAGACCGAGCATCAACGCCGCTAATGCTTGTGACTATCGGAGTCGGTAGTAGAGAAGCACGAGCAGTGTGTCGATCGAGGATGATTCCGCTTTCTTTCCTGAGACAAGCAAATAGATTATCTTATACCATAGTTGCTATGGCGCATGTAGCGACAGTGCCGGGTGCCCCTTCAGAACAACCAATCTAGCTGTCCCAAGTCGATATCTGCCCGTGATAACAGCCACTGCAACATACAGAGATCAGGCAAGTGCATCTGTGGTGAAATTCACCTGTGAGCACGTCAGGATTCGTACCCTGCGCTCTACCAGATTCGATCTTGCTGTTGACATGGGGGGTATTTATGCATCTTGAATCTGAGCCAGAAGTCCCCAGTGGAACCTGCAGCGGCCTTGTCCACCTGCCTGAGCCCTGGGCAACGCTTTCGTCTCTCTCCAAAACGACCTTTTGAATTCCACCCCAATGCCTCCAGCCAACAGCCACAACGAAAGTCCTGCTATTCCGTTCTATACCTACAATCAAACGTCTGGATGTCGGGTAGAGGCGAAGTCAGGCACCCCTGGTCCCACTGAAGGCGGTTTCGATAAGCACGAATCGTCGACCAGCCCATACGTATGCAAGGGTGGATAATGGTCGGATGCCCGCAAGGGTTTGTGGCGATCCATCGGCCTTCAGTGTGATTGTAGATGGTCCTGCAACCTCTTCGAGAAACATGTCAGTGCTACGTTGAGGGATCGGTATCACAGTGTTTCCCGGCTAGGAGCTGAGGGGAAGTGAGGCGGATGGGTTGCGAGACGGGCGTCTGTAGTAGTGGGTACGAGGGAGATATTTCTTGTGTGTGAACCAAACATTAGCAATCGTGCAGAATGGCGAGTTGGTACGTGGGAACATCAAGACTCATTCCCCTTTTTACAAATCTTGCAGAGTCCGAAAAGAGATGGAACATAAATGCTGATTGTGTCTGACAGTAGTCATACACACAAGATAACCACGACTTTTCCTAGTGATACAATAAGCCTCTGGTGTGGAGGTGCCAATACCCAACACCACTGTAAATCCAGCGCTTTCGCCCAAAACACGAACCATTTTTTGGTATAGACAGCTAACAGAGGTTTAACACGAGCAAAAACTGCCTCTGGACCATGCTTGTCAGGCGCCATTCCACGAACGTTCAGACTGGGCGCCACCTCTATCAGAACGACGTTGCCTCGTTGGCACGATCCCTTCCACCAAGGAACCTCCAGGTGGTAACAGTTGGATCGGATAGCACTTGCTACAGGTGAGGTCATAACAGCCGACCTTGCACGTGCAATCTGGGAGGGGACATCGTTTTCCCGGAGGTAACATGTGACCTTGGTTCTGGCAACATAACGAAGCTGGCACCGGCACTTTGGTCGCCAGGCAGCGAGGACAGAGGCAGCCTGATGTACATGATTCCCGCCACATCCTTAATAGTTTCCCGTCGGTGTAGTTCTCGGGGAAGCACACCAGGCAGCGGCATCCCGGTTCATGGGGAAATCCTGTTTCCCCCGATCGTCGCCGCTGTTGCGGAAAAGTCGAGGCGCCATCTTGTTGTCTTCTTGAAAAAGATACCCGTGGTTGCCATGAGCCAGATTCGGCGGCGCGTCGCCCCTCTCGGGTTGACATTATCGATAATCTCTCTGCAAGAGCCTCCGCACGCTGATAGTCGTCGCTGTGATAGTCCTCGGCGAGAGATCCCTCGACCCCGCGGACTCTGTTGTGCTGTCTACCGTCAAAAAGAGATGCTGAATCCCGTTCCAGCTGCCTGGAAAGATCCAGAGATCCCGCACGCCGCCTCTCCTCATCGGAAGATGGTCGAGCCCGTCGGCTGCCGCGCTCCGACGATGTATCGCGACATTCCGATCGCGTTGGTGGCTGCAAGGTTGACTGATCAGCTTGAGCGAGCCGTCTCTCTTCCTCCTCGGACGCCGATAAAGTTTGGAATCTCACCTGAGTACGAGAGGGCTGTGCACGTTGTACCTTTCCATCGGCAGATGGGTGTTGAGTAGATGTCTGCTGTCGTTGTCGAGAGTTAGAACGAGCGTCCTGCTGCCGCGGATGCTGCGGACCTCGATTGGACGGGGGCGGCGACGGAGGAGGAGATGAATCTGGTCCTGATGCTATAGGAGTAACGGTTCTTCCTCTGCCTACTCTGAGACTTGGAATCACATCTGGTAGTCTTCGATCGATCTGCTGTAAGTTAGCGAGAGCACGAGAACATGGCGCAGACAGCATTAGCGCAGAAGGTCTGAATCGGGCTGTGGCTGAGCAGTAGTCTGAGCAGCCGTACTGGCCGCACAGAAGGTCTTCTGCCTAGCTTTCGTGGGATATCATACCTGTGGAGTGTCTTGCACAGGACGTGTGGCGGAATCATGTTCTTTGAATCTGACTTTTGTAGGGACTGTCCATTTGGGCGCACCGGACGACCTATATCTGGGTTCTCTTGCTTCCTTTCTGTCCTTACTCCCGCCGCAGCCCATTCTAGGTGATGAAGGGCAAATGACGGTGTGCACCCGTAAACAGCTGACGGTAATGAGTGATCACAATCCTGAAAATACTAATTGCAAGATATTCGAAAATGTTGTTTTGGATATAAACATTGGGGATGTTCTGAGTCGACTGCATGTAAATCCCATGGGATGCAAAGAACCTTTCGGACACAAACCATGATAAATAGACGAGCACAAGACATGTGATACTAAAAGACGGTTTTAAGGAGTTCAGCTTGAAGCATGGGCTAGTACTCCTCTGACAGATGTCCATGACCCCAGCAGTACTTTATTCTGCAAGCCACCTCTAGCGGAGTTGAAGGGCGGCGGCTGTCTTCCGGGAAGCTGGGGAGTTACACAATCCACTTTCGAAACAAACCTCGTAGGGAACTATCATCTTACCGGATCCGACCAATCTTCGGATTCTTCTGTCCCTCGATCTGCCCTCCGAGTGGCATTTGGCCACCTAATCTGAGCTGATACAGCATATCCATCTGAAACAAGTCGACGTACGTCACTCGAACTGTCATGCTGCCTGTGACACGATATCCTACCAAAGTGAGGAGAGTTTATTGCTGAGACACAAGCCACAGTAGAAATTCTACCCCAGCAATGTCTCGGAGTGGAATGTGAGGAAGCATTTGGCACTTTGGCAGACGTAAGTGACGTGGTACGTATGCTACAACTGACAGCCTGACAAGAGACAAAGTCCCTCCAGCTCTCAATGGTCCTTCTTCAGAGTCTCTACCACATCTGTGTAGCGGAAGGTTGAGGAAGTCGAGTGGTGTTGCAGCAACGCACCTTTCTCAGAGACCTTTGCCAGGAGGATGCAGCTACGTGAAAGGTATCGATGCAGAATTGACATCCATACTTGCCAGCATCCTGCAATCATCGCCGTCGTTGCGGTTGTGAGGGAGGGTGGGAAGGGGGGTCGCTTCGTCTCTTGGTACACTCAGTGTTTGAACTTTGCAGCAGGATATGCTTGGCGTGTATCCCGCCCCCGTTACATACTAAGTTAGTACTTACTTAGTAAGCCAGAGGACAAAATCCCACATTGTCGAGTACCGCTATGTTAAGCTTCCCCATAGCAGAACACGGGAAGGAAAGCTGATGATGTCCACAGTCTATTCTTTCTATGGTGTTTCATGTTAGTGCTGAGTCTGACCAGGGTGCTCTTCTAGTGCTGGTGTGCCAGTGTAGCAATCCTTGCCCGCTACACGAGCAAGGTATTCAGTGAATACTGGCCAGCTCTGCGACGATCTGGGGTTAGATTGTGGTTCATTACATGCCCAGCACCCTTCCTCCACACTTAGTTAGTACAATCGCCGGGCACATGGTCTGCTATCTCCCAATATGGCGCATGGCGGGTGCCAGGCACCTTGCTCTTAGGAAAATCCCGCTTCATTCTTCTCCGCACCTCAATTTCTTTGCCGAGGAAACCCAGGCGCAATGCCCACGTCACAGGCGAAAGGTAAGCTTGCTTCTTCTAGGAAGCGACACTGAGTAGGGTGGATGGGAGAGGCTTTCGAGCCTCTCTTCTCACAGTATGCAACCTCCTTTGCAAAGACTACTCACAGTTCCCTTGAAATCACGCATACTACCACCCAAATACTCGCTGAGGAGCACGCCATCCATCAAATTCATCGCCATGGTGCATACAGTTCCTAAGGTAAGTCATTCTGTTCGGAGTGGGCTTGAAGCATTCAATTGATCCGTCTTCCAGCTCAAGGACTCTTCCCTGTTGATAGAAAAATGTTACGTGAACGGCGAATTCGTCAACGCCGCCTCCTCATCGACCTTCGAAGTGCACGACCCTTCCACGGGAAAGAGAATAGGCAGGTGTCCTGAATTCAATGCTTCGGACACGGAGAAAGCCATTTCTGCTGCGGCGGAGGCATTCAAATACTTCCGAAGAATTCTTCCTCGGGAACGATCCCGCATGCTTCGGAAGTGGTTCAACCTTATGACGGAGAACGTGGAAGACATCGCGACTCTTATTACTTGGGAGAACGGCAAACCACTCGCCGACGCAAAAGGTGAAGCTACATATGCCGCCAGTTTCCTCGAGTGGTTTTCAGAAGAGGCGCCGCGTACATATGGCGACACAATTGGGGCTTCCGTTCCAGGGAATCGCGTGCTTACCATTAAACAACCTGTTGGAGTCTGTGGTCTCATAACACCATGGAACTTTCCTGCAGCAATGATTACCCGCAAGATCGGTCCTGCACTTGCGGCTGGTTGTGCTGTGGTGGCCAAATCCCCAGGCGAGACACCCTTCACTGCCAACGCACTGGCTGAACTGTCGCGGCGGGCCGGCATCCCCCCGGGAGTGGTCAACATCATTACTGCACACAAGAATACAGCCGAAGTTGGCGAAACTCTTACGACTTCTCCAATCGTGAAAAAGGTGTCATTCACAGGCAGTACCAACGTTGGCAAACTGCTTATGAAACAGTCCGCGTCGAGTCTTAAGAAACTTTCATTCGAGTTGGGAGGAAATGCTCCATTTATTGTCTTCGATGATTGTGCAGATATCAATGCCGCTGTGGCCGGTGCAATTGCTTCCAAATTCCGCTCCTCGGGTCAAACCTGCGTGTGCGCTAACAGAATCTACGTGCAGAGCGGTATCTATGATCAATTTGCACAGAAGATGGCCGAGAAGGTCAAGGAGTTTAAGGTTGGCTTTGGCTTCGACGTAGGGACCACGCATGGGCCTGTTATCCATGGTCGTGCCGTTAGCAAAGTGGAAGGACACGTCAAGGATGCTGTTAGCAAGGGTGCCCAAGTCGTTGTGGGCGGACAGAAAATGCCAGACCTGGGAGACAACTTCTTCCAGCCTACGGTTTTAACCGGGCTGAAGAACGATATGCAGCTGGCCGGAGAAGAAACATTTGGACCTGTTGCAGGACTGTTCTCCTTCGAGACGGAGAAGGAGGTGGTAGAGCTTGCGAATCAAGCGGAAGTGGGCTTGGCGGGATATTTCTTCAGCAGAAGTGTGGACCGAATATGGAGAATTGCGGAAGCACTTGAGGTGGGTATGGTAGGTGTCAATACAGGGCTGATCAGTGATTCTGCCACGCCCTTTGGTGGGGTGAAACAGTCTGGATTTGGTAGAGAAGGTAGCAAATATGGGATTGAGGAGTATATGATCATCAAGACCATTACGATGGGTGGCTGTGGTGGCGAGCTGCAGAGATGAGTCAGGAAGATTAAACACGAGCATACCTGATGAGAAGTGCAATCCACAACCATTAATTCACATCCTACCACTCGTAACACTGAGCAGTCCCCCAGAAGTCCTCTGGGAGAGTACAGCCGTATACTTAGCAGGAGAAGGCCTCTGAAAACTGTGCCTAAATTACCATCAATGTGGGCTTACTTTCAGTCTAACTGTGATATAATCTAGTTTACATAAAATAAAGTAACATGTTTACTTATCTGAACTTTGGTTGAGTTCCATCTATGTTTCACTGCAGTAGATCCTGATGTTAAGCTTTAACTAGAGCGCTTAGCTGCGGCGACTTGTGTGACACACCCTAAATCGGCCTTCAAGGAACTTGGAGGGTGCACATGGAGGTATACTTTACCCGCAGCCGGACCCTGATAGCGCACGCCACTAATACCACTAGTAATAACAGTACAATAAGTCTTCCTGAGAGTGTTACAGCACGTGAACACGCCAAGCACAGACAGGCACTATGGAGCTGCCTGGCACTCTGCGAAGGAACTATGACGGACTCGGACAGGCGTGGACCCTGAACTACACACAAGGTCACACCTGGACAACGTAATGATCAGAGGTGATCAGGATGATCAATTCTGAGCACGAATCTCCTAGTCTATATAAGCACGCTCACTTCCCAGATAGTTTCATAGTCTTCGTAGTCAACTCATGTTATCAGCTCATACCTAGCTTGAAGACATTCAGAAGTATCTTTGATTGCACCCCTGTTCTATCTAACTAATCTACCTGGACCCAACCTACCGTTGAGACTTGTCTTGACAAGTTGAGCCCTAATAGAGTGCTTATGATTAATCATAATAATTTGTACTACATTGATACACAAATTGTTGAGATCAATCCTATTAAAGTAGGAATCTCAATTATTTAATGCACATTCTATTAAAAATAATTGCTCTTGATTAATCATGATTGTCACGTGTCACGTTGGAAGCAGGCGA